ACATTAATGTTTGGCGGTTGGTTTGTGTATTTTATAGTTAGTTGTGTCCTGTTCAGCTGTGCCAAATACCAAAATGGATCTGATACACAGGCGATCAAGCTACCGTTCATCACCTTCTAACATTAAACAATGTTTCCCAATTACTGTTAAGTCCTTGTGAACTCAAAACATTAATCCTTTCTGTGTTTGACAAATAAGGCGAGAACAGGCTGATCAGGATCGGGGACGAATAAGCTACAGGTCAATCATTTTGCAGACCTCATTTATGATTCACAATAACTTTTTAAGTTTAAGCATATGAACTTAGAACAAAACTTTAACTTTTCTATGTGCGTTTGCGTTTTACATAAAAAACCAGCGAGAACATGCAGCCAAAGATGATCGGGGACGAACAAGTTACAGGTCCCTTCACTTCGCAGACTAACTTCAAAGATTCACAATAACTGTTTAAATTTAAGCATGTGAACTTAGGAGAAAATGTAAGTTTTCTGTGCGTGTTTACTTGTGTTTGACTAGGCAGGCTAAGGTCCATAACTTCGCAGACCTCACTTCAATGATTCACAGTAACTTTTTAAGGTTAAGAATGTGAACTTAGAAAAACGAGCGTTTTTCTGAGTGTATTTACCCAAAGCCAGCGAGAACATACAGCCCAAGATGATCGGGAACAATCAAGCTCCAGGTTATCACCACCTCGCAGACCTCAGTTCTATGATTCATAAGAACTTTTTAAGTTTAAGCATGTGAACTTAGAAAAAAATTAAAGCTTTCTATGTGGTTTTACTTGTGTTATCTATGGGTTTGCGCCATCTTCACTGCAGACGACCCAGGAAGCGATATGCCAGTTAGGTCACCAACTCGCAGACCAACTTGTACCATCAGCTGTAATAACTTTGAATCCTAATATGAACTTAGAACAAGTTTAGCTTTTCTTTGAACGTTTTACAAACAAAACCAGTGAGAACAGGTCCATCACCTTGCACTATGTTCAACGTTTCAAAATAAGCCTATGTGAGCGTAGAACAAAACGAATTTACATTTGTGCTTGTAAAGTAATTTATGTCCTGGAGGCAGGCTTGTCCAACCTTACGGAGTCGTGGTCGTAGGAGGCCAGTCCGATACTTGCAAGGAATACTTTCAAAAAATTAACGTCCACCATTCCAAGGGCGACCGGTGGCACAAAACGCTGTACCGCTATTCAAGAACACCGGATTCTCAATGCCTCAACAGTGTATGCATTTGTTTATCGTTACTTGAAACAATGAAAAAAAACAATGAAACAATTTTCGGTTGTTTTATAACGACTGAACGTCGAACCGTTGAATTCGTCACCAATGGACGTTGGTGTTACTCCGTTAAAACCTGTCCGTCTAAGATTATATTTTCTTCCTGTCAAATATGCTTTTATTTACTAATTCTGAAGAAGAAAAAAGTATTAACTATTAAAACAGGCTTTTCTAACCTTAAAAAACTCATAGTTTGGTCAGAAATTGTCAAAAATATCTTGCACGATTATCTTAAAACTAGGACTCCATCTTAGTAGTGTTTAAATTTTTTTAAAGAATTTACATTATAAGAAACCTATGGTTTCCAGAAAGGTTAACCTATTTGATCTGATAGCAGACCGTTAAAAAAAAATTAAAACGCGTCTTTTCCTTCATCCTTTATTGTTACCTAACATACCCAAAACTGTCTGCTCCGTGTACCATTAAAAGCTTGCGTAATATGGATAAAACAGCGTTTCTAGTTCGTTACCCTATCGATTCATTCCATGAATATTACCATTGATTAGTATTACCGTTGATAGCATGACGATTTCCAGTAATATAACTTTTTAATGCATTAATCGATTAATCAGCTATGCTTTATTATTTCTTCTCCCCCCCGTCGTAGTACTGACGCTAGTTTATTTTGACTAAATCGTTCGATAGTAAATAAATTTTTCATTTCCTTATTAACACTGGCTGGTGTGAAAAATTTTTTCCATTAATTTTAATTCTTTATCCAATGGCGCCAAAGGTAAAAGATTTCCTTTAAGAAAGATTTTGTTTCTACAAAAAAGAGAGATGTAATTAATTTATCAGTAGTGATAAAATATCATAGTTCATGATTAGTCAATTCAAGAGTATTTTTTTCTGACATTTCATAGTAGACTCGTCATCTTCAATAAGTTGCAATATAGAAGAACTAGGTCGGCCTAGTTTTATTTCCTTGACGTTCTTTGAAGGTAATATTTTACAAACCATTTTATAGACATTATTTTCTATCATATTTCATCACCATGTTGTTAGATAATTTAATTTTAATTAAATATTATCTTATCCAGATTTGTGAATCTGACACTCCCAGTCCTAAAAATTGTCTACTCGGCCTTCGGATAAACAGTTTAAATTGTTTTGGCGTTAGAAATGTCAGAAAAATCTTGCCGACCTTGCGCCTCGCCTCGCCACCCTTCTATGCGATGTGATGTTTTGTAAACTGTGCCAGATCGAAAGGCTGAATATCATTTTAACATGACCATGACAGCAAAAGGGGAAAAAAAGAATTTTGGCTTTTTCCGATCGAAAATTTAAAAAAAAATTGAATTCGGAGTTTTCACAGGGTATACAAAATAGGCCTGTTGGCTCCGACCAGGAGGTGAAAGTTATCAAAACCAGGCAAAAAACGAGAGCGAGCGACTACCCGTCGAATTGACATTTTGGTTTCTTGACAAATCTCGTTTTGTGAAAAGAAACAATTCAGAGAATGTACTTCCTCGGTTGGAAACAGGATTTGGAACAAACGGATGCCAACGAACCCATTTCACCAAACGGAAATCGAATCGACAAAAAAATTAACATCAATAAGTTTTTGATCCTGAATACACAGAATTGTTTTGCGAGAGCATTTTTGTGTCATGGATATTGCATTACCTGGGAGTGCACATGATTGGGTTAGGTTAGGTTTGGTTAGGTTGGATTAGGTTGCATATCCATGAAATATATTTCCGTGAAACACAGACAATATACGAGTGCGAAACGCGATCTTTAAAAGACCTAAGGATTTTATTTCCTATCTTTCATGTAGATAGTTGGAAAGGTAGTTGGTGTCCGAGTGGATCGAAGTCACGATAGCTCAAGTGGTATAACAGCGGCGTATTTAGCCAAAGATCGTGGGTTCGAATCCCGCTCGTGACACTGACTTTTTTATCTCAACCAATACCTTCCATAAAAACTAATTAATTGAAAAAAGGTAGTCACTACGTTGATCGATATACACGAAAGTAGGAAGAAAGGCAATATTGGTCATAATTCGTTAGATCCTGTTACTCCACGTAAACAAGACCCTTCCATAATTTGAACTTACGCAACGTCCAAAAGGGAAATTTACATCCTGGTAAAAATAATTCCTGGAAAATTATCGTACTAGTTCATCTTTTATTTACTTGCTTTTATTTATAGCTTTTATTTCAAATATGAATTTGTGTAATTCTCTACTATCCGTACTGTTATGATAGGTTTTTAACCTTTTTATTGATATATTATTTATTCTGCCTTTATTAAAAATTTCTGAAGACATTTTTTTTATACTAAAACTAGCGTGGAATGTTTAAACATTTTGAGGCTTTACAATTAAGCTCATTATAACTTCTTTCTTTGAGTAAGTTCGGGGCACAAGTTTGGAAAGTTTCCTTGCGCAAACAGACCAAATTGTCCTAAAAAATTTGGGTGATTTTTTTTTTAAATATATAAACTGATTAAAAGTACAAAACCAAGAAACTAGAAAATAAGAGAAGACAAAGAAAAAGGATAGATACGATAACCATCCCAAGACGTATTCACCATACATTCTCATTTGTACTGCAAATTACATTATTCATAAATAAATTAAATTATGAAATATCATCGTGAAAACTAATGATGATATCATCTGATGATGATGGTGTCATTATAATCGTCTAACAGTTTGTAACAAATAAACGTGTACCTAGATAAAATAGAGAAATTTACTTAGAAGGAAAGATCCAATGAAGAGAATATATCGTATTTTGATCGCCAAAGTTAAATAATACAGGCAGATTCTAAAATAAATAAGACACATTTTTCACAACGTAACCGTTCTTTCTACACAAAAAATATTTATTTAATCTTATAAAGAGATTGTCTAAGATGCTTTGATTTAAATTAATTGATAATTACAATTAAAAAACATACAATTTAATTTATTTATTCATTCTATAACGTTCAAACTTTGGTGTTGCCATACAAGCGTTCCTTTTCGACAGGAATAGTTTGTAAAGAAATAAAAACTTATGTGCCTATGCTGAAATTATGAATGATCTACTGGAGTTCTTGGTTCGAATCCCGTCATAGCCCTTGGAGTTTTAATTAAGAATATATATATGAAAAAGGTTTTCTAAAATGGTTTAAACCCCTCATCCGCGACACCCATGGGTAGCTGGACGTTAAGCTCTCCCGTATATGCATTGAAAATTTGGATATGGACCTGATCCAAATATGGTTGGTCAAAGAATAAACTGCAGAGTCCCTCGTGATGTGTTTTCTTCTTCTAGTGTTTTAACAGATTATTTTGTTCTTTGAATTTGAAAGACGTAAGTCAAGTATTGTTTAAAGGTCCTACGAGCTGTATTGCCCATAAAGTCTGAAAAAGCTTGTACCAAAATTGTCTGGGTAGGTCTACCAATATTTATTATAAATTATAATAAAGGTTCGTTCAGACGTGAAAAAGGGACAATAGTGCTTATAAATTTTAAATAGGAAATGGTTGAAATGTTTCCCAAAGCTTTTTATCAAAATTTATGTTTTATGCTCTAATATTATATTTTCTATAAAGGCTGTAAATAATAAAATGAAAGTTCTAAATTGAAACTGCTAGGGTTAAAAAAATGCCCTCGTATCATTAAACACCGGATCCTTTTTAAACTAAATTAATTGTATGGTATAGTAAATATTATTTATTTAAAATTAAAAAAATATATATAACAAAATAGATTGGTGCATTACCGATGAGTATTTATCCAGAAAGTAAAAGCACTGCACAATGCACATAGTCCATCGAGGGTATTAGATCGATCCGGGGTTGCAAGGCGGTTTTGGCCCTTTCCTTGGACACGACATTGCAAGAAAGACGAAGAAATGGTAGCCGAGCCGGGGATGGAGATACGTTCCCCACCGTCCTCGCCTTTCCCTCGTTCACCCACCTCCGACCGGATTCTTTTTCCGTCCCGGTCATCGATTTAGGAAAGTTTGATATCATTAGAATATGTTTTAACAGTCTGCCCAGTTTCCTGAGTCTTGGAATATTTCGCTATATCCGTTTTTTGGTGTTAAGGACGAATGAGAATGAGGCAGAACGATATGCTTTCATATCATAGACTTGTAAGACTTACAAGACAGCCTACATCGAAAGTTCTTGTTTCTTTATAAAGACACTTAAGTCATTAGATGTATCTTTTATATTTATAAATGTTTCGCTCGTATTTTAAAACATACTAAGTGTAACGTCTTATAGGTCAATTGTAAGTAAGCAGTGTCTCTGTTTTAACATATTCCAGCACTTTTTGGCCTCACGACATCAAAAGGTAGAGAAATTCCGACAAATGTGACAAAAACGTAATAACAAAACTTCAAATAGCACATGGACACCTACTTTTTGGTCAAACAAGTAGTGTGTCCTTTGCAGTGAAAGGGTGTCATCCCTTGGCTCCATAGAGTGAGTGAGTAGCGTTAAGAAATTGACTATTAAGGTGTGATCAGAAGATGAACATGTAGATGTCGATGTAGAGTCAAGCAGCCATCAAAGCACTAAGCTCAAATATTAGTTCAAGGATGGTGCTGAACTGCAAAACCATTAAACATATTAGGTGCAGAACAAAGTCAGCCCAGGACATATGGGAGTAGAAGGCAATGAGAAAGCAGACACCCTTGCAAGGCAAGGAGCTGCTACACCGCTCACAGGACTTGAACCCTTCTGTGGCATAGAAACCCACACTATTAATGAATATCTCAGACAGAAGGACAAAAAGAAAATGAAGGAATAATGTAATTCACTCATTGGACACAGGCAATCCAAGAATCTCTTAACAAATGTCGGAAGAAAAGAAATTACAGAATGTGTCAAAGGAAGCAGGAAAAACATAAAACTGTGAATCCTAATACGATTCTTAACAGGACACTGCAAGCTAAATGAACACTTAAAGAAGATTGGAATAATCCAAGGCGGCACATGTAAAGAGGCAGAGGAGACACCAACACATCTACTAACAAACTGCGGTGCTACACTTGCCTGCAGGAGGAAGTGTTTTGGGATGTACAATGTGACCATAGAAGAGCTTCAACCACTGAAACCGGGCCTATTAAAGTTCCTTGATGAAATAGGACTCATCAATGTGCTTTAGGCAGAGAACAGGGGATACAGTAGCTCTTAAAGTGTGCAGTATATTACACCACGAATATTACATCTACATCTAAGATGAACATTCAGAAAGCCTAAGTAAATAAAAGTCTCTTCTCAGAATAGGCCGTATATGGTTAACACTTAGGCCAACGTTATTGTATTTGTCCTTGATTTAAAATAAAATATGAGTAGACATGAAAAATGATTATCAAAGGAGCAATTAGCAGATGGTCTTCATTGAACCCAAATCAAAAAAGAGGGATGTTCATACTTGGCTCAGAATAGTTGACGCTACCTACTTTTAGGCAAAGCCTATCAGTCACAATTAAAGGTGCCCACTCACTCTCAATTTGAAGACAGGACATGATGCCCTGACATTATTGAACACACCAAGGCTCAGAATGGGTCAACATGGTTGACACATGGTCACTTACATTTGGGTTAAAGCCATGGTGTGTGTTTCACAATAGAAAGAGGTCCTGCCTTGGCTCCATAGAGTGAGTGAGTAATGTGAATTGAATATCAAGGTGTTATTGGAAGATGACATTCGGAGAGCCTAAGTAAAAGCAAAGAAGAGAGAATCTCGTCACCTGGCTCAGAATAGGCCATGCATGGGTAACATGTAGGCTAAAGCTATTGTATTTGTCCTTCACTGTGAAAAGTTGTTATTACCTTGGCTTAATATAAAATATGAGTGGGCATGAGAATTGACTATCATGGGGGGGGGAAGAGCAGATGGCCAACATTGCGCTGTGAATCGTTTTACTAGACATAAGGACACCTACTTTTGGACCAAAACCTGTGTGTGCAACCTTCACAATGAAAAGGCATCATATATAATTTGAGGAGGCTTGAACTTAGTGCATGGTCAACACTTTTACTTGGTTCAAAATAGGCCAGTATTGAATGTGCCAATGGCTCAGAATAGAACAAACATGGTTACATAATTTTGGGTTAAAGCCATTGTATGTGTATTTTATAATAAAAAAGTACCACTTGGCATCTTCACAAAGAGAGCGAGTGAGCATGAGGACTGATTAGTTAATGACATCGGAGAATCTGAGTCAATGAATTGCTTCACTAGACCATGGTAAACCATTCACATCGACACCTACTTTTGGGTCACAACTATTATGTACCCTTCACCCCCTTGGTTGCATGTTACACTCTCCTCTGTTGATTTCACTCATATCTGCAAAGTTTTATTCCAAATAGTTAAAGTTAATTTTCACGAATGTTTTAAATTCTCAGTTACTTCAGGAGTTCCTCAGGGATCTCACTTCGGACGTCTTTTGTTTCGTGTTTTCATAAATGACATTTACACTCTGCTTAATGATATCGTTTTCATTTTCTTTGCTCGAGATGTATGATTGGTAATGGAATTCAGAAAACTTAACTCAAAAAAGAAGAATCCTCTTCACCTTGCCCAGAATAGGCCATACAAATATGTTATAGCTATTGCATTTGTACTATACAATGAAAAGATGTTATGCCTTGGCTCAATATAAAATATGAGTCTAGAGGAATCCAATAGGTAACCCAGTGCCCGATCAACTTCTATTCTTTGTTTGTCAAACTTCTTATGTGAGAGACTGAATAATTTAAGAAGGTTAATAGCACAATGTAAATACCAATTCCTAAATTATATTCTTTGGTATAGGGTACTCTATTGAAAAATGCTTTTAAAAATGAGTTTAAATTATAACTTGCTTAATTGAATGAAATGACCTAGTTGTCATAGGCCTGGAATCTAACTTCAGTGAGCAAAATGGACAATACCAATGTCTGACAACAGTTGTGCCAGTTTAACAAGACCAAGTAAGACCAATTTCATTAAACTCTTTTTTATTTATTTCATGTTTGAGCAAATCTGTTATTTTGCTGAATATAATATATGTACATAATAAATATCAGTGATCTAATATATTTTAAAAAACTGGCAGACTTATCTAAAAATATTATAACAGTCTCGTCACTCTTAGATCACTATTATAACAACCCTTATAACATAATAAACCCAAGTAATTAAGTTTAACTATCATTTATTACCAATAACTGTTATACCACTAATACATGAGATACTTAACCAAATAATGGATGAAATCATAAACCTAATCATCTGATTGATTTTAAAAGAATTCTAAATTTTTGTTACACAAAACTAACACAAAGTAATCCAAATTCTAAACAAACATCAACAATTTATATATGCATAAATAGATATTTTTATATAGATATTTTATATTTATATTACTATTTCACAAGGTAATAATTAGTCTATAGAAATATCTAATGAATGATAACTGTTAAATGATTGTTTTTTATTTAAGCCAAAATGAGTAAATCCCCTGTAGGGAAGGTGCAAAAAACAAAAACAACGAATGAACCAAGCCAGGATACAGAAGGTAAGAAAAAATTGTCATTTTATTTTATATTTTTTAGTAAAACCAAATGGTATTTATTCAAATCACATCTGAGTGAATTTCAATATGTGGCCTATTTGTGTTTCGTGCAATTTCCTGTATGAATGAAATGTGGTATAAACACCACCGGTGGAACTAGAAATAGATATCACAAATAAAAAACACCTATCAATTTGAATACTAAAAAATTAACAAGGCAGAAAAGCAGATGAATCAACAATGAATATAGACACCAAAGTAACAGTGCTTTTTTTTGTTGAGCACTTGGTTTATACCAGATGTTATAAAAGTTTATATAATCATCTTAGATTTATATAGAAAAAAATCATCTGATTTTACATGTTCTGGATATGTTCTGGTGTTTAGTCAGATGTCCAATTCCCTTATGGGAAAAACATTTATTTTACACGTGCACATTATATTTTAAGAGAAGGAGGATTCTTACAAAATGAAAATAGGGTGGAAACAATTCAAAATTTTTGTTTATAGAACAATCTCCCCGCCAAAAAGAAACAAAATTAAAAGCAAAATACAACAATTTAGTTCTTTTAAAGCATCTTGAGGATGTCAAGGGATGAGGAGTTACACAATCAATGTTAAACAAAAATCGTGTTTTGCTTTAAACTAGTAATCAATCTCTCACTCCACTTAATCAACCATATAATTAAATAACAATGATTATTTTTATATTTACAATTTTTATGTTAAAATAACTAATAGCCAAACTACTGGTACATCCCACTAACTACCCCACAATCCCCAAAAGAAATTGCAGCATATGAAGGAATGATTCAAAGGGGAGTCGGTGGCCGCAACCGTTTAGGTGTTGACACGGTGCTCATCACTGTAAGGTAAAGGTCCCAGGTTCAAATCCAGCAGCCCTGCATTTGAACCCGACATACTTACAAATGGGCTTTTTTTTTCAAAAACACCATCACCCTGAGGGTTCATATGACCTCAGATGTTCCAAACCCTCTTAAAGAAAAAAAATTGATAAACTATTAAATATTAATATTAATAAATTATTATTAAATAGTAATTAGTTTCTACTCATTTTTATTACAAAAAATATTGAAATCCAATAACAAAACTCAATTGTTAAAAGCTTTGCATTTCTTACCAATAAATTTTTTATTCAGGTTGTACAATACCATTGATTCAATTTCTTTCTCTATTTGAACACATAATATTGTTGGTTAGATTATATTTCTAAGTTTTATTAAATATGTATTCAGAGAAAAAAGAGATGACAAAACAAGGATTATTAAAATTAATCAGTAAAGAAATTTAAAAAAAATTAATTAACTTAGCTATAAAATGTTAGTACCTGAATAAAAAAAAATGTGACTGAAAAATATCTAGTTGTGATACACCATAAAAACATTACTGAATCATGAGCAAGAAGCAAGACTAAACCAAAACAGTAAAAACTTAATGAACTTGAAAAACTTTATAAATCGTTATAACATCCTAAAAAGTAATTTTTGGTGTGTGTGTGTGTGTGTGTGTGTGTGTGTGTGTGTGTGTGTGTGTGTGTGTGTGTGTGTGTGTGTGTGTGTGTGTGTGTGTGTGTGTGTGTGTGTTTCATTGATTAGTGTTTGTATGTTTGCAATTGATAGTCCAACACATTTTAGTTCCAGGGAAAACTGTTTCAGAGAGACGTCCTCAAAAACCAAGATCTGCAGAATATAAAGGTAATATAATTCTTTATTGCGGTTAATTAAAATAAAACCATCTTAAACAAAATTTAGAATGGGAGTGTTTTCTGCGTACCCAGACACAAAGGTCTGAAGGGTAATAAAATGGTGGACGGCCAAGGCCAGGATGTCCCAACCTCTGAACTTAACCACTGCGATCCGGCCCTCTGATGCTATGTATAAAGCATTAAAAAACATGAATAAAAGAAAGAGGCAGTATTGGTGGGCCAGATCAGCAGAGAAGTTCTGACATATCAAGAGCACTGTCAGTATGTAGTTCTCGGAGGATGAGTCGACACCCGGACACTTACTTTTTGGGCAGAGCCTGCTTTTGTGTTCAAAATGTCAAGAAAGATTGCTCAATGTGTCCCAATTAATTGAAGGATGCCACCCTATATGAATTGTGCTTGAGCACAGTAGCAAGTTTCAATTTTAGTAAAAAATAGTACTGACAAGCAAATTGTTTTTTGCCCTCTAGTATGTGTTGTTAGTGAATGTATTTATTGGTGTGAATGTGTAGTGTGAAGGGCCCAAAGGCGGAATATTGAGTACCCCATTGAACTTCAATTAAATTAGTTACATTTGTCGTGGGTGATGGAGGAATATAAACTACTCCACCACCTTAAATGAGTGAAATAGGAAAGAATGCATTTAAGAGTGAGTAAGAATGTGAGTGGGTTTGGATTTAGAAACTGACTGTGTTGGGGGCTGAAATGACCTAGCTGTTGACCTCGGTGGCTGGACAGATACAACCGAGGTCTGACCCTGGACTGCCAACCCTTGGGGTGGGTGGTTCTTGAGGCCTGGCAGTAATTTATTGTAAACTACAAAAGTTGGAATTACCAGTGGCCTGTAAATAATGATAGACTCAACTCTGTACATGTGTGAACGTGCATGTGCAGTTTTGAGTTTATATAAATGAGTAATCAAGACTGAAATTTCCTAATTTTTATTGATAATTGTCTATTGATTTTTTTTTCTTTACTTTAGGAAAAGTTCCATCAGATACACCAAAGACACCAAAAACGCCACCAGGTATATTCACAGTGCTAATTACTTCTGTAGTTTATTTCTAATTTTTATATAATACAGGGTGTCCCAGTTCCTTCTGACGAAACTCAGGGAATCGATTCTACTCTTCATTTGGAGCAAAAAATGCCCAGGAGAAAATTTTCGGAAAGTTCTCTATTTTGAAGATATTTGTCAATTTAGGTTTTTTCAATGTTTCACTACCTTACGACATGAAAATGCTTACAACTTCCAAAATGTTGAGACTACAACAAATCCAATTACATCATTTGAAAGAACGCTAAATTTGCTGTAAGATACTTCTATTTGCAATAATCTGAATGATATAAAATGTTAGCCAATATCAGTTGGAACATGTCAAAATTACAAAATTTAAAATTTTGGTCATGATTGCACGTTCTACTGAGGTTACAAAACAATACCTACAACTTGTCAAATTTCACAAAAACTTTTTCATCTGATATGCTTTATGTTGATATATCCAGGTTTTTAAATAACGTTCTAGTAGAGTTGAAAAATAACAATTGAATGTTCGAAAAAGTGAGCTAAGGTAAATTTGAAGTGAGGGGGTAGAAATAAATCAATTAGAACTAGATTTGTAAAATAAAAATGACCCTTGTTTGACTGGTTGAATGAAAAATGCTGGATGGGATCGAAGTTTAAACAATTTTTAAATTTTGTAATTTTGACATGTTCCAACTGATATTGGCTAACATTTTACATCATTCAGATTAATGCAAATAGAAGTATCTTACAGCAAATTTAGCGTTCTTTCAAATGGTGTAATTGGATTTGTTGTAGTCTCAACATTTTGGAAGTTGTAAGCATTTTTATGTGGTAAAAGTCGAAAAAACCTAAATTGACGAATATCTTCAAAATAGAGAACTTTCCGACAATTTTCTCCTGGGCATTTTTTGCTCCAAACGAAGAGTAGAATCGATTCCCTGAGTTTCGTCAGAGGGAACTGGGAAGCCCTGTATTTAAACTTCAATTCTCTACTCAGTGTAAATATGATTTATTCACTATTTGTTAATCAAATATACTTAATACAACTCTGTTCAGGTGTGAATATGTGTATGTGCATATGCAGTTTTGGGTTTATATATATCAGTAATCGAGACTGAAATTTCCTGATTTTTATTGATAATTGACTATTGATTTTTTTTCTTTACTTTAGGAAAAATTCCATCAGATATACTAAAGACACCAAAAACACCACCAGGTATATTCACAGTGCTAATTACTTCTATAGTTTATTTCTAATTTTTATATAATATATAAACTTCAATTCTCTACTCAGTGTAAATATGATTGATTTACTATTTGTTAATCAAATATACTTAAAAAATACTTAAATATACATGCGTGAATGTGTGTGTGTGCATGTGCAGTTTTGAGTTTATATAAACCAATAACTGAGACTGAAATTTCCTGATATTTATGAAACAATAAATTTTTTATTGATAATTGACTATTGAATTTTTTTTCTTTACTTTAGAAAAAGTTCCATCAGATACACCAAAGATACCAAAAACACCACAAGGTATATTCACAGTGCTAATATACCTGGTTAGATAACCAGTATAGATTATTTCTAATTTGTATATAATATATAAACTTCAATTCTCTACTGTGTAAATCTAAGTGTAGATATGATTGTAGATATGAATTTGTTAGTCAAATATGATTCTAGAAAGTTAAAATTATTAAAACTAAATTTCAATACAAATAGTTTGTTTTATTATTTTTTTATTACGAAAAGATTCACAAGAAGTACATATAGGTAATATCATAATGGTAATAAAGAATGACTATTCTTTATCATAGTAATTATTATTTTTATGTATTTATAATAAGTATAATTATATATTTATTATTCCTAATCTTAGTAATCAATACCATCTTTATTCCAGAAAAAACCCTTTCAGAGCCACGTTATCCCAAACCAAGACCTATATCTAAAGGTATTGGTAAAACAAAAATTACTGATTATGATCGACTATTAATTATTTTTAAATAATTTAGAAAAGGTGGCTTCGGGTACACCAAAGACCCCAAAATCACAAGGTAAGTATACTTCAGCTGAAATATCCGTATACCTATTTTGTCTATTTTTGTATGTATTTATTTTAGTTTTAATTGTATCTGTTATGGGCAAACACTGGGACTGTAATATTAAATTAATTATTTAATTAAAATCATAGAAACCAAACTTCAATATTACTAGTTTATTCCTTTTTTAAGATAAAAAAGTTTATTCCCGATTATTAAATTATTTACATTTGTAATTTTATCCTGCTTAAGTGAACAATTATTCTTGAGTATTCCGTCAATCATTCTTTATTATTTGTAGGGTATTCAGAGAGAGCAAGGTGATTTTTTTTACTTAAAATAGAAAAATCAATGAATAAGTGACAACTTTTTATTTATTATTTCTGTATTCGAATTTAGGCTTATAAAATTTTAAAAAGAAGGACAAAAAATCATATTTTGTCATTACAGTAATTAAACAAAACCATTTTTTGATTCCAGGAAAATCTGTTTTACAGACTCGATCTCCAAGACCAAGACCTCCATCTGCAGGTATTTATAAGACAATATAAAACAATTTTTTTATTTATTAATAATTAACTTTTTTTTATAATTTAGAAAAAGTGGCTTCAGATACACCAAAACCAAAAGGTATATTTCATCTGCCAACTACCATTCACTTATATGGTTTATTTATATTGTCCTGGTCTAATGAGTGATGAACCTGATTGAATTTTTGTCTGCCTATCTTCACAGAGTTGGTGTCTTCAGACACAAACACACTAAACATGGTGAAATACTGAAACATGTCTGGCAAACCAACCCAGTAAGGATAGGTAGAGCAAAATGATCAGTAGTGACCAAATTACAGTTTGGTTACAGTTAATGTACAAATATAAATAAATACATAAATGCATTACCAGCTTGCAACAGAAGTCTTATTTTATTCTATCGTTTTATCAATCAGGCACATTTTGGGCTAATAGGCCATTGATTTTCGTCTGTGCATTATTTTGACAGATAATAAATAAATCTACTAGTCAAAAAATTCAAAAATTTGACTTCTATAGCTTGATCATATTTAACACATAACCACAAATGTAGATGGTAATATTCGTCGGACTGACAAAACCAGTCAGCCTGTGCAGATCTTTCCAACATCGGCACAATTTTTCGTAAGCATTCTTTAGTTAGTGTATTCAAAGAGGACATGTTTATTGGTGGTTTTTTAATAAAAATATAAAAATCCATTATTACGACATACCGTTTTTGTTTATTTTATTTATGTATTAGGATATATACCTGTAAATGATTTGGAAGAGTGGCATTCAGGTAATATAAAGTCTTCTTTTTTGTTTGTTTTGTCTTCTTTTTTTCATTATAATTAACCAACACAGTCTTTAGATGCAGAACAACCAGTTTCAGAGCCACATTATTCAACAGAAAAACCTAAATCTCCAGGTACTAAAACCAAGATATTAATTGATAATGATCAACTTTTTTCTCTTTTTTTTTTTTTTCAGAAAAAGTTCCATCAGACGCACCAAAGACACCAAAACCACAGCAAGGTATTGTAAAACTGCTTCTATGCAAAAATATGTACATATACATATTATATATTTTTTTTATGAATATTATCCTGCGATGTAGAAAATAATAGTAAATTTAATAATTAGTTAAATTAGTACTAACAGTTACTGTATTTAAACACTTCAAAGTTATAAATTTATATATTTTTCCAGGATTGGTGGAAAACACTGAGCAACCCTTTTTGCCAACTTCTACAGATAAAGTAATGTATTTAACAGTAATTGTTTAAAAAAATAGTTGCTTAATTTGTTATTAAACTATAGCCAATTTCTCCTGAAGATGACCAATCTAAAAAAGGTAAACAATTTAATGTTTTTTTTTTTAAATCACTTTTAAAATTACTAATTATCATTAAGGAAAAGAATCAAAAGACAAACTGGCACTAAAGAAAAGCAAATCCCCTTCACCAAAAAAATTACTCCTTGAAGAATGTCCTACAGGAGATGGTCCAATAGGCAGTTTGCATACTGAATTTATGTACTACTCTTCCGTTCTAAAAGAGGTCACACCTACGCTTACTAATTTTGCAACAAAGCAAAGGATATTCGAGTGGATTGATAAACTTTACCAAGCGGCATATTTCACATCGCCCCTGATATTGAAAAGAAATCTGTAATATATTCTATTTGCAAAACTTTGAATAAGAAAATTATATTCAAAAATGTTCTAGGTATCTTGTTCAATTAGTATTGACATCTATTAACAATGAATTGTACGGTGTATTTGTACATTCTCCGCCACCTCCGGAAGCCGCTTTGCCACCCGTGGATGCATGGTGCCCAGGGAAAATACCTACAGCAAGATGGGAAAAAATCACATTTTGGGATGATCTTTTCACCGGTAAATTTTGATACAAACACACGCTTATAAAAACACTAAATTTACACTACTTTCAGCCGCAACTGAAGAAATTTATGACAGTGAATCCTATATCTTAAAATGTTATTATCACGGTAATGAATGCAATGGGGTAAGAATTTTGCAAGTATAAAATCAGCATTTTGATATTTATTGTATGCAATGTGTTGAATGTTTTAGAACAATGATGAACCACCAAATGAAAAAGCAGCTGGGGAACTCCTTGACCAAGAATTTAAATTTTTTCTCTACATCATCCAACCTTACTTGACATTTATTACAGATCCAAGGATAAAACTGAATGTTGCTTTATGGCTTCAGCATTTATCAAGAATTCAGACTTGTTCTTGTACTGTAATGAAAGGAATTAGGAATGATTACATGCAAGCGCTAATTGGGTTAATAGACAGACCTAGTTCTCTTATTTAATAGGCCTAACATTTTTTTTTAAATATGTTAATTTTTTTCTAGATATGTACAGGATATTAGATTGGTTGGTCCATTTCAAAATCTTCCCGAAGAAGATGTCCTTATACCTCTAGCTGAAGCTGCTGAAAAACTAACTGAAAATGCAAAAGTAACTAAAATAATTTTTATTAAAAATATTTGCATAATTAAGAAATTATAAATTTTAAAAAATCTATTTTTAACATTTTTAGCCAATAGGAACTCCTTTGGGAAGGGAAGCAGATAATTTTCTGTCAATGCAGCCTCAGCCAAAAAATGGGGCTTTTTGCTATGTTGCAGTTAGTGGTCAATTACAACAAATGGATTATCCAACTGCACCAGAAAATAAAGATAGTAAACTGGAAACCCAAAAGAAACTATCAACTGCTTTTTAATAATGTTTTTATCGTAAAAGTAAAATTTTGATATAAATACTTTTTTAAACTATATATGCATATTTATTTAGCATATTAATTAGTTCATTACTATATTAAGTACTATCCTAATGGTTTTGAAATTAAAATTAAACTATGACACCTCCTTCATTCTCACCTGTAAAAGGAAATTATTGTTATCGATTGCGAAAGGTTTAATAACTTTAAAAATATATTTATTTTACTCACTTTTGATATTTTTTGAAAGTCTAGGCTGTGTTACAGGCCTTGGAACAAATTCACTGACATCAGACATTTGCTGCACCTAAAAGTATACAAAACATTTATTTTCTCTTCTAAGCTCTTAATAATATTAAATTGAAACCTAAGAAAGATTGTGACAGGTTAATTTATAACTAATTATTAATAATTTGTAATGAGTGGTGTTTAGTGACCGTTAGTTAATAATTATTTGGAGATGGTGAGATGCGGTCTGGTGTGACGTAGGTTTTAGAAAAACATTTTCTTTATCATGCCAATCAATCTTTATTGAGATCATCTTATCAAAGATCAAAATGTTGGCACGATAAAGAAAATGTTTTTCTAAACCTACATCACACCAAACCGCATCTCACGATTTCCAAATATTCATAATTTGTAATGATTGTAACTATTACCCTAAACTATCCAAAATTTGTTTGTAAAACACTAAAATTTCCATTATTATTATTATTATTATTATTATTAAGAAATTTTATTTATGAAAGTCAATTTGTAAAATTAATTAATATTAGCAAAAATCTAATACATATACATTTTTTTTTTTTTTACATTATTATTATTATTATTGGCCTTATGATCTTGCATATTAGCCATGGTACGAATTCTTGTGTGTTCAAATTGGGGGTTATCGGGAAAAAAGGGCCAGAGGCAACGGTGGGAATCGAACCCACGACCGCGGCGTGAGAGTCTCTCATGCTAACCACTCGGCTACCGCGGTCCCCGGTACATATACATTAAAGACATACATGTTTGTCAATAGCTTTGAATTGCCATGTCCAAGCAATTGAATACAGAAATGGTCGATGGTCAAATCTGTTGTCATCCGGTGAATAAGACTCTGCATGGACACTTGGTGTCAAAATTGTCATTTTGTGCCTGTTGATCGCATAGTATCTAAAAAAATGTTTGACTTTCTCAGCCACCTGCAATTATTCGCACTTTATTACAATGTTTAAAAATATTAATAAATAATTTCTGTAACCTGTTGCCGATGCTGGTCTTTCCACACGCCAGCCAGGGAGCAGAACATTGAAAATGGTCCAGCGCAATCAATTTTTCTCATTCTCCCCATTACCGATAGTTCTGAGTATGTCATACCCATGTCGACTTCGTCGGTCTGCATTAAGTGGCCTTCCGCAAGCGGTAACAATTCAGCAGTAGCCGGCGCCTTCAATATCGATTCTATAGCTGGTAAATGAAATCTAAAATTTGTATGTCATAAATACATACTTATTTATTTCACTTCAATCGGTGACGCACTTGTCTTTTGCATATTTCAAAAATGACTTCAAGTCAGTCTTAGATATACCGCCGATTGGATTGATATCAGCAGAGCTGCAGTCGTATTTAGTGAAATATCCTCTCAAAGACTCATCAACATTTGCAGACCCCAGAACAAGAAGACCTCCAGGTCGATTTTTAGCCCACAGTATTAGTTGAGCAAATAAATATGAAAGTACCATTCGTACCCTTGCCTAAAAAGCCAAAAACATTATTTAAAACATATAAAATATTTGTACTGCATATTTAATTATTTTTTCTGATTGATATATGTGCTATAAAATGTTGAATATAAACTTATACACCTGAACATTCTGAAGGGCAAGGCATTCCCTTGGTGAACCACCATGTACTGAAAATTTGGGCTTCATCCCTGTCACTAATGAAAAAATATTCAACAAGGCACTTACAGCTCCTGATATATTTATTTCCATGTGGTAGCTAAAATGAGAATATCTCGTTTAAATTAAAATTATAAGCTCGTCGATCAAGTGCATCACCTTCCAATCTGCTGTGAAAGCATTTTTGCCCGAGCTTTTGTTTCGGCTGATGAATTTTCAGTAGCCATGTAACAAGTGAAGAAGAGTCTTCCACAAAGTTCTTTTGGATCCGTGGGGACATAAGTTCTATCAGAGAGTAAATTCCTTAGTGTATTTAAAACATCAGCTAAGAAAGAGAAAGCATTACTTATTATTTTGGCGTTGTAGAACATACAACCGATTACCTGAATGTTTGCTAGTTGTTACAAGGAGATTGCACATCGAGTACACAATGCAAGCTGTACTACAAGAATCTACACCTCCGCTAAGTGGTAAAAATAGACCTCCTTGGGCTGATCTCCTGTAAAAATTTAATTTAATCTTCTAGCAGATGATTTAACGTTTTAAAAACAAAAACCTCAGGTAATCCCAGAGCCAGCAAGCAGGTCCAAGGCTGATCTCTTCCTCAGGTGTAAGGTTTTTCCATACAATAGGAACAGTCTCAACTTTTGGTAAACTGTATGTTATATACTGATTCAACTTCACTTTTGGATAAGTTAAAGATGACATATTTGATTGATTAGATGTGTAAGATTTTTTTAAATTCCTGTAACTTGAAACTTTATCCAGGTCAACTGTTGCAGTGACAACCTCCTAAAAATGTTTATACATTGTACAAATTCTGTGTATTATTGTGTACAGGATATTTTCCACGTACAACATCAATTAAAGAAAACTGTTCAGTCCTTGCGAGTATGTCTCCATTCAAAGCAACACAGGAACATCCATTGAAATATACTCTACTGCCATCACCACCACGGAGATTATTGTATAAATAGCATCCCCCTGCCTGAAATAAAAATCATTGATTTCTAACAAATTCACTTTATACCAGAAATATATTTAATACTTTGAATGTTGCTGATCTGACAAGATCAATTGTGGCATTTGCTTTCCTCAGTTCCATGTAAGAACCGGAACCGTTGACAATAATTTCGACTCCTTCCATAGCCAAGCCAATGTGCATACTAAGCATACACCATTTTATTGTCAAAATAAATTAACTGAAATTAATAATCTTAAAAACCTTTGAGGATTCCAAAGTTCTTCACAAATTTCAAAACCAATGCTGGTGTCTTTCGCTTCAATGATAGCGTCACCTATTGGTACAAATTCTTGCCCGTTTATATCTGTAATTAGTTTAGGCAAACAGAATTGTTCTATATGTTTTTCCTAAACAGACCAAAAATAATTCAAACAATTGTTTTTATAAATATAGATTTATCGTAGCTAACTTTTATCCAAGGAGTGAACCATCGTGATTCCCTATAATTGCCACTATCACATAATATTATTTTTGGACGTATTAATAAAATTTCCCTGTAAAAAGAAAAGAAATGTGGTTTATAAGAAAAAAGAAAAAAAAATACAATTATATTACCTGTTGTAAAAAACGACCCTGCAATTATAAGTTCTATTTTTATACAGCACTGGCATGCCAACGTCTACGATTATATTCAAACATTGTTCATTACCCAAGAGTGCTGCCAAAACTTCCCATGAATGGAGAACTGTGTCCTTTTCAAAAAAATGATCTTCACAAGAATAACCACTGGAATTTTTACAAATGATAGTTGGTATTTTCTATATTAACTTTTTGCATTTATTTTAACTAACGATATTTCTAGTTCTGGTCCACTTCTGTATTTAGCGGCCATACTTTTGGCATTGTTTATACTTTGCAATATGCGCTGCAAATTTCCTTCGAAGTCAAGTGCCCACTGATTAAGCGTCGAAACAGCAACTGTTATAATTCGTCCCATTTTTCGTCTACAACCAAATAAATACAAATTTGTCAAATAACTATTTTCAACACATTCAAATTTAATTTGGAATTTTTTGTATGCAAAACAAGCAGGCAAAAGTCTGGAAACTTGCTACTGTGTAGTAAATAAGCATAACAGTGCTTGTTTGGTCCTAACAGTGCTGAAAATTTGTATGACTTAACTTTAACATTTTCCCCTTGTCAGTACAAAGCATTATGACTATAAGAAAAATAAGTATTAGTAAATGTCCTTTTAAAACAAATTAACAAATTTATTTCTGTCACTTGATCATCCCCAACCTCCTGGTCCTGTTGACATTTATTGGGTTGTCCGGAAAATAATGCAGGATTTTGGTATTAAACAAAAAAAAAGAAACTAGTTACTTTAAAGCAATGTTCTTTAATCAAAATAATTTNGTAATCCTGTAAACGTAAACAGAATATTTTATATAGATTTTTTTTAATGAAAACTTAAAATCCTGCATTATTTTCCGGACAACCCAATACAATATGTACTCAACTGACAAAATATTGCACAAACCGACCACTGAATGTGGTAAAATGTGGAAACATGTCTGACAGACAAATTCAGCAAAAATAAACAAACCATAATAGTGAGGGATGATCTAGCAACAGATTCATAATCTTACAGACTTCACCACATTCAAAAATTTACTTGTATACTTCTGCAGACTAAAACTACATACTAAACTTAAAACATACTTAATAAACCATGTTTACTTAATATTACAAACTATAACAAGCAGTAAAAAAAAATAAAAACTCAGGAACCAGAGCTATCAACCCTCAGGGTATCTGTGTTTGAAAAAAAACAAAACTATTTTTAAATTAGTCGGGTTCAAATGCAGGGCTACTGGATTCGAACCTGAGACCTTTACCTCACAGTGATGAGCGCCTTGTCAATGCTTTAATTGTTGTTAATAAAATTGTAAAAATGGCATTTAAATTGAAAAAAATTAACAAATCACACCATCCAAAAATTAAAGTAAGTATGCTGTCAAATATATCTTCAATGTTTTCATACATATATTATGACTGACGTTTACATAGGTTCTACAAATATTTCGATGATTATATCACTATCATCTGGGTTTTATAAACTTTAATATATTAATCATCGAGTATTACTTGGAAAAGAACTTGTTATTCTTCCTAAATGCTGAATAAGGCTTTACCATTGTAAAGCCACGATATTGATATAATCACTAAAAGCTCAGCAATAAAGCAATTGTACTTGATCATTATTTTTCAGTTATTCATTCTTTGTCTCTCTTTCTCATTTTTTTCTCAATCTACATTGAACAGAATCACTGCTCCTTGACAATGCTCCAGCCTTTGGCATGGTTCGCAACCTAGGCCTCCTGTGGAAGCTGAACGGCATCCTATCAAAACAAACTGTCATTCTGAACCATCACTTCAGTCTTAGACTGAGCACAGTTTTATACTTTATCTATCCTATTCAAGCAGGCATCCCACAAGGGAGCATTCTTGGACCTCTCCTTTACACTATATATCCTACTGATATTCCTATCCTCCTGTGTGGGTTCATCCATTGTTTCAAAATCGAAAAATGAGCGCTTTATCACTAGTTCCCTCCAAGCTTCACTCATTTTAATTTAGTCACTATACTCCTTATACCTACACCTCACAACCCATATCGCAGGGCTAATACAAATTTCTTCAATGAACTGTTCTACATTGAAACTTGCAATTCTTTCCATAGTAAACTCAGTTGACTCAACTAGACAACTGATAGGAGGACGAATGAAAAGTTGAAAATTTAACCAGGCGATAAGAGAACGTCAGTAGCACTGGTTCCTATCCTGGAGCATGCTGGCCACTCTAACCATCCCTGATCACCTGGGCAGATGAGTTGACTGTGTGTTAACATACTACTTAGCTACACTCCTTGACAACCCATCTATTCAACTAGTTAAATTAACCAGTCTTGTCTGAAAATGAAAACCAAGCATTCAACACATTCAAAGATTCCAATCAAAAGTACTAAGAAAAATTGTTAACCCTCCTTTTTGTGTATCAAACTACACTATACACCAAGACCTTAATATTCCCTTGGTTCCAGGAGTAACAAATGCCAATTACAAAAAAATCAATCTATACCTTTCCACATACCCAAAGCCTTGGTCTGTCAGATCAGTTTCACTACCACCCCAGATTATCCTCACTATCAGCTAAAACACCAACGGCCACGCCCTGCTTATTGGTGACTAAGAAAATTGAAGTATGAAATAGTGGTTTTTTTTTTCTTTATTAGTCATTATTTATCTGTTCTTTAGGATGCTCAAATATGTACCACACTGGCTCTTTTTTAAAATAAACTGTTATAAAATATTAATGCCTGACGATCACTGTTTTATCCATTGCGTTCTCACCTGAGGAAGGATTAAAATAAATCCGAAACATTGTGGATAAAAAACTGGTTGTGGTTTTTTTGAGATGATCTATTATCCCACCTTTGAGAAGGAAAAATCATAAGTTATTCACTTCATTCTTATGATTTTCTTTTGTAAGCTCTTGTTGTGTACATATAATGAAAGTTACAAAATAAAACAAAAATTCAATTGGGTGAATTTTTGTTGTCTAAATTGTATAACCTAAATATGAGATGAGGTAGGTAAGCCAAATCTGCACAATTTTTTAAAAGAAAGAAACAAGCATATCTTTCAGTTAGAAGTGAAACCACTACAAACTGAGAACGGGTGTAGTATTGTATAGAATATTTGCCTGGGAGATTGTATTTTTTACTAATCATGACCAAAGGTTTTGGCTTACTTACATAGTTCCACAGTAGTTTTTTAGACTATTGATCAAACTGTCTTGTTATCAGTCCTTGAATGGACGTTATTATTGATAAACAAGTAGCAATAGGTCAGGAGCAAAAAAAAAATTTAAAACGACTCGTCCGTCATTGTTGAAAAGTCACTTAATGATCTTTATTAAAAGAAATATAAGTAAAAACAAGACAAATAAACCCAAAATATGAAAGTGCACTATATTTTGATACCCAGTAACCACGTGAACTGAGAGCCATGGTGTATTGTAGTTTGTAGTTTGTAGGTTTTCTGGCTGTTCCCAATAGTTTCCTTAAGGACATTTGTACTTTGTAGGTTCGCATACTGTTTCTAATCGTTTCCTTAAGGATTCTGCTTTTACAAATATCATGTCGACAAGATGGTAATTTTATTTTTATAGATCGTTATTCTTATGCCTTACTATAAATATAGTAAAAATACTTAAACAAGTCACTCAAGTTCAATAGATTTCATCACTACACTGATGGGCAAATTTAACGTACCACTCAATTTATTTAGTTTAAAATTAAATCCATTATCTCTCTACATTAGTTACAGGTAATTCGAGGCTATCGAAGTCAAAATAAACAGTACTTATGCGTTATGAAAATTATGCTTAAGCTCAGCAGTGGGTCCTGAAACAGGATTGTATTGTATACATTACACAATGATATTTTTGTGCTAGAGTGAATATTGGGGTCTAGGCAATTATGCTACAGTTTTCCAGTCTGACATCATAGCGATTTAACAATGTAGATAGACATTTTCTCTGACAGCCAGGCAGCTCTGAGGGCCTTAGCCTCATGTGAAGCAAAAGCAGAGAGTGTTTGGAAATGCTTGGAGCCCTGATCAAAATCAGCGATACATGACCTGACCCTGGCATGGGTCCCTGGACATTCGGGGCATAGTGGCAACGAAAAGGTTGACATGTTGGCCAAAAAAGGGAGCCAACACGGACTCTCTGGGCCCAGAAGCCTACTGCAACCTAGCAGCCTGCCACAAATGAGGATACATCTTAAAATGGATGCTTAATGAGTCCAAAACCTGGTGGAACAATACCACAGGTATGAGGCACGCGAAGAGATTCATAGGGCCATCCGCAAAACTTACAAAAGAATTACTGGAAGGCAACCGCAATCGAACCAGGATTCTGGTTGCTCCTGTCAGGGCACCGGATAGGAGTATAGACAGAAGAAACACTGTGAAGATACTGCCAAGAAGAGGAGGTGACTGCAGAACACATTTTATGTTTCTGGGAAGGTCTATGTAGGTGCAGGTTCTTGCAACTAGGACAAGAAAAACCACAAGCAAGATCCTACACCAAGGAGCCGCTGGCAAAGCGAAGAATTTCTTTTTTTTCCATAAGAAAGAATGCATTTAAGAGTGAGAGTGCGAAAGGGCTTAGATAATGACCTATCTTTTGATAGCCCCTGCCCCTTAGACTGCCGACAGCTGGAGTGGGTGATTTTTGTGTTCTGCCAGTTATTTATTGTAAATTACAAAAACTGGAATTGTCGGTGGACTGCGAGAAGTAATAACTATACACTCATGTACTACAATTAATTAAGGTTTTCAGTTGAGATAAAAAAGTCAATGGCATGAGTGGGATTCGAACCCACGATCTTCGGCTAGATACGCCGCTGCTCTACCACTTGAGCTATCGTGACCTCAATCCACTCGGACATCAACTTCCTATCTCAACCTACCTTTTGAATTTTCCCTCCTTTTTGCCATTTTTCAAATTTCGTGTAATCAGTTTGATTCTTGGCGACAAATGAAATGGCCACGGAGAGCTTTAGTTACTCATGTACATTATATACTACATGTATATGCAGATTTGAGCTTATATAATAATAATAAAGTGGGAAGTTTATAGGCCAATTATTTTTTTCTTCTTTCTTTTATTTGAACAAATCTGGTTTCTGACTCTGCTTTTAAATGTGTACCACGTTGATATCCTAAAAATTCTAGCCTCCCATTTGTACCTCAGGTTGACAAATACCAGATAGAAACAAAACATACAATACATATATAACATAACAACATAGATGTCTGGTCACATTCACTCCTCCAGAGTACTCAATATTCCTCGGGGCGGGGTTAAATAACCCCTTCCTCTGAGCTTTTATAAATCAGCAATCAATCAAGAACTGACTGTCAAATTCAGTCCTTGAACTTTCAGTTATTTTAATTAGTGTTTTTTTCAATGAATTTTAGGTATCCAATTTACCAAAAAGGAAACCCCCAATTGAGGATATTTCTACCGGATTTCTGGCTTAAGTTAATCAAGCCACACCACAAGCAGCCCAAAAATGTTGTGCAATTTATGGCCCCGACTGAAATGTCTGACGTCGATATAAAAAACTACCTAGAAAAAATTTACAAAGTCCCTGTTGCTCATGTTGAGTCCAAAATTGAAGAAGGTGAAATTTTTAATTTGTTACGTTAATTGTTTTACAATCGGGCTGGTTTTCAGGCGAGTTGAAAAGGCAGAGGGTCAAGGGCTATGTTATTAAAGGCCCTGATTTTAGACGAGCTTTCGTCACTTTAGTAAGGATTTAAGCAACTAAATAATCAGTTGTTTCAACAATCTGCTTTAATGTCATTATAATTTTAGCTCGATGGCAATACGTTTGAATTTCCCAACATATGTCAAGAAAAAGAAAAAGAAGAAGAATCAGAATACAAAAAGTTGCAAAAAGAAATGGCTGATAGCTACAAAGTGTTCAAGGAAAAGAACAAATCACATCCTGGCATTCCTGGCTGGTTCGGGATTTAATAATTGTATTTGTATTTTAAACTTTAGAAATGTCTGGGTAATTATTTAAAGACTGTGTACATATTCATAATAAATTTGTTTAGTTTATTTTTGTTTGTTTCAATTAACAGTGGCAAATGTATCCTAAATCTTTGAAATAATTTTCAAATTTGAGGTTTTTGTGTATATTTCACAGGGACATGGTAAAAAAAGGGATTTAATCAAACCACTAAGAAAAACAATCAATTTACGAGAAAGGTTAAATGAACATTTGATATTGTAATTTCTCTAAACAAGCAACAACATTAATACTTACAAAGCAACTGAATTAATTAACAAAAATGCTTCAACTTCAAAGGACTTACCAGCAACTGCATTAATCAACAATAACGCTTCAACTTCAGAGTACCTACCTACCAGCAATTGGAGTAATTATTAGCAAGTTTCAATACCAGAGATTTGCCAGTAACTGAATTAAATGACAACAATGCTTCAACTTCAGAGTACCTACGAACTACTGAATTAATTGGTATCCAATTAGCAATGTTTCAATATGGATTTGAGACTAACACTTTAACTTCAGGACCTACCAGTAACTGAATTAATTAGCTATAATGCTTCAACTTCAGAGGAAAAATATCAGCTGAACTAACTTCTAAGATGAAAATAAGAAAACTCGAACCAGTTTACAACAAAAAGGAAACCAGTTAACAAAGAGGAAAAAGTATTTTGTGGAGAAAATTGGAAGAAATTTAAAGACATTGGTTGCCCAGTTTTGTTTTATGTACCTAAGATAAATAGAGGTCCATTGGACACAACTATTATGTGAATCATCAAATTGGTACTTCAGTTTGCATCTTAAAAGAATGGCATCCTAGAAACGTGCTTCAAATAGCTACAACCACATTTACCAATTAAGCTAGGTTTGAAATTGCCGGAAAATTATCTTAATTCGGAGGTAAAGTATACTAGAAATATACCTGTGAAAAATTTAAAGTATGATGCAAAATAAAAAAATGTGTCTGTAAAAAAAGTAACTTGATTTGTAATTCGAGATGCCACAATTATATCTATTTAATATTTGAGCAATAATTAACAACTCCTACAAACTTACAAATTATGTTGTGATTAACAAATCAATTTGGGATTTGGGTTAGAAGGATGATAGTTAATCATGAATATATTTATAAAAATGTTCTTATTTCATAATAAAACCAAGTAATTTTTAAATTAGCCCAATTATTAAATAACTACTTAATTAACCTAGAAATACTTTATTGGGTTAAAAGTTATCAAACAATTTTCGGTGCATTTAAATGAGCTGCCTATTCAAGCACTATTACTTGAACACCAGTCATGGTTTGTTCTGGAATCATGAAAGGACTCTTCGTCATTTTTGTCATGGCAATCATTTTAGAATTTTCCTCGGTGTCAGGACAGACCAAGGCTCCAACAAATTCAACCAATTCAACTTCAGAGACCAAGGTATTAAATATTTCTATATAATTAAAGTGGAAAATGCGATTAATGATCTTTTGTAGGAACAACTCAGGAGATTCTTTCTCGATACTGCCATTTGTACCAAAAGAGTTCAGCTTGAAATTATAAGAGAAATTGAACATTTGTATCTATGGTTTGCTGATCACGTTCTCGACCTTTTTAAGGTAAACTTAAAACAAAACTACCTATATACAACATTACGGTTTATTCATATAATACAAGTTATGTTACTTTATGTTATTTATTTCAGGCAAAACCTAAAACTTGGCTTCATTATTAATTTTGTTTAAAAATAATTTTGTACCAAGAACTTTATACCTTACATTTAAAAAGATTAATTATAATTTAATATTAAATTTTTTTCTAATTATTATTACATGTAAACTTTACATACTTCATATACTAAATTGTAATAATTACCTTAAGTGTTTATTTTTATGAAAATTAATGCGATTTCAAATAGTTGCAAGTATGAAATAGGAACAGGAAAAATGGAGCTAGAAGTGTAAAAAGTTTTTACTCTCTTATGAATAAATATTAAAAGTAAAATCAATATTTTGTTATTATTTACTTAAACAAGTGTTATTTTGTTAGTTAATTATTATTATTATAATTTAAAATGTGTAGAAAATTATTATACTAAAGGAATTATAAAATAAATTATTATTACTACATTATATATTATTAAAATCAAAATACCTTTTAAAATTTTACCTACTAAAAAAGGCAAATAAAAAAATAAACAGATAAGAGATAAAAAAAACAATGAGTGTGCAATCTATTGTTTCTTTCTTACTGATTTTCTTGAATTGTCAACACATTATTTCTGCGGAAAAAAATTTTATATATTCCAAAGCCAATAAATAGAAAAAAGTATGGCAAAAATTGTAAAAAAATTTCAATATTTTATAGTTTACAAATTTATATAATAATCTGACAACATTTATTTTTGTTTTGCAAGAAATAGAATAAAAGTTAAAAGTGTACAAACAAATGGCTTCAGTCTTTAAAATTTATTTTGACTACAGTTTGATAATTTAAAAATGAACCATTTTGACTTAGAATGTTCTCACTCCTTCAACGACAATGCTAATAACGTTTTACATTAAACCTACTAGCTTTCCGCCAATTAAATCTAGAGTTTGTGTCAAACCTTTTCCAAAATCTAAAACTTTCTGCTTAGGAAACTGTAAAACAAGAAATAAATAAATTAGAAAAGCAAAAAAAATATGGTTTCAGTATTTAAACAATTAATAATTCTATTTTTTAAATATTGATATATCCAGTTATTAAAAATACAAAAACTCACTTGCAAAGCACTCGCTGCAAAACTCGAAACCTTGGAATACATATCTACAAATTTTTTTCCAAGTTCGTGTGTTACAGTATTGCAGCACAATTCTGCCTCTTTGGCAGTATCAACTATCGGTTTTGCCTAAAAAATCAACTTTTATAACTTGTCTGCAGATCTTGAACATTTTAAGTTTAAAAACTAAGATAAGCATAAAATATTCCAATTAATTTATCTAAGGTTTGTGAACCCACGGCCTTCAGCTCAATGTGCTGCTGCTCTAACCACTCTTGATCTACCATGACACTAATTTTTCATCTCAGCCAAAAAAACTTACATAAAAAATAATTAATTGGAATAATTAATATGGTCAATTATAACTACTAAGCAAATACGGATTAATTTAATTTTAAAAATATGTAGTTAGATTTAAATGAGTGCAAAAATTGAACATTAAATAATAATACACGGTGAAATTTAAAAAATCTCGGAACATGCTGGTCTGCTTATTGCTGCTTTTGTCTCTCCAACCACCAAATAACTGTTGCAACACAATAAGAATGGGCATATCAGCTTTATCGAGATGATGTATCGCAAATATTAACAACCATAAAGCACCTTAAGTTTATGCACTTAAGAAGAAAATAAAATTTATTTCAATTAATTATTCTTTCTATCTAAGGTCTTGGTTGACATGAAAATGTTAGTGACATGAGCAGGATTCGAACCCACAACCTTCAGCTCATAGCTGAGCTATCATGGCACAAGTGGCTATAGCAGCGGCATATTGAGTCCAATATCTTAGACAAATTGAAATAATTAATATGGTCAATTATGACCGCTGTACATATATGGATTAATATAAAATTTATTATTTATACCTACATTGCTTAAAAGCTTTTCTTGTAGACTATTTATAGACAGAAGTTCCTTGGGGAAGCAATGTGACAATTGGACGATGGCGATGAACAACAGACATATTGTTACTGAAAACTTCATGATGAACGATTGACAACTGAAAAATTATTGTTTTTCATACCACAACAATATTTACGTTCAATATAGTGAGACTAGTGATAGAATATCCTTTTATTTTTAATAGTAGTATCATTGAACTATTTCAAACTGATGATTCCTGTCGATATTTTTAAAAATATGCTGTTACATAAATTACAAATCATACATGTACCCGATAATCATCATAATTTTTGTAATATCAATTAAATTTGGTTTGAAAATTAGATAAACTTTTCATTTCATATGTTTGAAAAGGATTTTTTTAAACCATTAAAGCCTAGCAATTTTTTTTAAAACTTTTTATTTTATATGTATATAAGTAATATATTTGCTTTTATTTGCCAATTTTTCAATGAATATAATGACGGAATAATTTTAAAAAATGGTAATTAATGAATATATTTAAATACTATTGTCTATCATTTAAACAATACAAAATGAAAGATATATTTTTGTAAAACATTAATTTTTGTGTATTACAGCATACGCACAAAATAAAGACAATATTTATAGATTCAAAGAACTTAGCAAATTGTTTTTAATGATTTCTTTAGACGTTTCATAATTTTCAGTGGTGTGTTGAAATTTTAAAGTAGATTTGAATTTAGCCTTATTACCCTGTTGTTTATGACAATTTATATATTGTAAATATAAAAATACAAATTTAAAAATTTTTTAACACAGAAGTTATAAGTGAAAATATTTACCAGCGCTTATATCGTAGATGTGCAAGGTACAGGCTTGTTTATGGACTGCTTTGGATGACAAAACTTAAGCAACACAGTGGCCCAATCCTAATGAAAGCCCCACTCCTGGGGCTCACTGAATTTTATAAGTGAAAGTAGAGGTGGATGTGAAATGAGTGCTAAGGGAAGTTGGGAAATTACCCTAGTAATTTTTTTCAGTTGTAACAGGGTGTTTCAATACTCAAGAATAATTTTTATGAGAACCAACAGTTTAAGGAAATAAATAAATTGCTGTATCACTGTTTTATTAATTTACAACTCTTAAAAAGAGTGGTAAGTCCAAGACTAGTTTTGAAGTAATTTCTTTAAAATACACTTTAAATCTTATTATTGAAATTTTATTTAAAGGCAAATGAACATGATATCAACATCCTGAATAAAATAATGCAGTTCATCAATTTTTTCAAAATCTTTCTTTTTTAATAGTTTAGCTCTCTGGTTATCTCGGTCTGCCTGCTCTCAATGGTTGGCAGACCAGAAAGACCAAAAAATACATTTTCAACACATCGCAAACTCGACTAAAATCTTATAATTTTTCATTTTCAATTGATTTCAAAATATACATTTGCATTCAAGCCAAATGTTAATTGAATATGTATCATTTAATCAAGTATTAGTGAAAACCAGAGTTTTCACTTTTAATCATTATTTTCATGATGTCACATTCATTAGAATTCAAACCAACATTTCATTATGCTTTCTCTTCCTTGTTACACTGACAAAATTTGTAATGATAAAATAAACTTAATTTTTATTCGTATTACAGTAGAAATTCATTAATCTAAACTTGAAAGGACCGTGACTTATCCGGATGATCCGAAAATTGTGATTTTATTAGTATTGTGTCATAAAAACGGAAAAAACACACATGAAAGTGAATACTTTTATTCATATATCAAGTTACATTTAAAGTAATAGATAGGTTTTATTAGCTTTTATTGTTGTTCAACTCCAGACACGCGTTTCTCAAAAAAAAATTACGTAAAACATACCTAATAAAAATATATGTAATAAAAAAACCTTTTCAATGGAAGCCAACAGATGAACAACACAACACAACAATTTCTATTTATTTTTAACAAAAAAAAGTGACTGTCGGCCTCTCCAGCCTCTTCCATCGTGTGACTAGTGGAAGTGCCTTGATTTGGTGGCCTTTACGAATTTCGAACGACAAATTAAGCATATAGTTGAATTATGAATTTAAAAGAATTAATACACATGCATTGAGAAATATGAAAAATTTATAAAAAATAACATTTTAACAAACGGGTCCAGATAAACGGGTTTCCACTGTACTTTTTTTTCTTTCTTTTTTTTTTTTTTACAATGTATACCAGGATCTGGAGGAGTTCTCTCCTGAGCACTGCAGCTCTACAGCTTATTGTACTTTATCGCTGGCTCCATTTTTTGGGGGCTCGCAACACAAGTGTGAATTTGAGCCCCCGGTGTGCCAGTGTTCTTCCATCGAAGAAACTCATTTTTGAAGGGGGTTGGAACCAAATTCTGGGTCGCTGAGATCTGATCCCGCTCCTTCCATTGATGAGTGCCATGTCAATTTCTTTCAATTGCAGCCACCGGTCGCTTAGGCGACAAAAAAAGTCCAGAGGCGACAGTGGGGATCAAACCCACGACCGTGGGATCTACTAGCCGAGAGTCTGACGCCTTAACCACTCGGCTCCCCCCCCCACTGTACCTTATTTTTAATGTTAATTATGGTTTGACATAGGGACAGTTTTTTTTTAATTGAAAATTTCAACAATACAAAAATTTATTCGTTACATTTTTATTATAAATTTAAATACAAAAAAATATATTTATAACAAAACTCCTTCCACATTTAAATGCTAAACAGGAAGCTTCCAAATAGTAACAAAATTATCGCTTGCTGTACAGATGTAAGGTAGGTTATGATGGCAAGTCAACTCAGTGCACATCTACAAAAATATAATATTTTATTTAAGTACATCCTTCATTTATGCTTCAAAGTCACACTGATACCTTTAATGAAGAAGAGATATTAGTGGTATAGATGCCTGACGGGCTTGTTTGGTGAATCTTCAATGTATTATCATGTGATCCCAAGGTAAGAAGTTTTGATTCGCACAAAGGGAAAAATTTAACTTTTATACCGCCTTCAGAGTGAACTGTTCTATCGACAAGAGGGGCACTGAAATCAAAAATCAAATTAAAATATTTTTAAAAAATTAAAACCAAGATGAGTTACTTTTGAACTGACCTAGGGCTATTTATGCACCAAAGGACTAGATTGCCTCCACAAATTGCACTAATATAATCGGTGTTCGTAGGTGACCAGTCCATCGATAGCAAAGGGCTTGCTTGAGACCTTAGAGAGAGTACTGTCTGTCTTGTAGTAACATTGTGTAATGTTATAACACCGGATTTTTCGGCCACTAGTAATTTTGCAGAATCGTCTTTGTGCCAGCTCACTGCAATCCCTGCGCATTACAATTATTTTTTCAAAATATGTAAAAACCAAGCGGGTGGAATTATTAAGAAAGGAAAATACCAGGTGAAGAAAGAAAAAATTTATAAATTGGCGCATAGGAGTTAGCGGCTGACCAGATTCTACATGACAAGTCATCGCTGCATGATGCTAGAAAGTTTCCTTCTTTATCGTACTCTATACCATTTATATATCCTGTGTGGCTGTTTATAACCTAAAATACAAGATAAAATATAACTTTATACAAATTTATAAACTATATAAAGTTTTATGGAGTATAGTTATACATCGGACAATCATCTAACTAGTGCGACAAATTTTAAAAAGATTGATGAGAAAATGTTCTGAGAGAAAAATGCACTGACGCAAAGTTAACAACTTTAAAAGCTTGATTACATCCCGAGAATGTTGAGCATTTGTTTGGATTGAAAGGTGGTTGTTTTATTATGAGCTTCTTCTGCCCAACCAAATCATTAATTCAAGTGTGCTGTGCACAATTAGAGTGATAAAAATCAGCAATTTACCAAAAACAACCACCATTGATTAATTGCAATGGGATGTTTTCCACACTATAAAGCTCGCCCACACATCGTATTTGCCTGATATTGTTCCTTCAGATTTTCACTTATTCTAAACTCTATTAATCAGAAAAACTTTACTTCACTTAAAGTCTGCAGAAAACACATTAAGAAGTTCATAGTTTAAAAACCTGAGAAGTTCTGGAACATGGGTGATGGCCACAGGTAATAGTACAAAATGGTTTATATATTGTTATTTAACTTTGATTATAAATACCTGAAATTTTCCTTAAACATATCAAAAAATGCTAGGAACTTATCTTTCGATCCAATATAAATCAGCATCAAAATTAGCAATGAGGCACTTTAGCAAATAATTAAATTTTAATTAATTAATTTTGTTCTGCCTATTCAAGCTTTTACAGTCTGTCAGATGAATTTTGGATCTGATAGAATAAAGCAGGCAACCAAAAAATTATCATAAATGATAAATCTAGAAGTTCATCACCCCTCACACCCCATGAGGAAATTCCACAATTAAATTAATTATTATTATTTTCCATTGACTCATGTACGTAATTACTAATTACACATGGCATTGTCACCATTGTCCAGGAGATGCAGGAATTGATAGAAATGGTCTAGGAAGTTAACCACAGCACTAACTAGTAGGACTTTCAACTAATATTTATACAGATTAGAGAAACTCTAAAAAGAAAAAAAGAAGTACAGAATAAAGGACTGTTCACAGGTCGTACGGAACATCCTAGCGGTATTTAAATAGAGTTAAATTGAGAATTGAGTTCAGAGTGTGCAAGGTCAAAATCCATTACTACTATAAGTAAACTTATTGAAAAAAATAATAAAATTAAACTCGCATCAGTTTTTAATAATAATCTTGGTTAAATCCCATCAGTGAAGATGGCAATGATAGGCAGACTAAAACGTTTGGAAAGGATTAAACTACAATTTAATCACTGTGCAGACCTTACAATTTTTGTATGAAAATGCAGCGAAAAATAAACAGTAAAGTTTGAAGTGAGCAAAACCAAAACAACAAACAAAAAAACCTATAAAAGTATAGAGTAATTCCTTGGCTTAATGTCCACCTACCATTGTGCCAAGGACAAAGGATACCAATTTACAATATATTTTTCATACTATTTTCTATTAAAAAACTATGGGCTATGACGGGGTTCAAATCCAGGACCATTAGTGTGGCAAATACAAATTGGCCACCCTAACATCTCACCCTACGTGGTCAAACAACTAAAAAAATTTCTTCTCCTCCGACTGAAACACATTTGGATTAGGCAGACTTTGTATTAGTAGTGTATGGATTAACGGATGGTGTATATGTATTCACTAGAGAAAATGTACTTAGGCTTACAAGTTACAACACAACTATATAAAAAATACAACTGATACAAGATAAATTAATTAGAGATCATGAGATGCGGTCTGGTGTGATGTAGGTTTGAAAAACATTTTCTTTATCATGTCAACGTTTCAATCTTTATTTACCTCATCTTCAGGGCCTGAGATTTATAAGCATTATTTAAATTATACAAATGCATGTAGGATGTGAAAATGAATTTATACAATGATGTACACAATATAGAAATTTTCGGTTTAATCAAAGTATTTGTACTCACTCAAAGTGGGGTCTATCACACTAACACTCTCAAGACGACACACAACAATGGCACACATCTACACAGAAAACACACACTTTTAGTGAGTACAAATGCTTTGATTAAACTGAAAATTTCTATATTGTATACATCATTGAATAAATTCATTTTCACATCTTACATGTATTTGTATAATTTAAATAATGTTTGTAAATCCCAGGCCCTGAAGATGATCTAAATAAAGATTGAAACATCGACACGATAAAGAAAACCTTTTTCTAAACCTACATCACACCAGACAGCATCTCACGATCTCCAAATAATCATTAATCAACGGTCAATAAACACCACACGTAGGTAATAAAATTCAAAGATGTAATAAGAATACTGTAAGATTGGAACTAATCAAGCGAGGATTACTTATATTATATAATAAATTATACCTTTGTACTAATTCTATCAATGTCAGCACCATGGTCAAATGCGACAATGATTAGCTGATTTTTCGAATTGGTGAACGCTAAAATGATTGTTTTGGGTGCAATTTTGATGTTGCTCTCTGGACTTAGGCACATTCTGTGAACCCTATGTTCTACTCTCAACTCCTCCACCTTTCTGTAGCTCACTTCCTCAATCTGGCAGTCATCCTCTTCCTAAAAAACAAAAAACCAAGGCCAGTGTTAAATCATTCATACACAAGGAAGTGGTAGATAAACAGACCTTAAACTTTATCTGGCCGACTATGATTTTTGAAGCGAGTGCCACGCATATCAAGTCGTGGCACCACAAATAAGGCGAAAACTCGATGCTGTAGACCTTTTCACTGAATTCTAACTTCGCCTTGGGAACGTCGTTCATTGAATTTCGATACTTTTCAGCCGTTGAAATAGATTTGTCATGAAAAAGAGAAGAGCTCATCACGTTAGAAGGCATCGTCAAAAAAATCGGTTTTCAAGAATAAATAGAAATTCGGCGATTTTCATTAAACCGAAATTACTTTTAAGTTATTATTTTCAGAAATAGCGGCAAGATAACCTACTAGCAAGTAGCAAGTGGTTGAACCAAGAACCAATGTCCTGCATGGTCCTTCCCAACATGAAAGCCACCAATTACGAACCTGTCATCAATTTTGGTAACAATTTCATTTTCACCAAGTCCTTGCATAAAAAGATTAATTAATTGAAAGAAGTAATTTGGTCAATCAGAACACTAAATATAATGGAGTTGGTAACAAAGTTTTCTGTTTTAAGTAAAAAATATAAAAATTATAATTTTGAATATACTGCATTATTTTTTGATATATTTTTCAAACTATATTACATCAACCACTTAGTGGATGGTAATAAAACACACACAAAAAAATTAGTTTTTATAAAAGTTTCTCTGCCCTGTGAAAAGATAATCAAAGACTTCGTCATCATTGTACCAGCTCCCTTCCTAGGCCATTTCCAACAATTCTTGTATTCACTGAAGCCCAGCAAAGGGTGGCAATGGCATACGCAATTACCTACTAGTGCTAATTGTAAAATAATAATTAATCACATAATAAAATGCAAATAAAAACGGAAGATGATAGAAATCGAATGCCCAGACAAACCATTACTCAAGGTTAAGAAGACAAAAATGACTTGAAGATGATGAGAAACCGAATGCCCAGACAAACCATCACTCAAGGATAAGAATACCAAAATGACTTGAAGATGATGAGAAACCGAATGCCCAGGCAAACCATCACTCAAGGATAAGAATACCAAAATGACTTGAAGATGATGAGAAACCGAATGCCCAGACAAACCATCACTCAAGGATAAGAATACCAAAATGACTTGACTAAACTATCACCCTTATCTTGCTTCTTTTTTTTTTTTTCTTGAAACTTCCAGCCTAATTTTCAGTGTGCGTCACCTGTCTACCAGACCGTTTTACTCCTTGCTTCTGCATTATTTAACTAATCTGAATTTTTGTTATTTTAAACAGGTCTCGGTCCCAATCATTTAAGGTTATGAAGATTCTACTATAGATCTGCAGTCTGTTGCACTGACAGAGTATGTACAATTGTACATGTTTAGACTACAGTCTCTTTTCAATGAAACTATAAAAATTCAGAGCATTCCCCTTTTTTCTCTGATGCATTTTAAAATTTCTTTCTTTTTAAATACTGCTAGATTTTTGTGACCAAATTTTATTAACTCAGTACTTGTTTCAATTTTTTCAAAACGTTTTTCATGCCTGTGAAAATGTGTGTGAGGTATATTATATTCATGTGTGGGTATTAACAATGTGTTAAAAATTAAAAAAAAAATCTATTGTAGACTGCTACCTACATAAGTACTAGCCACAAAGAAAATTTGTTGTTAAATACTTTCTTTCATTCGCTCATATTTTTTTGCATATTGAACTTCTACTATATAAACTTCCTGAGTAATTAATAATAAATTTGACATCATATGAAATACAAAATGTGCTCTTATTAATTCATTTTTCCTTAGTTTTTATGAACAGTTACATTATTTAAATACATTTTATTGTTTGTTAATTTGTTTTCTGGACAATACAGTAGATTTTTAATAAATTATTGAATATGAATTTAAGTGGATTGCATTCGAGCTAGATTAAATATAATTTTGTAACTAAGGATAATAAAGAATCTGAATATCTATTTTTCTCCTAATCCCCTGATACACAAATTATATAATACACCACACATCCTTGCCTTATTTATTTTTAACATGGGACACATTTGGGATTTATCTCGTTTGACTTTCTTTTTTTATTAGATATACATTTTTTTGAGATTTGAGAGAAATGAAAGTTTGACATCACCATCTTTCATTCGCCTGGTGAAGCAACACACTGAGTGAATGTGATAAAAACTATTTTTCGTTCCCTTGTAAAATGTTCTATAAAATCAAAATTGGTTGCAAACATTAAATTTCATGGTGATGAATAAAACTGCTGACTCAATTGGGCCGACGACACCAACCTATCCTAGATCCTTAACCTAGATAAGTTGATAATAATATCAAGTTATTTCATTTTTCCTATAAATTGCCATAACACTGCATTGCTGGTATTTCTTTGGTAAAACAAGTTTAAACACATAATCAGTAAGTATGGTAAACATTTTTTTTTACAAAAATATATATTTTTTTACAAAACGAAATAATGAAACTAGTTAAAATAAATAACAAAACTCTTTTCAAACACTTTTAATAAAATAATGACTTTTTGTCTCAACAAGACATAAATAACAATGTTATTAAATAACTTGTCTCAACACTGTTTTTCAAGTCTGCAAATAGGGTTTTCTTGTATCATAGATATTTGCACTTTAGGCCCAACTAAATCTCTTATATTGTTGAGCTTAAATTTAATCATTGCAGGCCTTTCTAAGGAGAGGCCCCATGCGATGACATTGACACCAGGTGGTAACCCCATAGGGAGCAACATCTCAGGTCTGAACATTCCTGAATTTCCAACTTCTATCCATTTGGACAAGCCTGGATGAAAGCAAAATATCTCCATGCTTGGCTCGGTGTAAGGGTTGTAGGCAGGTTTAAACTTGAGTTGCGTAATACCAAGTTTTTCAAAGAATCCGTGAATAACACCGATTAAATCTCCAAGCGACAGATTGTAATCTGCAACAAAGCCTTCCACTTGATTAAATTCTGCGAGATGAGTAGCATCGAGTGTTTCATTTCTGAACACTTTATCTATGCTAAACATTTTTACAGGTTGAAATTCTCCTTTCTGTGCTAAATTGTACAGAAATCTTGCACTATTTGCCGTAGTGTGAGTTCTGAGTATGTTTTTCTTTGCTTCGTTAATAGACCAGTTGTACTTATAACCTCGAGACCCGTATTTTCCTTTGCTGTGCACTTCTTCTACACTTTCTAAATACTTGTTAGGTACTTTTGTCAGGTCCGACTCTTTGGGGTGGTCTAAGAAAAATGTGTCATGCGCATCCCTTGCCGGATGTTGTTGTGGTTGAAACAACGCGTCAAAATTCCAAAACGAGTTCTCCACATAACTACTCGTATCCATCTCGCTGAATCCCATTTCTAAAAATATCTTCTTAAATTCATCTTTCATTTTCATAAGTGGATGCAGTGCACCGGGCACAGTCGGCACACCCATAGCTTCAAAATTGTAATTCTTGAACTGTGCACTTTTCCACAAGCCGGATTCCAACATTTCAGCCGTCAATTCAGTCTCTTGTTTAGATAGATTCGAACCAAACTCTTTACCCTTTTTGACGTTGAAAACAGTCATAGATGTCTCTTTGATTAGCTTTCTTTTTTTGAACTCAGCTTTCTTTTCATCGCTAACTTTCAAGTAGTCCTTTGCTGCGATGGACTCCAGATTCATCTTGATGTCGTCCTGGACAGAATCGAGCACCGGGGTGATCAGATTCCCTGGCAACTTCTTCACCCAGTTGTTAGCCATGGCTTTGTTAAAGCCAATTTTGGCATTGTGCACATTCTTCATGACTTCAGAGAGAGGTGCTTCCTTTTTCTCTTTGACATAGTTGAAGACCAGTACCTTGAAAAATGCGTGCATTATCAATAAAAGTACTATAATAACAAGTCAATTTTAAGAGAGAAGCATAGAATTTTCATTTCTACTAGAAAATATATCCAAAATAAAATGCATGTCTAAAAACCACCAAATTTAGTTGTTTCGTGAAATCTTCTCACACACCTCATAACTGGCATTGTCCTTTATCCATTTCCCTTCATCTGTCAGCTCCCAAAGGGTAGTCGGCACGGCTTCCACTTCGATGACTTCCCCTTTGGACTTCAAGCTGTTTATCTGTCCAATTACGATTTCGTGAGCACATCCGAGATCATGAGCAACCTCTTTGCTGCTAACTTGGTCGTTCAATCGCAGCTTTTCCAAAATTTGGGCAATGACCGGAGACTCGTCCATGGTCATTCTTTAAACTGTAAAGTGTAAAATTTGAAAATTCAGCCTTTAGACAACGTGTTATCGTTGAGGCGAGGTTAAAGAACTGTTGGTACTTTGGTTGGCACGTTACACACCAGACGACAGCTGAATGGACTGTTGGTACTGTTATTGGTTAGGATCAGTTAACTATTGGCGGTTGTTTCCAAAAACGATGATGGCCTTGACCATAAAAACAATGCTTATCTAATAAATAATTGTCAATATTATTCAAGATTTATTTACATTTATGTTTACATTATATTTACATTTACCTTTGTTAAAGACAGATTCAACGGCCTAAGCTGTCAGAGGTGTCTCATTTAACTAACTAAAGTACAAGTTACTGCATACAATAAGTTGAATCCATAAAAATTAAAACAGAAATAAATGAATGAATTTATGGTATTTTCACACATTACACCCAAAAGGCACAGCAAATGAACTGTTGGTATTACTTTAGCTAGTTGTTAGCAATTGTTTTCAAAAGTCCCAAGTATAAGTAATGCTTCACCTTTACCATTTAAACAACACTTAATTTAATAAATAATTAACAAATTATTCAAGCTTTATTTATATATAAATGTATATTTACATTTATAATTCTATATATCCTTTGTTAAAGACAAATTCCATGGCCTAAGCTGTCAGAGATGTCTCATTTAATTAATTAAAGTGTAAATAAATTCCAAGTCACTGCTTAATATAGGTTGAATCCATAAAAGTGGAAATCCATAAACAAATAATTTTATGGTACTTTTTTTGTAGATTTATCGGCCAACTTATGTTCTCCTGGTTGTTATCAGGGATGTGGTCAAAGAAAATATTTTTAAGTTAAATCTTCGTCTAGCTTTCGGAACTTTATTGTACTTTCTTCAGGGCTCTACAAAAGGATATATTATACATTTTAATTTTGGCCAATTTAACATCAAATATAAGAACAAGATACACATTTACTGATTTTTAGTCAGAAGTATATAAACTTAAATTCTTTTATTTTCATGTTAACATGAAAAACCTTTTCACTTTTTTCTTTACCTTTTCAACTATGAATAATGAGTAACTATGAATATGATACTTAGCCCCGTTACACACTACAAGGTACAGCTGAATGGACTATTGGTAGCTGTTAACAATTGTTTCCAAAAGACCTGATTCTAAGTGATGATGCGCCTTTACCATTTAAAGAATAGATAATAATAAATAACAATAAAGAAATAATTGACAAAATTATTCAAGCTTTATTTACATATATGTATATTTATGTTTATAATTCTATATATGCTTTGTTAAAAACAAACTCAGTTAATTAAATTGAACCCTTAAAAATGAAAATACATAAATAAATAAATGTCATTAATATACTTGATGGTTCAGTAGGTGTGGGTTGTTCTATTTTAAGGTAGTCCCGTAACCAAACATAATGATCCTCTGGTCAGATATACCTACAGATCCTTTGAAAAAAATGGTGTATACTTGTCTATGTCATCAGAACTTTTTACTTTGTTAGTAAAATTGCCTCTTTTTGTTTGGCTTTTCTATTGTACTGCCATTGCAGCTCAAGAGCACTTCTCAATGTTTTACTCTTTGCGGGAAGAATATCTTTAACACCATTGAGAAATTTTGCTATTTTGTCGGAAGCTTATCTGGTGAGGCATCAACAAGGGTTGTGATTTTTCGTATCACAGTAGCAATTTATGAACCTCTGAGAAATGTGTTGAATGAGTTCAATGACAAAAGAATTCTTGATAGAGCTTCCGTAGAATGTAATTCCAAAAAAGTGACAAAGGAGAATCGACTGAGGAGGGCCAAGGGCCAAGTGTTGGTTAAAAAGTTTTGTTAACAAAATAAAAACTGGTGGAAGAGTTCATATACAAGAAAAAACATACCTTCATGCTGAACATTTAATCATAACCATTTCCTTTATATATCTTAAGGATGAGGATTTATTTTAAGAAAATGAAATATTAAAGATAAATTAAATTTGTGTTACTGTATAAAATAAATAACATGTCACCTATTTCTTTATTTTTTATTTACAAAAAATAATCTGATGAATTGATAACAACAGTTGATTACAATACTTTTACACAATATGGCTATTTGCAGATAAATGAATCTTATATTGGTGACTTTGGTCTTGATTTGGCCTCTTCTTGTTTTATCAGAAGAACAAAAAGATTGTGTATTACTGAAATTACACGAAAGACATAAGCGACAACTTAAAGAAGTAATAAATATAATATGTGTTATTACATGTTTATGTTTCATAATTATTGATATTTTAATATATTTTCAGATAGGCAAGATCATAATGAGAACTCCAAATTGTTTTGCTGCAGTTTCTCAAGAATTACAAGTCAGGCTTCCAGCCTATTATAGGCAATTTGCAGCTTTGATAGTCTATTTGGTATTATTATCTACTCATTTCAGCAACTTTAACATATTATTATTAGGTACTGTGAGTGTGAATTTCAGGGTGGCCATACTTATGGAGATGCAGCAAGGGAAAAGGCAGCAAGGGATAAGACTACACAAGGTCCACCAAAAATAGGTTGAAAAAGCACTATTATCTTCATCATTACATTATTCTAATTTGCATTTGATTTAAAATCATGTTACAGTAAACAAAACATTATTTATAAAAAGATTTATTCAGATTGTATACAAATGTTGATAATTAGCATGACTAATATAGTTGAAATTCAATAAATAAAAAAAGGATTTATTAGCTTATAAGCTACTGCCCAGCATAACTAGCCTTTTGGCTTCTGATAAGTTTAATTATAATTAAATTAAGTATTTAAAAAAAATTATTTTCCTTTCCCATTTAAAAACTGGTTGACTGAAGTGAGTGCTGCAATTGGGATCTGCAACATAAATAAATTATTATAAGCAATTCAAAAACATTTTAACAATCACTTTTTATACAACTTACAGCAAAGGTACTGTCATAGTTTTTATGTACTGAACCATCGACACTGACAGAACCTGCAGCGGCTTCGGAATTAGCTGAATTCAGGCCAGATCTTGCAAGAACCGAGGATGATGAACTGGCATCAGCACTGGCAACAGATCCTGTCCCACTGAATCCAACTTTTCCTAAACATATATAAAATCAATATAATGCAATCAATGAAATTTAAAATGAAGTTGCATATCGACATGCTTTAAAAAATTCAGCATAAAACAAAAAGCAGCATTCATATTTTAATTAAGCTTTCACCTTGCATAAGTTCTTTCAAAGCATCGCAGTTTCCATGCCTTCTACATTGTTTTTGCGCTCTCCTTACCAACAAAGCTTGTTGAGTATCTAAATTGCAGGTAAAAAATAAAACCAAATGCAATTTTTACTCAATCAAGGACAGACATTTATAACAAAACAGATAGCAACTTAGACAATGACAATACCAAGTTAATAGAATTAGTTAAGATGGAGTCAGTATATCATTTCACTGGCTGGAAAGGATATTCATAAATTGGTGTTAAGCCGATCCAGATTTCAAGCACTAAATGCTCATCATCAGGCTGAATCTTCAGGGGGTTGCAAAGCCCTATAGATTTCAACCTTGTGATGAGCATTTAGTGCTCAAAATAAAAATTGCTGTTTAAAATTAGTTCATGAGTAGAACTATCCTTGCCAACCAGTGTACCAAGTTAATTCACAATATTTTCAGAAGCTAATAACATTTTTGTTATATTTGTTGTTTTTCACCCCTCGTTTATATAGAAGAATTATACAAATACAGTAATAATTTTATAAATTTACCTTTATTATTGAGATGAGTGTTTACAGATTTTAAAACAGAGATCGGAATCTGTAATAGAAAATTATTCTCAATATATTTAAACTGTAAATTTGGTTATAAATAATACCAAAGAATTTACATTAAAAATTGAGTCAAAAAAGCCTGGACCGCCAAAGGATCCACCACCTGAGCCACTTGCCCCTACTGAAGCACTGGCAGCAGCACTGCTAGAACTTCCACTTCCAATTCCTGCAAAAAGATAAAATATAATTTATCGAATATTGAATAAATAACGTATATTCAAATTGAGCATGGCATTTTAAACTATTTCCATAATGAAATCAAAACAAATCACAGAAGGCAAAGGACGTTTCATTGATAAATGGAAGACTTCTAAAATCGTCATATTCATTCATAATGCTGATAAACACCCTGTGAATCTCATTAGCTACCTTTTGTCAATTTGCTTAGTGACCTAAGTAAATATTTGAAAAGATCATTGATTGAGGAATTAGAAAACACTTGGACCTCCAGGGGATACTGCTTTGGGAACAGTTTGGCTTCAGGCCTTTCCTGTCAACTCTAGCCCAACTACCAGGCTGGTCGACCAATTTCATGGAATTTCAATAGTAAAAATGCATATTGGAGCCATATTACTTGACATAAATAAAGTATTTGATACTGTGAGGCACAGTGATTTACTGTATAAAATATATAAGAGATATGGGTTTCCCTTAGTATATAGTCAAGATAATAGGTTCATATCTCAACCGGTAAAAATTCATTGTAACATTGGAAGGTCATTCAAGGGCTAGCGGTGTCCCTCAGGGTTGTGTACTGGAACCCACACTTTTTCTAATTGATATCAATGATTTTCAGAAGTAGAATTGACTCTTTTTTGCGGATGACACCTCACTCATCATATCATTGTGGAGAGTGAGCGCCATAGCAAACCATCTGAATAAGATGGTGAAGAGGATTAGGAGAAGAGGAAGAGGATCTTACAAAGTGGAAATTCGGGGCTAACAGGAACAAGACTGTGACCATACTGTTCACACAAGAGACCTGTCTTAGACCATGTAGTTTTATTCACAGGGGAAGAAATAAAACCAGACTCCCATAATAAAATAATGGAATGTGTTTGACACTAAATTAAACTTTACAACATATATTAATGAGGTCATTACAAATGGCAATTATGTTGTTCTATACCTGCACCAGCTCCAGCCCCTCCGAAATTTGCACCACCTACTCCTGAACATAAAAAGGACATAAGTATAATATAACGATAAAAAATATATAATTAAGCTTGAGTTAATTAAACAATGAGTTATTTAACTTAAAATTATCACCTGCACTTGCTGCAAAGGGGCCCCATGAAGCAGATGCACCTGCCTGACCAACACTGGCTCCTCCTTGAACTTCCTATTTTAAACAAATTAATTATATGTTGATTGGAAAATTTTCCATATTATAAGAAATTACCTTGTCCAAATAAACTGTTTTAATATGATTGGGCGCACCGTAGACAACTCCAAACAACAATATTCCACATAAAATTCTTGTATACATTTTGTCTGAAATCAACAATAAATACGAATACATATTAATTTTATTAAAAATGTTGCAAGTATTGTTTGGCGTTATGGTTAAATAAATTATCAGGATTGTTTATAGTAAACTATTAACTCATGTTATGAATAAAATTGAAAATAATATTCAATTAATTAAGGTTTTTAGTTGAGGTAAAAAAGTCAGTGTCATGAGAGGGATTCAAACCCACCACCTTCGGCTTGATACGCCGCTACTCTACCACTTGAGCTATCGTGACCATGCAGTAGATAGTCAGCAGCGTATCAAGCCGAAGGTCGTGGGTTCGAATCCCGCTCGTGATACTGACTTTTTTATCTCAACTAAAAACCTTAATTAATTGGTAAAGCAGACCACGAAAATTAGTGAATTGAAAATAATAAACACTTTGGTCATTTAAACTCATAAAAAACATTTTTATTTTTTAAAATAATTTATTTAAATTATTTTGTGACCTTGAATAATTCTCAAGAGGAACTACTCATAAGTTTATGAGAGTTTGAAAATGTATTAAATTGAGTTAAATCAGCATGATTGTTTTTGTCAAAATTAAAGCTATACACACAGTATATCTGTACAAAAACCAACATTATTTTTTTTTTTAATTTTTGTTAATGAATATATTGATATATTATATTTTCAATCAGACGTTCTTCATACATATAACTATTTATAGACTGAAACATATGTAAGAAAATATGTTTTCTATGCGTTCCTTTTGTAGGCCACTCTCGCATGAATATATGTGCTCAGGCGTTTAAGCTTCCTCATTATAGAATTGGCATTGTCTTCTTCAACATTGCCAACATCTTTCAATTAATTAGATTAAATTTTCATCTATCCAATTTTACATATTTACAATTTTTGTTTATGTACACTTTAAGGTTTAAAATAAAATTGTATTTCAGATGTAAAATCTATTAGCATTAAGTATTTAATTTGGGATTATTTTTGTAATAACAAAAATCAAATTAAAAGAACGAGTTGTCTAAAGCCAAGATTATCTATTATAGTACAGTCTTTTGTTGTCTTCTAAAATTATCCAAACTGCATAGTTTAAAATTTTAATATTTTTTATGAACAATGTATACTTTTATTTTTGTATAGATTTAAAAAGAGGAATTTCCTTTTTGCATTTTAAAATAATTCAATACATTTCTTCTATTTTGATATCCATCGACTAAAAATAATGGGATTCAAGGTCTCGGAAACTTCCTGTTATTCCTAATTCCAAGGATTTAAAGGAGCATTTCTCTAATAAAATCTATATACGTTTACGTATGTACTTAAATATCCTTGAAAACAGGAAACAATAAGGAGAGATACAAAAAAAGTCCGACCTTCACTAAAAAGCCGTTTTACTTGTGGACGTGTTTCGCTTGTAAGTGCGATTTTGTTTTTGCTCATTCATTTTGGACAGAAAGGCCAAAGACTTGACATTCCTTTTTTTCCCTTAATACACATTTCCTCTTCCTTTATTATGTATAAACGGATTTTGATTTAACTGTCCGATAAAATGTTTTTAACGTATATACAACGAAAACGTGTTAGTGCTTCTCATTGAGAAACTTTTGTTGCCGAACATCTTGTATCATACCCTTGGCTAATAATATTTAAGCAACAATCTTGTTTTAAAAATAATAAAAGTATACACACGCCATTTTCAGTTTATCTTGACGGAAAATTTGTTCTTCTGGAAATGGCGTTTTCCTCCGTTAATTTGACTGTTAAATTGCCTTCTTTCGAATTAAAATGCTGTGTACAAAGAAAAATTTTGAGTTGTACGTCTTTTTCGTTTTTCGCAGGTACTTATTAAAAATAATTTGAGGATAATTTGCCTAAAATTTATCTAACTTAGACACACCGCGGGGAAAGGCGGACCAGAGGGATTAAGAACAAAAAACCATTTAAAAAAAATCTTTTAGCATTTTTATAAGCTTTTCACCATTTTCACCCTAAACCTTAAGTGAAGACCTACAAGAAATGTAATACCCAATTAAAATTTTGGTATGAATTGTTCTAACCTCAGGTCATAGATCCTCTTATTTATTTGTTTGTTTGCCTATAATACATATAATGAATTTAATATTTGTCGGTACAATCGAAAGTGTTTTTGAACCAAACCTACAACGGTAATAATATTGGTCCTTGCGGCTACCAAGGATATTTTTTTGAGCCAAGGCGTGCCAAGCAGAGGGAAACGGTTTAGCAACAAATAATTACCCCAGCAGACAAAGCCTTTATTTCAAAACAGGTTTAACACACTTGAAGAGACCCCACGAAGAAGTTTAATTACTTAATTGTAAGATTAAATAAATTTTTAAAAATTTACAATAAACGTTGAAGGAAAAATGATGAATCGATGTGATATAGTTGAAAAGAAAACACTTTCAAATGTTTAATTTATTGCAAATAATTATATTAAAGGAGGTGAACTGGATTCGAAGGTTTCTTATAAAAATAATAGTACAATTGAATTATAATGTATAAAATAATAAAAAATTTCACATTAAAACAATCAAATGGAGATGTTTAAATGCTAAATAGCAATGCCTAATCATTTACGTGATTAAAATTATTTACGTAAAATAGAATTTTTTCATTTTAAGATATTTATATATATTTTTTATTTTATCTTAATGTAACTTCTTTTATAAAAAAAAGTCCGCAGCCTACTTTCTAAGTTCCATGACATTCTAGGTTCACCTATCCCATCTCCACGTTACTCAGCTTTTTCAATTACATATGAAATACGAATATTTTTTAATGTGGGAAATAATAATGTATTCGCCGTGTAAATTAGCCTGCTTTGAATCAGAGCGTATCTCCTTCGAAACGAAGGACATAGACAATTAATATTTCAGAAGAATAAATTTGAAATGGATTTTTTTCTTCTTGAGAATTTGTTACTATTACAATAATTTGATAAAACTACTTTTGTTTAGTATCTTTTTTGTTCGACCCTTTCGCCCACCGGTTCGATTTATCCTGATTAAAGATCACGAACGTCAGAAATGTGCAATTAATTCGAGCCGATCACGAGATTAAATTGTTTCTGTTTATTTCGAAATTAATCTTCTAATTGCACATATTTTATCACTTAAAAAAAAGAAAAACATCAAACAAACAGGCAAAGTTGTTATTGTAATGTTATCGTTGCGCAGCATAGGAGGGCAAGGAATCAAACATCGGCCAATTAAGCAACCCCGGCTTTCATTCGACGTAGTTGCCGATTGGTCATTTGAAAAATTATATAACAACTTGATATTTTGCGTCAACATATATGGATATATTGGATCTTAACTTATTTCTATCAAATATGTCAATAAGCGGTACGATTTTTATTCAAATTGTATGTCCACATTTGTTTTTATGCTGTGACACAGTTTACTAAGCATTTCTTAACGAAAATGGTTTATTTTTATGATAGTATTAAAGTTGAACTGTTGAAATTGTCAACAAATTGGTGATTTGATCAAAACACAAATTTGTTAGAACGATGATGATAAAACTAAAATTATTGGATAAGAGAAAGTCAAGTGCAAAAATTCTATATTTGATGACGTGAGTTGAGTTTAAGAACATTTTAAACATTTCATGTAAACTTTTTCGAATTTATAAATGTGAATAGTTAAAAACATGACACAAGGTATAAACACCAATAAAATAATGTAACATTAAATAAAACCGACAAATACTTCATACTTGTTTATATTCTTCAGCAAGGTTTTTGTTTTTTGCTAAAACTTTTACCCAAAAAAATTAGCTTATATTCATACTATTTTAAAAATATTGTATTCTGTAGTTATCATAAATCGTAGCTAAAATCATATCGCGTATTTCATGTAAACTTTTCGGAATTTATAAAAGTGAATAGATTAAAAAAAATGACACAAGGCATAAACACCAATAAAATAATCAAACAATAAATAAAATCGACAAATACTTCAAACTTTTTTATATTCTTCAGCAAGTTTTTTTTTTTTTTGCTAAAACATTTTACCCAAAAAATTAGCTTATATTCATACTATTTTAAAAATATAAATTGTATTCTGAAAAAGTATCACCATAAAATCATAGCTAAAATCATATCGTGTATTTCATGTACACTTTTCGGAATTTATAAAAGTGAATAGATAAAAAATGACACAAGGCATAAACACCAATAAAATAATCAAACAATAAATAAAATCGACAAATACTTCAAACTTTTTTATATTCTTCAGCAAGTTTTTTTTTTGCTAAAACATTTTCCCCAAAAAATTAGCTTATATTGATACTATTTTAAAAATATAAATTGTATTCTGTCACACCAGTCACCATAAAATCGTTGATAAAATCATATCGTGTAATATTTTATCAATAAAATTATAAAATCACAAATAAATTATATGCTTATAAAAAGATAAATTTACAACTTGAATTACCCTTCAACGTCTTAAGACGAGAGATTTACTCACCTGAAAGCTTTTCTCCGGAGTACCTCAAACTGACCAATAGTCGAACCTGCTAAGCACGGACTGAAGAGTGAAGATTCTTCGGCCGGAGTTCCGAAGGACTTCCCCCACCGCAGGCACCAATCCTGTTTGTTGTTCTCTTCCTAGGGCCGTTTGTCATAGTTGTTAGTCACTGAAATCTAAGAAGGGGTGAAAGCGATTGCGAATAATTTCAGCAGTATCTATAATTATAAGCGTTTATTACAGCGATTTGTTGTGCCTTTTGAAAAACCTTAATCAACCTGTTTTCATGGAACTACAGTGCGATAAACACAACATTTTTCTAACAACAACCGGAGGCGCGGACCGCCTGGAGAAATGGTAATTGAGTAATTAAAACGAAGTGATTAAGGATGGTTTTATTGTTAGATTATCTATTCAAGATATAATGGCTTAAATAGGCAATTGAAAATGATTCCGTTGGTATTCATCATTGAATAACGATAGTCATGACGATGAGCGACCTGAATCAAGGATTTCTTGCTTGCTCACCGGTTTCTTTGTAACTATGGAAAAAACCCGACAGTTAGCTGTAATGGAAATGCCCCGTGGTATGGGATGATTCCTAGTTCATTTTAGGTCAAAAGCATAAAGTTTAAAATAGGAAATTATTTAAAAACCAGCTTGAACTAAAGTCTGATTGTCCTGGTTAGGAGTCCTCTTCTTGTTGGTTGTCTTTCACACACGTTTCAGCGTTTCAATGGTTGGTCTGTGTAACGTGATGACCATGATGATGACGAAAGACTAAGATAGCGGGGTTTTGTATTCTCCAAGCAATGCATCCTTTTGGTATTGTATTTTTCTTTTACCTTTCTTAGTTCCTTAGTTCAGTTCAATTGGCTCGATCCCTCTCTTAAGAATGTTAGGTCACTGAATGCCATTGCTACAGTTCTTTTCCCCTGGACTTTCTGATACCCTAACTTCTACCACCATTGAGCGGTTTGCTTCATATTCGAAGATAATATGGATTGCAATTTCCTCCTCCTCATTGCGTAACCTTCATCCAATCGACCCATGTTGTGTACGAGTTTTCTCAGATGTTAAACAGTTTATAATCCTATCACTCCCCTCAGTTTTACCCTCTCTAATAATTGTACCAATGCGTCTTCAAATTTTGGTGAGGGTTCTTTAACCATAGGTATACTTTGTCTGGTTTTCGTCAACCTCCCCTCTTATTTTTTGTGGGCTCATTCGGAGATGTTGGATTTTATCATTGTCCTTTATATCCAAAGTGTAGGTTCTGGGCCTGGTATGGTCTTGCAGATCCGGCCAATTTGCCTGATTTTTTACTACCCAAAATTCCTTTGTCCTGGCACCCAAGATATCTATTTGCCACCCAAACTCTATCGGAGGTTTTGATGCATTCCCTAACTATTTTAGACGTGACATTTTTTACGTGTTGTGCTTTTATGGCTTGGCTGTCAGATCTTGTGAAGATTGTTTTATCAGTGTGACATATTTTAAGATGTTCCACGGCATAAGCATTGATAGCATGTACTTCAGCTTGAAAGTTTGATTGCTCATATTTTGTGCTTGTACAGAACATATCCGATTCTTTTCATTTGTTTTGGAGCCATCTGCATACCATAGACTGTTAAGACATTTTAGGATGATGCAAAAGATGGTTCTGGGATCATATCAGTCCCCATTTTTAGGTGTCTGATTTTATTTGTCATTGTTGTCCGCTCGAAATATTTAGTCCCGATTCAATTTAATTGTTTTCGGGGTCTGAATGAGCTCTCTTCTCTCTTCATTCTTCCATTGATGCATTACTTTATTTATTTCTTCGGGAGGGAATTCTATTTTTTACGAGCTTTCATCATGAATTCTTACTCTAATAGTATGGATCCTATACGACAAAAATATCTAGGACACATCACATAAAAAAACAGAAGATAGCTAAATCCCGAAACATGTCTGACAGACAGTCAAGGAGGTCATATCTATAACTTTGCAGAACAATGATTTTTAGATTTCTTCTTGAGTTCAGTAGTATGATAAAACTGCCAAGATAATTTTAAACAATGAGTTAATTATTGTATTTTCAAACATGTATCCAGTAGAAGTAAGAAACAACATAACAAAGCAAAATAAAATAATTCAAATAAATACAGGAGAGTTTCTTTTCATACTTCCATACTAGATGGGTGTCGCGGACATAGGTTCAAACTTTTCCAATACTTATTTCATACTACTCTCATTTGAAAAGCGATTGAAGTATACAGCAAGTACTTTTAAGAAATATCCTATTACTAATTGTTACACAGGACCAGGTGTATGTCAAAGCAAATAAATATGAGAATTTTGTCCAATTTTACGAAGGCCGTTGGATTCCACAACGGCAGCTTAATGTGTCACACTATCTATTGTGGCAAACCTCTTAGCAGATCTGAAAAAAAAACTGATCGAATGCCTTAACTCGATAGAAATATTTGAAGGTCTAGTATCCATAGTTGGTACACGGCTTAACTCTGAAGATGTTGAAATTTTCATAAAACCCTGAGCTAGAGTTGGGCTCCCACATTTTTGTGTAAAGACGTGGTTCATATCCTAATACACACTTTGTATGAACTTCAATTTAAAGTAGGAATGACGACCAAACATTTAAAAACGATGAGTCAAGTGATAAGGAACATTAAAAAAATATGGTTTTCAGAATGCAAGTTTTTTCAGTATTATTTTATTTATGATATTTCAGTATCATCAAAGCATTTAACCTTCCATTTTTAATAACTATGAGTCAAGTAGATCTATTTCAGTAATAATTGTTTAATACGTATTTGTATTTTGTTTACAATACTCTTTGTCTTTTCTCAAGATTATCTTTTCACTTTTAATAACTGAGAGTCATTTTTTTGTTATGACATTCAAATAATCGTTCTATATTTGAACTTGTATTATCTCGAAGGGACAGTTGAACTATTAAAGAAATAATCGTTCAGGTTCACCTCGTGTCCAACTCTGTAATTTGAAAGCATTTCAATCAGAAAGGTACGCAGGTATACTCAAGGGTAATCGTGGCGTTAACGATTGTTATTATAACCTAAGCTCCGAGCTAGACTTAAAAAAACTTCTTGCTTGAGATGTCCAATGAAATTGCCAGGACTTAGAGTTTTGCAGGAAATGAACTTGTTGCTGTGTTTTCTATCCTAGAAACTATCCTAGAAAATAGTTTTCTATCCAAGAAGTTTTCTATCCTACACCAACCATCGAGAACAAACAATGTTCCGTGGCATACTTATTTATTTGTAATTATGGGTGTTTCGGGCTCATTGGCCTATCCTCAGCAGCCCAAATATGTCTTTCATCCAATTCGAGGCTTCGTATACCGGACGATTTTAAATAAACTGTAACTAAGATGGAAGCAAATAAGCCTGGCTGTTCCTGTGTACGAAGGCTACAATCGCAAAATCGAAACACTTAGTTTTCCGTTCTCCACTAGCAAATAAATTAAAAACCAAGGAAGATACGGCAAATATGAGTATAATAATAAAAATCTTTTCGGTTCAAGGAATTGAGAATCACATGCCTCACAATATTACATTGGCCATTGAAATCTATGTAAGTTCATATATATCTGGCTAGTCACCTCAAAGCACGGTGGCTCGAAACCTCATTATCTTAATGACAACTTCAGTCCATAGTGTTCGGTGTCGTCTCTGTTATTTCCTGCACAATTTTGCCCTCCATACCAGCTTTGGCAATCTCATCCATTCGAACCAAAGCGATGTTTGATTGACCATATCCTCCAAAGTCCTTCTTCATATTCAAGAGTCTTCTCCTCATCACTTCCTTTAGCTTATTTGCTTCGCTGTTTGTAATTACGATATACGAGCGTCATCTAAAGATTGTACTATTTATGGAGGAATACCTTATTCACCAAAGTTACTGTACGATCAGTCTCTTCGGATATCTTATAATTGTTTAGATAGAATGTTGCAAATTGGCCAGCTACCGTCTAACTTTATTTCTTTTCGATTTATAAGTTTCGTTTTGTTTTCATTCAGCTTCTTACTGTCCTTATCTAGACCGTGAACTTTACTTCCACTTTTTTTCTGTTTCTTGCTAGGAATGTGATGTCATCAGGGTATGCACAGATCTAGGACATCTTATTAAATGTACTGCCTCCCTGGTTATCTGAGCATATCCATATTTCATATTATGAAGGATTCTCCACTTTCATTACCTGATTTTGATTCAAGCTTTTGCTTTTTAGAGAAGTTTTTGTGTACTTTACCGGGTTCTGTAACAGCCATTGAAATACAACCTAGGTAAAATGTACACCGACATAAAAAACAGCTATTTACCAATGTAAAATCACTATTCTTTTGCTCGATTAACCTACGGACTAGAATGATGGTTGGACTGCTGTCTTTACACTGCAGACTCTGGTGGCATATGCAGGCTCAAATGTTGGTCCCGGTGCGTACGGTCGTAAAGAGGTTGACTCTTTTTAACCTTAACCTTATCGATTTTTGTACAACCCCTCGATAGACCTCGAGGTCCCCCTAAATCTGAAGCGCCCCAAGGCTCAAGCAATTACCTTTCTAGTTGTTGCATTAATGACTTCTTGCTTCCATCATTTATAGGCAGAAGACTCCCAAATTTACCTTTCCTCCTCGCCTCCTGATTTGCATATCGCCATTATAAGAATTCAGGTGGACTCAACTAGCTCTTAGGCCGCTGAAAATGGGCTTAAGTTGAACATAGTAAAGTCCCAGGTTATTGCGTTTGTATAAGCGCCCTCCTCCAATCCTTACCACTTTTCATCAGTTTACCATTAACAATCATACTATTTCGTTGTATCTCACCGTCAAGAATATTGGATTTTTCCTTTCTTCTTTTGACTTCTAAACTCTGCTTTTCCTCTCTCCGTCAGTTCGTTGTGCCAGCCACCCTTTAGGACGCGTAAACAAATAGTTTCCTTCTTTCTTCACCCTTACTTTGATTACAGATATGTTTTATACGGGGGACTTACTGGGGAGCTTAAAAAGATAAAACGTCTAATGAATTCTTTTGTTTTATCTTCGTCCCAAGATTTCAAGATCCCACGTGACTGACTGATGTGGCTCCGCTGGCTCCTTAGTCTATCAGATGATATCATCCCATCTCCTCACCTTCAAATCCTTTGTACACTCTTGCCAAACTCGCTCCGTCCTTCTGACCTCTTTTCAGTCGTTTCGTGCCTCCACCCTAAGAAATTCCTTTCCTAACTCTATTCGCCTAGTCCCATCCCTTTCCACCTTTTTAGCTCGTCTTTTTGATTACTTCTTGTCATCACAACTTGACACCGAAGTTATATAGTCATATATATTTTTGTAAACAGCATTTTCGTACAAGCTTATCAGGCTTGATTATTTTGAAAATAAGTTGCGTCCATAATTACTTATTCAAAGGGACTTTATGTCCTTGAATAGAAATGTGTAGAGATTAGTGACCGTTAATCGATAGTTATTCAGATATCGTGAGATGTCGTGAGATTCACACCCGACCGCATCTCACGATATCTGAATAATCCTTGAATAGAGTTTATTTTTCATTTTTATTTCATTTTACAAAGCTGAGACTGATGCTTGCCGTATATGCCAAGAGGGATCACAGTCTGTCAGACTCATTTCGGCATTTCGCCATCCTCAGTGGTGTATTTTTTTCACTCTTAAGCTACAGAAATAATTAAGCCTGTATAAATATGTTTTGAGGGCAACCTTATAGAGCGTGCGTAAGTATTTTTTAACGGATAGTCATCGTGGATTCTCAAGCACGCCAAACCTGTTTGTTTTTGTTTTTGTTTTTTAATGAAATTCTTCTTAAATATTCTGGGCATTCGTTTTTGGATTCCCCATTTCCATTTGACGTGATCTGGAGAGGTGAACAAAATTAAAATCGTCCAATATCGCCATCTTGGAATTTTATTTAATAAAACAAATATTTCTAAGTTGGCTGACCAAAATACAGTGAGGAAATCTGGTCCGGATAATTACGTTGTGATAGATGGGATTAATGGCTAGACTTGTCAACGGATAAAGAAGCGTGAAAAAAAAAGAGAGTTTAAATTCCCTTCCAGGCTATAAATAAAGTTATTTTTAATCCAAAAACACGTTTGGGCAGTTTTTACCCCAGAACTTGAACAAATTTTAAAACTTCGTTGGCATTAAGTAGTAACATTCACATACTTTTAAAAACTTTAGATTATTTGTATCATCGCATTTGATCACATTTAGCATTTATGCTGACAGTTTCATTTCTTTTTTTCTTGTTTTAATACTTTTTCAGCAAGATATTTTAAATTATTCAAAAGAAAAGAACATTTTTCGATATTATCCAACTCTTTTCAATCCACAATCGAGCATAATCACCTCAAAAAAATAAATAAAATAATACAAGCATTTTGGCTGGTGGCCCGTCAACGGGATTCGCCAGCACAGGGGATCACCGGATTTATTCTTTTCTTCTATTATAAAAATCTCACTAAAATTCTTCAAAAACCGTTGACCGTACCGAATCCCAATATTTCCGTGTGTTTGTCACCGTACAAAAATCAATTAAATATTTTTTAAATTATGCACTTTTATACAAAAAAGACAGTGTTCTAAATGAGCCCCTTTGATCTAGAAATTCTAGAAAAAAAAGATATAGCTTTTAACGACAAAGTTTGGACAAATGTACAATTAACATTATTAGAAAAAATAGGAATGAAGGATTAAACACGATTACCACGGATAGAGTATCTTTTTATGAGATTATTTACTGATTCTGATTTATATAAGCTCAAATCTGCACAAGCGTGGACAATGTTGAGCCTATAACTTTCGCAGTCCACTGCCAATTCAAGCTTTTGTGCAATTTACAAAAAAGTACCGGCACGCCTCGAGAAACCCACCCTTGGCTTTCGGGGTCTGGTCTCGGTTCCGTCCAAACGGCGAGGTTGAGCTCCAGGGACTAACAGATAGGTCATTTCAGCCCGCAACCCATTCTCTAAGTCCAAACCTTCTAACACACTCATTCTTAAATAAATTCTTCCCTATTTCATTATTCAGTTAGAGAAGATGAGTTCTTGATAGTCCTCCATCAATCAGCCTCTGCACATATTATATAACTACTCTAATCTCACACTACACATTCACGCTAATAAATGCATTCAGTCTCAACATACAAAAAGAAACACAAAACGAGACCTATTCACATCATTCAGTTAGAAAAGATGAGTTCTTGATAGTCCTCCATCACCCTTTACATATATTATATAACTACTCTAATCTCACACTACACATTCACGCTAATAAATGCATTCGGTCACTACAGATAAAAAGAAACACAAAACGAGACCTATTTACATCGCTCAGATAAAGAAGATGCGTTCTTGATATTCCTCCATCACCCTCTACACATATAATATAACTAATCTAATCTCACACTTCACATTCACGCTAATAAATGCATTCAGTCTCAACATACAAAACGAAACACAAAACGAGACCTATTTACAACACTCAGTTAGAGAGGATGTTTTCTTGATATTCCTCCATCACCCTCTACACATATTATATAACTAATCTAATCTCACACTTCACATTCACTCTAATAAATGCATTCAGTCTCAACGTACACAAAGAAACACCAAACGAGAGATCTATAAAGTATTACTTCCTGTTTACTCTAAAAATCGAAACAAGAGACCCAGATACTCGCTGCCATGCTCATGCCCAACATATCGAGTTGCATTCCTACTTTCTATATGAACCAAGGATGACACCCTACAATTAAATGGGGCATATCGGAGCCTTGGCGCAAAAGTAGGTTGTCCGACTGTCAACCTCGCATGGCCTATTCATAATCGGGCGAGGACGACCCCTCTTCTTCGACTCAGATCTTCCGAGGAAAACCAATCGACAGCGTTCTGATACGTAAGAGCTTCTTTGTCGACCTGACCCAATGACGCTGCCACATTCTTTTAATAATTTTGTAATCCTCTTGATTTAATAATAATTTAACCCTCCCGACCAGTGTCCGGGTAACCAGAAGACAACGACCGTTTTGGAAATTTAAATCCAATCCATCCACACTCTCACTCACTTTAAATACATTCTGTCTTATTTGCATACCATTTACTATGTATGGTTATGGTTGTTCGGTGTTATCCATCAGCCCTCTCCAACATTCACGCCAATAAATACGTCTCAATCCACGCTAGGAACACAAAACTATCAGAACTGTAATCAGTAAAACAACCCGGTTTCCTCGAAAAATCGAATACTACTGACTTGCTGCCATTCTCAAGCACAATTCTCATATCGGGTTGCATTCCTACGCGCTCACTATGTAGTGCCACGGAATGACACCTTTCAATTATGTGGGAAACATCGTACAACCTTTCTCTGCATTCCGGTGATTATTTCATTATAACTTTAACATCTTTCAAAGAGAAAAAAGTTGTTTCTGGCTAGAAATTATTTTTCAAAGTTCTCGCTACTAAAACGCTTATTTCACGAAGGTTTACAAATTTAGTATTGATCACATCTCACTGGAAATTTAACGTAGTTTTCAGTGGCTTCAACAGATTTGTCCAAAACCTTTTAGTTTTGGAGTTATCATAGTTTATTTGAAGCAAGGTCGTGAAATCTTAAAAATTCAGAAAAAGTGGAATAACTCCGAAACTGCTGAGATTCAGACTATAGTTATTAGGACTTTTTGGTTTCATTTTGGACGTAGAATCTACGGACAAAGTTTGTAACACGAGTAGCCGACTAGTGTAAATAGTTAGGCATAGGAATAACGAATTTGATTTAAAATCTATTGAAACTTTGACTATGGATTTTCAGAACATGATTTAGCATGTAGACGCTGTAATAATGATGAAAACATGTAAAGTTTTTTTTTCAGAAAACTTTTCGTCTAGGTTTGCAAAGAAAATGATTTAAAAAAGCATACAGTAAACTGAAATTTTTCTATTTTGTCAAAGCGACCTCCATGCCAAATATTTATATAGAACCCCGTATATAGACATATTCGACCATAGAATCTCCTCGTCTTTAAAACATCGCCCTAGGATTACTCGAACTTACAGATTGAATGGACAATTATTTCTCCTATTGGCTTTTCCCAGGGGGGGGGGGAATATTATCACAATCCCAGAGAATTGAAGAAGTGGGCGACCCATTTCCCCCGTCTTTAGAAATAGAGACGAACCTATGTAAATTTAGTCTTTCGGCAGCCCCCACCATTTTCACGTCATGTGAACCCTTTCGGCGGCCAATCGGAACCCTACTTGGGTGTCAGAACTCGCTGCAGCACCCGAAAGATCCTCAGTGATTCCAAGCTCAGCTACCACTAACCAATCCTCTCCTTCTTCAGTTTTAAGTGGTGAGTATATTATATATTTTCAGTCAATAACCACGTTTCGCATTTTACGATCGGCCCTAGATAAAAATTTGCATTTAAATCATACTTTATTTTTTGTTTTGTAAACTGTATATGCAATATTTCTTAAAACTGTTAAGAAAAATTTAACTCTTTACTAGCATACATCTTTTCTACCAATACTGCGTTCTGCATCCAACAGGATTTAACTCATTTTTATCCCTGTGCTTATCCTATTCACTTCTTTTCATAGTGAACTTTTGTAAAAGCATCGTTTATTATCTTTATACGAAAAAACTAAGATTTATGTACGGATTTATCATGTAAATAACAAGGGATTCTAAAAATAGACGGTGTATCTGGTTTCATTTACTAAAGAGGCGGCGTTCCTCTAGGCTTTTCTTTCTTAAGTCTAAAAATAATTCTGTTAGCACGCAAATCACTCTACTTCTTTCCTTGCAATTTAGCTTCTCATGATCGCACTTATCACCACCAATTATATATAATTTATAAATTGTTTAATCTCTATGAAACAATTCCTGCGGAAAGGGAGCTGCCGAGATGCCTTAAGTGTATTAATAAAGTCAGCAATGACACCAGGTCAAAAATAGACGTTGGAGGTGAACTCGGACAGCCTAATTTGGACCCACCGCCCGGTTCCGAGTCCTATGAATCTCTCGGGCGATTTGTTTTGGAAATTGATTTTAAACAAAATATTTAAAACAAGATCACTTGTTTTAGGGAAAATAATCGTAGAATTGATTAATTAACAGTTGAAATATTCGGTATGGAAGGGTTGGCCGGTTGCCATTTGCTCTGTTCCAATTATTATGGCAGAAGGTCCTCTGAGCTCAATATTAAGTTACGGATTCGCAATGTTTTTTTTGGCCGAATCTTTTGTATAAGTGCCCAATTCTTTGGCCGACTCTTGAATTTTTTCAAATCAACTTAAAAATTACTAGTAGCATAAGAAATGGATATCTTGTTTATTCTATAAACTCTTCCGTTCTAATTGGTTTGTCAAAATAACAGATTTTTATTTTATTTTCAAACTTAAAGGACATTCGTAAAGAAATATATGCTAAAGCTGATAAAAATTTAATAGGTATGTAATTTAAAATAAGTCAAAATGGTGTAAATAATGCAATATACTGTGAAAAAATATAACCGAGCAGAGTTATAAAGCTATAGCATATTCAGATCTCTACACCTTTCTGTCCAAGCATACTGAGAAGTGAGAAAATAAAACGTCTAGTCAGAATCGAACTTAAACTTGTAAAAAGGACACGTCTGACCAAAATAGCACTGACACCATCATCTGAAAATGGCGATACGAGGCGATACCAGACTATCGAGGATAAAAAGACTAGGAAAATAGGAAGCTACAGGATTCATCACAATATAGACTTTAACGAAAAATCTCGGAACCCAAGATCCCGGATGATTAACCTAACCAGGATGGCGACCTTAGTTCCGATCAATGCTAATTGTTTTTAAACGTTGTGCCTTTCTAAAATTGCAATGACATATTCGAACTGACAGACATCTTTTGATGATTATTACTTCTTGGTATGCTACGGTAGCTTCGCCCATTTTATATAACAGTTATGGCCATTAAAGAGCCGTATTTGTTTGTTTCAATCCCTGCTGACTCTGTTACGTCTTGGCAGATTTGGGTAGTTTTGCCAATTTTATTTGGCCGTTGAAGTTTCATTGTTTCCTTCAATCCTGCTTACTGATCGAGAAATGGCATCCTAGTAACAAGCTTTTATATTTGGGAGAGACTTGGTTGAAGTCTGCGAAATGATAAACTACAGTTTGATCGTCTGGTTTTCATCCTGGAGTGTCTATTCTCATCAGTATGTCAGACTACACATTCTAAACATAAAAAAAGTCTAGCCAAAATAATACACAGACCGTCAAATGAAAATGGTGATGTACTGAAACGCGTCTGACAGACCGAACCGGCGAAGATCGAAGGCGATCGAGCTACAGGTTCGTCACCCCTTAGACCTTAACATAAAATCTCAAACACTCTGATGATGGATCAATCTAACCAGATATAAAGCGGATTAGCCCTGTTTTATGCCCTCATCATTGAAAATGCACTTAGGTGATAATGCTAAGTTTTTAATTTTAAACTTTTGGCCTTTTTAAAGTTGCAGTGACCTATTGGGCTAAACGTTCATATAAACATGACGTCTTCTGACGACTACTACTTCTCGGCAGATTTGGGTAGATTTAGTTATTTTATTTAGGTGATATTTCAATGGCCATTGAATTGGTTTATTGTTTTCTTCAAACCCTGCTTGCTTCTTCTTATAATTTCTTCCTAGTATCAAGAAAAACATAAATTTAACGATGAACTAGAAACATAAATTATTATTCTTGTGTGTAGAGATTAGTGACCGTTAATCGATAGTTATTCATATATCGTGAGATGCGGTCTGGTGTGATGTAGGTTTCAGAAAAACATTTTCTTTATCGTGTCAACGTTTCGATCTTTATTGAGATCATCTTCATGATGATGATCTCAATAAAGATCGAAACGTGGCACGATAAAGAAAATGTTTTTCTGAAACCTACATCACACTCGACCGCATCTCACGATATCTGAATAACTATTATCATTCTTATTATAAGACAATTTTAATTGCAAAAAATACATTCTTTACAAAACATAAAGTATTAATTGCAAAGGCAAAAGCCGTCTGCAGGAGAAAAACTTATGGTTAATTAACAAAAATAATATTTATAAGCACAACTGGCAAAATTAAGTAATCATTACAAGCAAAATATAAACATAATAGCATTACTAAAGTTTAAAAAGTGAGAGAAGACATTTCCCCGAATTTTACGGAGTATCAAATATCGAAAATATACATGGGGAAAAGCAGAATTTAGTCACAAAGCACTATCACTGGCCCAATCAAATCGAATTCTCCAAGCATGGCGTGCATAATTAATAAGTGGCCGAGGGTGAGACAGACCTGTCAAGTATGCAACACTTTCGCTCCTTCAAAGGGTTCCGATTCCAAAATAGGTAAATTTGATTTCAACAAGAAAAGGGTATTGTTAAAGGTATATAATTGGAAGATATTTGGTTAAAATATACAAAGTGATAAATCTGCATTTTGACCGACTCGGATCATCCTGGTCTGCCTATTATCGCATTGTCTGTCAGAACATATAAAAGAACATGTCTGCCAAAATAACACATAGAACATCAACTGAAAATGTCGATATGCCGCAACGAGCTGCCGGACCAAACCAGCGAGGATAAATGGACCAGGAAGATCGAAAGATCGTCGCCACGTAGACCTCAACATGAAATCATAGCTTTCCTAGTACCTTGATGATCAACCGATCCTCCATCGCGATCTACCAAGATCTCTTCCAGATTGACCCCATTTTATGTTCATATTATAGAATGTTCACTTAGGCGAATGCCAATTTCTTCAAAATTCTTTGTGCCTTTTTTAAGCTACAGTACCATATCCAGACACACGCTTCGCATAAGACATGCTCCAATAACTCTGCTACTTTTTTAAGAGTTTGGCAAGTACCCAATTTTGTTCCAAGCTTGATTAACTGGGAAATATTTTGTCCGTGCAGAAATGTATCTGCAGTTTGATCGTTTCAGATCACCCTAGTCTGTTTATTATCGCTTGTCTGTCACACCACAATTTCCAGACATGTAAAGTAATCACAAAATATCAACTGAAAATGTCAATATAACCGTTCTTGCTAAATGCGTCTGCCGAACCAAATCAACGAGACTAAGCGGACCAGGAAGATCACACTATCTGAAGCGACCAAACAAGCGTAAATAAGTAAACACATCCATTAACCTTGATTCTTCAGGCTCTATTGTCTTCGGACGATGAAGATTTTGTGAAAAAAGACAATTTGAACTCTGGCCTAAGAAAACGTCCCATTTTGTCAGTTTTATGTGAACTTTGCTAACACTTTTCTTTAATTGGAATACACAAACAAAATGCAAATTTATCATCGCGTTGATTTAATCAAATTGATATTAACTATAGTATTACGACCAGTAAGACCACTTTTTTTTTAAGAATAGTTATGAAATTTCAAAGACAAAGCCGGGGATTAGAACCCAGAACCGATAACTTACCAAATAAAATAATTTTTACATTTAAACATATTTTCATTTTGGCAGCTTTTGCGGCATTATTTTTAAATAAAAAATAGCGCAAACTTTCATTTGCTTTTATGTATTTATATTTTTACCTCCACCACTGCCATTTTACCCTCCCACCCAATCCACTTCCCTTTCTTCCAACTCAAACTCTTTATGAATACAATATTTTTTTAATTTCAAACGCAATTTTTTTAGATAATTTATTATTATGTATTTTTTAAATAAATAATCGTTTTTATCTTTAATTTATAAATTTAATTAAAATAAAACAAGGCTATATTGGTATTTAACTTTTTAGGTAACTACCCCCAAGGGCATCACGAAACATGGCGGATGATGAAGTGAGTACCACTTTAGCAGAAAAATAGTACTTTTCTGAATCCAATTAAAAAATATGTTTTGTTTCTATAGGCGAAGAAAGCAAAACAGGCAGAAATCGAGCGCAAGCGTGCTGAGGTGCGCAAGCGTATGGAAGAAGCCTCCAAGGCCAAAAAGGCCAAGAAAGGTTTCATGACCCCTGACAGGAAGAAGAAACTCCGTGTAAGTATAGCAATTTTCTATTAAAACTTTGTTGCATTTTAACCATTTTCCTTTTTCTACTTAACTTAGACTATGTTACATTCTATGAGATGAAAACTCATTGGAATTTTTTTACAGCTACTTTTGAGGAAAAAGGCTGCTGAAGAACTGAAGAAGGAGCAGGAGCGCAAAGCAGCCGAAAGGAGGAGGATCATTGAAGAGAGATGCGGCAAATGCTGTGATGTTGAAAACGCCAGTGAAGGTCTGTATGAGCGTCCAGGAACTTTTTTTTATACATGACATTATTATGTTAGTTTAAATTAGTTACTTTTTCCAGGAGTTAAAAAAATCATTTATTTAAAATAAGTTATGAATGTTTCAATCACAAATTAAGATTAAATTAAAAATGTTTTATTTTATTTTAAAAACATACACAAATTTAGCCAATATGAAATATGATGTTTATAATTTAAATTTTCTCTAACACACTGGATGCCACACCAAATCTCTACATGTCCCACAGATAAACTCAAGAAAATCTGCAAAGATTACCACACTCGTCTCTACAAATTGGAAGATGAAAAATTTGACGTCGAATACATTGTTAAAAAGAAAGATTTTGAGGTAGAAAATATTAAAAAGAATAGTAATAACATCTATCTTTCGCATTTTTTTAATTTTTTTATATTTTTTTGAAGCAAACTAAACTGCACCAAGCATTATTGTGTGGTGCCTTCATAATATACAACTGCAGTAATTGCAATGCCTGTTATATTTTATGGGAATAGTAATCTTTAATAAGTGTTCTATTCATTTTAATAGATTTTTTGAGTATAAAACAAACAGCAACTTTTTGGTGTTTTAACATTTTTTTATATTTTGTTTGCAATATTTTTCTAAAGCTTTGGATGTATTTTTTTCTTTCAGAGCTACTACAACTTTTTTTAATATATATTTTGGTATCCATTTTTGTTTCAATGTTTTAATATTTTATTTTTATTTTTATTCAATGAAAAACATCTACCACAAAAAAAGAAAAAAGTAACAGCAAGAATAATCAATTCTGGCACAAATAAGACTCATTTTTAGGTCAATTTGATCAATGCTTATAGATAATTTATTAATTAATTCTTTTCCAAATATGAGATATATATTTTTATTAAGTAAATATGAAATACATATTCTATGATGATATTGCAGTAATAAATATAAAATGGAGTAATAATATAAAAATTTGAGTATCACCCAAAGAGCATAGGAATAAACATGTAAATGATAAACACACATAAACAAAATCAAAGCCTTATGTTCCATATAGGTAATTTAGTTTTATGTATTTTATTTCATTTATTTATTTTGTTTGGTAAAGGTCCCACAAATATTTTACTCACATGTGATAAATATAATTGTATGTACTACTAGTATTTGTGTTAGTAGCTCATTTTAATGATTTAAAATTGAGCTAAGCAAGTTACGCTAAAGAGCACTTGTGACTGCTTCTATAGCGGCCCTGAAGAAAATCTGTCAAGACTTCCATAAGCGCATCGACCTATTGGAGCACAATAAAATAGACATCGAGTTTGAAGTGGAGAGAAGGGACTACGAGGTTAGGAAATATATTTTCAAAAAACCTTTTCATTAATGTTTTGAGTAAGCAGAAATATTATTCCCTAATTTGTTTTCAAAAGCAGTTTAATTGCGTGTTCTATTAGTGCCACATGGATGTTGTTCATCCCGCTGTGTAAACATTTTATGTATATTAGTTTGAGGCTTTTTCTTTAATATTTTAAAAAATTACCCTTACTTTTCTTATTAATAGAATACTAGAACCATCCAAGTGAGCAATATTTACGCTTATAGCTTAAAATGTTTTTATTAATACTCTATCTCTCATCCACTCTCTCTCCTCTTTCTCTCTCTCTTTTTCTTTCTCTCTCCCACTCTCTCTAATAACTATATATATAGTACTACTATGTGTATAGTTTTTTATTTAATAAATTCTTTGATTACTTAATTGGTTGATAGTATTTGGTGTTTCACACACAGTTAAATTTTTTTGCTTTCGTTTTTGCTGTATAAATAAAATGTTACTTCCACTTGTGCCCTTTCCCCAATCAATGAAGACCAAGTACGGTTTTTGTCCATTAAAAAAAAAAAAAATTAAAAAAGAGGATTTTTTTGTTGAAAAGGGAAATATATAAATGTTTCAGCTGCCCTGCAGACGTTATGTACAGAATATTACAATAAAATTTGCAGACTTGAGGGTGACAAATACGACCTTGAATGGGCCATAAATATGAAAGCGTTTGAGGTGAAAACCTAATGAAAGTTATAAAAAGAGCAGTGTATATAATTCATTGATGCTAATAAAAACTTATTCGTAGGAAAAACAAATGCACGATTAGTGGGGGTAAAACTGTATAGAAAAAGTTCCCCACATTGCTTATTGTGTCCATCACTTATTTTTAATTTTCATTCCATGTTAATTATTGTGGTACGCTCCCAGTCCAGCCCAAAAATAGCTTTAATTCCTTGGGGCCAGGACTAATTCATTTGATTTGTCACTAAAAGGACATTTGATAAATTGTAGAATACTAAAAAAATAAGTCCCGCACTTACCTATACCTAACAAGCTATAATTATATGCATACTTTATTTGTAACATTTATTAATTTATTGCATTTTAAAAATTTAACACAATTGGGTCTATATAGCTACCCTAAAATTAGAGAAATCCTTTATCCACTATTCAAAATAACTTTTAGATTTCATTATTTTTAGAGGCTAGTTCCAATTTTTTTAAATAAAAGTGCACATTCAACAATTAGATTGCTTTTGTAACAATCATAAAACCAGAAAATTAAAAAAAAAAATCTATTTCTCGACAATATTTTGTATAAAGTTGTTGGCAATTATTTTTATCACATTATACATCGGAGAATGTAAATTTTCATAGCTATATAGACTCTATAGCTATTTTCTACGATATAACACATAAAATTGGCTTACAGCTGCAGTACAAACACTATGCACTGAACTTTGGGATCGGGTGAACATTCTTGAGGCAGAACTCTATGATATTGAAAGGTTTTACATAGTTAGGGAATTTGAGGTATTTATTATCCAATAAAGATCAAATTTTGCATTTTATTTAAATAAATTTTCAATATTTGATATTTAAAACCAAAGAAGGTTGATGAAACACTGTTTTCTTAAATGTAATTTCTTCTATTTTTATTATTCTTTCTTATTATTTTACATTTTACTTTTATATTTTCAATATTCCTTGGAATGCTCATTGTTATGTATTTTTATATTCTATTATTTACACTAAAAATACAAAACATTTATATAATTTTTAACACACTAGAAACTCTTTTCTTAGGGTCCTTTTTTTTACATAAATATTTTACATATTTTAGTTATATTAATTATTTAACAAGAAAATTAAACATAACAATCACCCTGTATTTTATGTGAGATGTAAATTTTTTCAGCAAATCGAGTATTTTTTTGTAAGTTGTATGTTTAAATAAGTTTCATCATACTAATATACTTTTCCATACAAAATCCTAAATTAACTCTCCAAAATTTGATCACAAGTTGAATCATTTAATTAAGTTTAGAACATATTCTGCTGCTCTAACCCAACATACTCTTGCTCAGATGGCCTTCGTGATGTTATTCAGCAGTATCATGACCGAACGTATTTATGCGAGAGCCAGAAGTGGGACTTGGAATATGAGGTTCGCAAGCGAGATTGGGAGGTAAAGACACCAATAGAAAAGAAAACGCGTATTTAATTTATTATTCAGTAAATTTATTAAAGCGCCAAATCCCTTAAATTTGCGACTGGAAAATTATTAGATTTTTTTTATCGATATATCAGCTATTTTTTTATATATATAATTTATTCATATGCTGTTTATGAATGAGATCATTAATTTTATTTGAGTATAGAAATCACTTGAATCCTCCATCAGGTGGCCGCACGGGTATCGCAATCATTTTATTGTTCATAAATAAAAATGGGCAACCAAAATTTATTTATCTCATGCAAAATAAATAGTTTAAAGCAATGTAAATAATCCAACACTATTTTATAAATATTTATTTTATTTTTATTATTATTATCTACATCCCATACTTTTATTTCAAATCACATTGAAGTTAATTATATTTAGTGCCAGTTTTGACAGCAAACTTTTGCCTAGTATCTTGTACACCAAAATATAACCAATATAATCAATAAAGATAATTCATAACTTTTATTTCATGAAGCTAATGTAATTTCATTGAACATTCAACATAACTATTTATATTTGTAATTAGAAGTGTGTATTTAACTTCATAAATTATAATTTTACTTAATTACAGTCAGAGGATCTCCTTATTGAACAATTTGTTTACTTTTAATAAAAGATTTTACATAGTTTAAAATTTGTTGGGCAATGTCAAAAAAGCAAGCTCTGGGTGGTTAAAATAACAAAGTAATGTTTCTTGACATTTATAATAACAGTCTAATTTTTTTTTTCACGTTTAGAAATAATTTTGGCTTTGAATAAATGAATGATTTTGACCACAAGGCAGACTACACAATAGCCTACAAACCAAAAAAATATATAGAAAAAATAGCTGTTATATGATTGCATATATCTCAATTCAATAAATACTCTTATGTTGCATTACCTCCTCCTTAACTTAAAGGAATAAAAAATAATCTCTAAACAATTATAAATTATTGTTTAAAATTGACATTATGAGGTAATGGAGCAATAGTTTAGTGGTTCAGACTTGGCGAATGAAAACAAATTTTTTGTATTTGCCTTAAGAACTCTTGTTTAAGAAATTCAAAAAATTTGTTCAGAGACTAAACCTCAGCCAAGAATGGATCTTTGATGTTGTAGATGCTAACCATAAAAAAAAAACCCATAGCTACAGAACCAATAATCCCAAAAGTGATTGGATGGTCTAGACTTTTAAATGTAATTATTGATGCTTGGGATTGTTTACATGTTTCAAATGTGTTTTGTTGAAATAAATAATCTAAAGACAAGAAAATGATATACTATTGGCTGGTGCTTCAGCACAATGGAAAGGAAAAACAACGAAACCGTGCCGAAATGATGTCTTAGCTGCTTGTTTTGTTACAGTCTGCAACATATATGTATGATAATTAGCATAACATTTTTTAAATAATATTTTTCAATAACTTCTATGTCAGAGACTCCTTACTTCAAATTTAAGTGGTACATTCATAAAACTGAAATGTTAAAGGATAAACCAATTAAAGGACATTTCCATTTTATTACTTTTGCATGTACAATACAGTATGTATAGTAGGGAGTAAAACACAAATTGATGTTAATGTGTTTTCCTTCCATGAATGTTTTGTTTTATTCCTGCACGACAACCTTTGTTGGGTAGTCTTTGTATTCCTTTATTGATATATCAGCCTTAAATATAATTTGTTTTATGTACATTATTATTTAATTATATCGAACAAATGTTTTTTTGAAAATGAGCATTACCAAGGAGTTCTTTATATATATATATTTTTTTTTATTTTGTAAGAGTAAGTTAATTTTTTTTCTATTTATAGAAGTTCTAATGTTTGTAAATGTTACAATATTTACACTGAAGTCTACTAACATTTTATTTTGCATTCAATACTTTCAACATATAAATTAATATTTTCATATATTTTTTTTTAGAAATGGTTCTGTTGTTTCACACATTAGAGCAACTTTTCAGTTAAAACTAATTATCGAACAGACTACTGAAGCAGAAACAGAAAAACAAATTGGGACTGCCATTCGATGACAAATAAACTCAATCTCTCTGTTTTGTTTTTGATTTTTTTTTACTTTTTTCCACAACAAATTTTTCCAAACAAAATCAACATTCAATGTGAAAATCTGCTGAATTGAGTGTTGTTAATGTATATTTTTGATTTTTTTAAATATTTTTATATAGGCTTTTTTTTTGTCTGTTCTTTATAGGTTTTTGACATTTTAATTTTTCTCAATATTTGTTAAGTAAAATTTGATTTTTGAAATGGGATGATGTAATGCCAGAAGAAAGTGGTACTTTTATTTATTTGTATCTTATATTTGTTATTAAACCTTCAAACTGTTTTTTTAACACACATCTATTTGCAATATGAAAATAGTGGATTTAACATTTATAAAATAAATTTAAGAAAGATGAAAATTTTCCCTATTATTGTATGTTTGCATTGTAATACTTGAAAAATAAGAACAAATAAATTCAGTTGTAGTTTGCTCAAAGTACAGAGTGAATATGCATGCATTAAAATCAATAAACAATGCCATGCTGTTGTAACTAACAATGTGAATTTTAATTGCATGTTTTCTTCTTTTAATTTGGTTGGCATTAGAATGTTCTTTCAATTTCGCTGTGACTAAAAATAAATTATATTTTATTTAAAACTAGTATTATTAAGTTCTCTAAGCTTATGTTTTGGAAATTTAGCTATTAAATCATTTTTTACAACCCAATATAATTCTTGTATAAATTTAATTTTTGAAAATTCAATTTGAAATTTATTTCCTGTATTGCCATTATTATTTTTATTTCCAGACATAAATTTATCTCTGTTTAATAAAATTTCTTTGCATTATATTCCAATCTATCTTTGGCAAGCTAGTTAAAAAAAAAATTAATTTAAAAAAAAGCATGCACTAAAAAATTTCTATACACTTCCTTTAATCAAATATGAATTACCAACAGATTGCCGATTTGAACAGCCAAGTCAATGACCTCCGAGGTAAATTGTAAGTACCGCTCGTTTCAACTTAACCCGTACGTCTTAAATACGGACAGAGTAATGAGAATTTTTTACGCACTTTCCCTACAGCGTCAAACCTACATTGAAGAAGGTCTCCAAATACGAGAACAAATTCGCTAAACTTCAAAAGAAGGCAGCAGAGTTCAACTTCAGGAACCAACTTAAGGTTGTTAAAAAGAAGGAATTCACTCTGGAAGAAGAAGACAAGGAGGTATTTATTTTCTTCTCTATACATGTTATAGTATTAGATAATAGTTCATTCTCCTTCTTATATGTAATTTAATGAAGTTTTAGTTTAAAAAAATGTAAATTACCTTAAAATATTTATTGTGGGAATCGTTAATCATATTGTTTTACACAGATTTATTAGCATCGTAATCTCAATTGTCCAATTTTTTTCTCTGAACTACTCAATTTTCTTCTAATTCAAAATTTTGTCTTTAGCTTTTTTTTCACCCTACATAATTTTTTACTTACATTTAGCTTTTTAACTTTATCTCACGACAAATATTTTAAGTTTTTAAGGTTATGAAAAACTTACAATTTTATTTCTAGTTATAGATAAAAACAAAAATGGACTTAAATAAGAAAAATTGTAATTAAAAGAAATCTATATATGTATATTTAATAATGCTAATACATTTTTTTTATTAAATTTTCACTGACAGCCCAAGAAATCAGAAAAGGCAGAATGGATGAAGAAATGAAATGTGAAAACATCACACCACTTTTACACAAAAACATTAAATTTTAACAACATAGACCTTGTATCCATCTTCCATTATGCATTAATATAAATATTATTTAAACAAATAGTGTATTTGTGTGTCTCCTAATTATCAGATTGTCCTGCTTTCTGTGTTTTATTCAGCAAGGAAATGGTTATTTATTGTAATATTTCAAAAAACCTCAAGTTCAAAATAGCCTTAATCTCCTACTAGTTTATCAGCTTTTAAAAAGTAAATTTACTTTTTTTTTAAATAAAATAAATTCAAATTAAATTTGAAATTAAATAATGTTTAATTAACTGATTGCAACCTCAATGCTGCCTTATATTGTTATCATTGCTGATTGCATCTTATTAATTTCGATGATTAATTAGTTATCAATTAAACCCATATTATCTTTTAAAAGTAAATTAAAATAGACTACGTGATAAAGGTGAGACTTTTAAATTATCGTCAGAGTAACATGTTTTAGTTATTTTAACACATTTTGAATTTTTAATATCATGTAGATATCCCTGGTTTAGACAAGTATCATTTATTTTGAATATTTTTGTATATAGTACCCTTTTTTATTATTGTGAATATTTTTGTTTATATATACCCTGTTTTTCAGGTTTGACCCCTTAGCATGAAGTAGATTGCTATTTTTCATTCTAATAATATTTATCCTTCCTTCTTAGTTCCGCAATAATCAAATAAATAAGTAACTCCCTAGAGTATCTTTTAATAAATCCATTTCATATCTTATTATTTCATATCTTGTTTTGTCTATTCCCTTTGTCCAAACCATTCCACCATGTATATACATCATACATCACAACTTCAACACTATCAAGTATAGTACATTTTTTCCCTACAATTTATATGTATATATTTATTTGTTATTTATTCTTATGTATCTTTAGTTATTAGTTTGATTTGTCCTCTTTTTTTGTTTTTCATAAAGTAAATGTGCATAACACATTTGACATGGGCACACTGCTGTATAAAAACCGCTTCAAACTCTAATATGTATATAAATGAATTGTTCATGTACAGGATATTTTTTACTCAGATGGTTTTTGTATATTATAGTACACTGATGTACAATTGTAAATAATTGTAAATAGTGAAGTATTAATTATTGAATCTACAACTAAGCTAATGGTCTTGTTTGTTCTTCTTTTTTTCAGAAAAAGGGAATTGTCGACTGGTCCAAGAAAGACGAGAAAAAGGTGCAAGAAGCATAAAATGATATGCAAAATGGAAATATTTAACCTTACTATTTTATTTAAAATGTAAATAAATTAATATCAAGGTAATTAAAACCATGGATACAAGAACACAAAAAAGAGAAAGAGAGTGAAATGAGATTAATAAGTTTAAAAAAAAACTAATGCTACTTTACCTAGAAAATATATTATGACCCATCAGTTTCAAACCTAAAATGGTTGTTCACCTCCCCAGTGATTTTGCATTTCAAACATTTTTAATTTACAATAAATGTAATCTCTTGTAAATTGTCATATTTATTAAACCTTACTTGTATGCCTCAAATATTAAAAAATGTCAAAAATGTTGTTGTAACACACACTGATATGATGTTTTTCTTTTCCTTAAAATCCTTCTTTTTTTACTTTATAAAAATATTACTGGTATTAAATTGTATGTGCGTCCCTTTCTAAAAATAATATATTAAAAATTTTGTCAAATTAAAAAAAAATTGTTTAAATTTTATTATTTATTAATAATTAATTACATTCAATTTTTGGGAAGAGATATTTATTAATGTTTGCATTGAATTAAAGGTTTGCCAACTTATTAACTTTCTATGCTTTGCAGTTTGCAGATTCTTGTATAATATATTTACATTGACCCCCAAAGAATATTGAGTCTTACTTTGTGTAATGTGAACAAAGTATGGCGTGTGAATGCATTTATTAGCACAAATGGAGGGGCTTATCCCCAACAGCCTCGAGGATGTTCCATAGCATTTTCCTAACTATTGCAAGACAGCTGTACACGAAATGTTTTGTTGCCTGTCTCTTCTAGACATAGTTGCCGTCAGTCATCTGTTGATCGTACAATTTTTTTAGATAGTTTTTGTCTGGATCATGTCCTGTAAATATGTTTGAGTTTTTTATTCTTTTTGGTTGGACCTTCTTTCATTGGGTTGTTTTTGAAAGTAGTACTTCCTCATGCCTGGCACGTTCCCACTTTCCAGTATTTGTTGTCCTTTAATTACCCAAGGTAATAGTTCTTTTTTTAATATGGCTATACTTTGCGCCACAAAATTGATTTGGGCATGTGTTGTTTCAAGAATTCCTTTCTAGCTAGGATGTCTGCTGTCTCATTGCCTAAAATTCCCTCATGAGCTGGGATCCACTTTCATGTTCGGCTATTTTTAGATCTTTTTTTAGTTTTTACAAGTTTTTTTTTTTAGTTTTACAGTTATTTATTTTAAGGTATTTAAGCAATCCCAGACAAGCCGCTAGTGACACCTTCGCCAAGCACATTGTGAAAGGGGGTCAGAATTATATTACAATATTATTTTAAAATTATTCTCAAATGAATGATGCCCAACCATTTATTTTTTTGTACATTTGTTTTATTATATATATAGTTTAATCCAGCATTAAAAGTCTTCATTTACTCTCAGTATTTATTTTTACGTTCTTTAGAGATTGTTAAAGTTGACATTTCAAGAAAAACAAACAACACATGCTTTTTGAATTCTGAAAAGATACTATGTGGCAGTTTTACCTGTGTATGTTTGTACATTGCTTAAAAGCCAACAAATTTCATTTTTTTTAAACAACCTTGACACTAGGAGAGATGTATTTTTCCTCACAGTCAATGGCAACCATATAGGCAGATGGTAGTTTAAAAATAAGCGGTCTTACCTCAATGAAAGAAAAAGAGTGCCAGAGAATAAAAAACAATATGGTCTTGAATGAAGATAGTTTTTATTATATTATTTTTATATATTTTATTATATATTATTTATTTGTACATTGGCCTAATGGCCTACCAATTGAAGTAGAAACAAAGCACAGAAGGACCATACAGAGCAAAAATTTCCAGCACATGGAACATAAAGAATATCACTAGTACGAGCCCATTTAAAATGGTAGAAGTATGTTGAGATATCACTCCTGAAACCTTTCTTACTTCAGCATAAAAGACGACTTGGGTTTGTTCAAGATATTGAAAATGAAAAGATAGCAAAGTCTTTATAATGTTTTATTTAATAAACCACATTCAAATGTCTACTGTATTTAATAAACAGTTCATTTGAATTTTATATTATTTACTTTCTTAAAATACAAAATAACTCAATTATGAAAAAACTTAATTCTACTATTACAAAATGTCATCATTTATAAATATAACTGATTAACACGCTTTGACTTAAATTTAAAAAATTTCAATATTGTAAAATCAAGTCTAAGATTTGACGAAATTTTGATCATTGATCAAAACTGTTTTAAGGTAAGCTGTCTGCACAATGCCATCTTCAGTACAATTATATTTTTCTGCTCATTAAACATCCTGAAAGAAGTTCCTCTATTTAAATATCTTCAACATATTTTCTAATTTAATAATAATAAATTAGACATTTCAATTCTGCTTTATTAGGAGAAGATAAGCTTATCCTTAATATTCAGTAATTTTCTGGATATTTACTATATTTAATTTGTTCATTCTAAATTGGTATTTCAACTATGCCATATTTCATTTTTTTTTTTTTTTATTCCAATATTTTTTTTCTTTTGTTCCAAATTTTCACATGTTTTTATTCTATATACATATATAACCTTTTCATTATAAAGCATTTTAAGCAACTAAAGCATGTTTTGATCAGCCATTTGTAAATTTTTTTTTAACAAAACATTATTCTTTTCGAAAAATGCCTTAATAATCTGTTATAATCCATACGGAAATAAAAATAATATTCTTTTCCATGAAGCATTGCAGGTTTACTTTTCTTAGAAACACTATAAATGACTGCACATTAATTTTTAAGTATTCTTTTTAACTAAGGTTTTGATTGAGACGAAAAAGTTAATGTCACGAGCAGGATTCAACCCATGACCTTCGGCTCAATATGCCGTCTGCTGCTCGAACCACTTGAGCTATCGTGACAAGTGGTTAGAGCAGTAGTGTATTAAGCTGAAGGTTGTGGGTTCGAATCCCACTTGTGACACTAACTTTTTCATCTCAACCAAGACCTTAGTTAAAAAGAATAAATTGAAATAAATTAATATGGTCAATTATGACTGCTAAACATATACAGATTAATTCTTAAGGTTGTGATCTATGTTTGCCATCATTAAAACTTCAAGTATTGGTTAAGAATTTTTAACAGCAACCAAAAATCGTTATCATTAGCGACATTTTATTATGTACTATTTTATAACGCACTTTTTTAATTTACATTTTTCATTCACATCATTCTTCAGCTTATGGGGGGATAAATCTAATAAAATTAGTAATTTGTAAGAAATAGTAGTAGTTATTTTTTAATTTTTTTGAAATCTATTTTGACATCTGTTAATTTGAAATTTGACCATATGGGGATGCAAGATCATGCATAAGTAAAACATTTCTAAGTAAAATGCACAAATTTTCAGTAAACAGATTATTAATGTATAAGAGAACATAACAGCATAGCCCTGCACGGAGTTCCAAACAGAGCTTATCATGAAATGGAAAATTCCACTGACTGAGATTGTCAGGAGAATTTCACAATCACATAATGTCAACATCAACCTCTAACAAGGGAAGAGCAGAAAATACCGGTGGAATTACGAACTCCGATGAGAAGCTTCTGAAGGAAAAGGGTTACTATTTCATTCGACAACTTGGTACGCACAAACATGTCACAAAACCACTTCTTTTGAATGTAGCATTTGTAAGAAATTGGTGGTGCTTGTCAGGCTTAACTATTTAAAATATTAATTGAATTTCAGTGACTCCACCATATATAAAAGCATGAATGCATGCTAGTCATATGCACCATGCTTGAACTTAATAAAATATCCAAATTGTTATTAAATATCATATTTCTCATAATTGAATTTGTTTTCAGGAGAGGGATCTTATGCTAAGGTATATCTTGCTAATCAAATAAGACATGACAAGAATGACTTGACCCTAGCTTGTAAAGTGATCAACACTAAAAGAGCCCCCAAAGAATTTGTGGCCAAATTTTTACCGAGAGAGCTTGATATTTTGGGGAAAGTTCTTCACCCAAACATAGTCCATATCCATGCAATTTACAGCAGGAGCAGTAAATATTTAATATTTATGAGGTATCCATATATATTTAAAAAATTTTGGAAGATGATATTCCAAAATGTTTACTTAATTTTTCAGATATGCTGAAGTTGGGGATTTACTCGACTATGTCCTTGAAAAGGGCGAACTCGGTGAGAACATCAGCAAGGTTTGGTCATACCAACTGGCATTGGCGATCCAGTATCTCCACACTATGCAAGTGGCCCACAGGGACATAAAATGTGAAAACATTTTGATTACCAACAATTTTAATGTGAAACTAGCTGATTTTGGATTTGCGAGGTTTGTCGTCGACCACAGCGGCAAACCTGTAACAAGCAACACATATTGTGGGTCACTTGCGTACGCTTCTCCAGAGGTGTTAAAAGGCAAACCTTACTATCCAAAATGTTGTGACGTTTGGTCGCTTGGCATTGTGATATATATCATGCTCAATAAGAGCATGCCTTTTAACGATGGCAATATAAAAGTACTTTACAAGCAGCAAGTGCAGAGACAATGGAAATTCAGAAATAGGATCTTGCCGACATTGTCAGGGAGTGCGGTTCAAATTGTCAACAAACTACTGGAACCTGACTTCAGAAAGAGGTTAACAATTGGTCAAGTCGTTAAAGAGCCATGGTTCGACGATCACGGTCTAGAGATGACCGAAGAGGAACGTGAAGCGCTTGAAGCAGCCACTAAAGCTCAACCTCCCTCAGGAAAGTATACTTTCGAGGAAAAAGAAAAAGAACTGGTCTTAATGAGCAAGGACAGAGAGCCATACCAAAGCCTCACTAAGACAAAAGAAAGTGGGCATGCATCTTCAGCGGCTACTAGTTCCGGTAGAGAATCTACACCAAGAAACATGATCCAACGACAAACGGAAGATGAAACACTTAGAACAATGGATGATAGAAAATACTGATTTGTGTTGGAATTAAGATTTGTGACTATCCATTATTGTACTACTGATAAATAATTATAATATTAATATTAATATTATAATATAATAATAGAATATAATAATAATAGTATAACAAATCAATTTGAATTCATAAAAAAATATCATTAAATTGAAAATATTTACTTCAACATTGGCTGTTACGTTTCCAGTAAGAAAATCAGTTTAATGTCTTGTTATATTTCTTCCAATTTTAATGGGAAAAGGGTTCAAATTTTGCAGGTTTATCCAAATCCTCTCCTCATTTTTTTATTTTTATTTTGGCTCTTATTCAATAGTTTCATTCTGTCATCACAACAATTTCACTTCAGTTCTTGCAAATATCTAATTAATAATCACAAATTAGCTGTATGTTTTATGGTATTCACTTGGCACAAAACTAACCAACGACTGAATTGTATTACTTTTTAAAAATCAACTCAATGCATAAAATTACGTAGCACTGTGTTACATTTCTAAACTACATATTCCTCCAAAATATTTCCTATTAAAATTTGACAACACTTAGAAACAATTAAGAAAACAAAATAGTTTTGATATTAATCGATTTATGTTTGAATGTTGAAAAATGGCAAAAAGAGGTAAAATGTGGAAGGTTGTAAGTTGGTGTCCGAGTAGATTGAAGTCAGATAGCTCAAGTAGTTAGAGCAACTGCATATTGAGCCCAACGTTGTGGGTTCGAATCCCGCTCGTGACACTAATTTTTTCATCTCAACCAAGAACTTACGTAAAAAGAATAATTAACTGAAATAGTTCTGATAGTTTCATTTCCTTTCTTTAATCAACAGATCAACCAAGTGTCCACAGATTTAAAAAAATGGTCTATCAAACTTCGTTTCGCAGACAACTTCACATTCTATTTATACAAATTATATTTCTCGTTTATAAATCACATTTTGGTATAACCAGTTTTTGGCACTTTGAACTTTTCAAAGCCAGAAGTGGTGTGACTTCATCAGGTTCATTCATAACTCCAATTGGTACCTGAAACGACATATTGATCACAACAAATCCAAAATTCAATAAAAATCAAATGATAAGTACCCTAAGATCGCTGACTTTATTTTCTCTTTGTGCAGTCTCTAAAATAATATAATCTGTTGTAAAATCGTGATAAATTCTTGAATCGTTGACAACAATAATAACGTTGTCAACCCTTAGAAAGTACCTCAGTAGAATAAAAAATCCAGAAGGCATCACCCTCTGCAAATAAAACCCTGAATATAAACTAATGTATAATGTATTATAAGTCTCATGAACCATGAGTGAGAAAAACATGGTGGTACCAGTGGTTACGATTACATAATCCATTTACCTGGGTCATGTTAAGAAAGTACTGAAGAATTTTTTAAAACATATATTGTAAAAACTACTTACTATTCTAACAGAGCATACTGCTATTCCATTATCGTGTAATTCATCCTCAAATAAGGTTAAATTGCGATATAATAAAATTTCTTCTTTTTGCCTCAATTTTTCCATATCAATGCCTACTTCAGAGTCATGAACATCCAAATTTGAAAATGTACCTTTGTAATTAGTTTGGAACGTCCAATCAAAATCACCTACTGTCCTTTCCACTAGTCCAGTATCCTCCCTACAAATAACAAACTGTATTTCTATCAAAACATCTCACATTTCGTCATACCTGGCTCTTTTCCAGGTCTCAGCACAGGAGATTTTAACGTTCATGTTCTCTGACTTGACAAGCTTCAAGGCATCAAACGCGTTGAACTCAACTGAGCATCCAGACTTATGCACTAACTGTAAAATATTATTTGGAAACACCATTTCTGGCAAGTGGGTGAGATTGAGCTCGTGGTTGTACCTAAAACGAGCCAAATTAAAATAAATCATAAAGAAATTTCATGGAGATTTACAGAATATAGACTCTGACACACCTACAGAATGTGCATTCAGTATTTCCACTTTTACAGTTGTCAGTACATTTTGAAGGGAGGATGTGACTGCTTCTGTACCTCACAGTCCAATCTTGAAAATTGTGTTCCTCCATGTTACTACACACTTGATCAGAGGACTCCATTTTCTGGAACATAAAATGTTAACCGATTGAGGATTTCCCCTTCTGAAAATTTGGTTTGGAATTGTTGATATTTAATTAAATTAAGCGGAAATATACAGAGATACTGTAGGTGGCAGCATTAAGGGTAGTAGTTACAATATCCATTTGTTTCAGCTATAAACAATTTTATCAATTTAAATACATGTAAAATCATCACAAATAATCTGGATTTTGATATGGTTCGGATGAAAAAACAAAAATAAATTCAACTGATTTCTGCCAAGATTTCAACCCATTTTAAGCTCGACATCACGGCAAATCAATTTTAAAGATGTCTACAAATTGATATAATTAAGTTTTTTTTAATACTGTTTCAAATTTATTTGAAGACCAACTCAGCCCCAACATTGCCAAGGTCTGTAACTCTATTGAATCATACTGCAAAATCACGATATAAAAATTAATTTTTTATACTATAAAAGAAAAAGAAAACCACAATGTACAAAGACTAAACAGGATATTACTTATTGTAGCAGGAAAAATGTTGGGAGCATATGTTGAATGCGTTTACACAATAAAATAACTTCAACAATAGCTCAAAGCATGAGTGACAAATTAAGCAATTAAAAACACAACAAACAGGATGAATTTTCAGGATGTGAGATTTATTTATAAACGTGTCACTTTATTAATATGCTCTACTAGTCCAATAAATCTGTATACTGAAAACTCGAGCATCTACAAATAAATTATGAACTGTAAGTACTTTATAATTATAATAATAATCGTGGACAAAAACAATAATGTTGATTGAAATAAAGGTGCCTTACTTATGTTCTTTATTAGTGTATGCAAAGCGCAAAAACATTTTAAAGAACAATTCTCCTGGTGGAACATTGATTATGATTTTCCAAATGGTGAGGAAAAAAGAAAATTTATAGAGTCCGGAGCATACGTTCAAGGAAACAGCTTGATTTCTAGTATTGATAAATGGTATGACAAAATTTTTTTGGCAGTACCACGTCTTAAAAATGGTGTTCCTTCAACACTAAACTACATAAGCACTGCAGGTAAAAGAATTTTTTTCTCTCGATTTCTCACGACAGTCAATTTTGTGTAACATAGTGATTGTTTATGCTTGACTGTCTCTGATAGACCGAACATTGAAGAAGTGTGCCTTTCAGAGAAAACGAAACACAATCAGCAGACCTAGATAATCAGACAACCAAACTATTTTATATATTAAAAATTAAACTTCATCTTAAAAAGTTTAACATGAAATAATTTCTAACATATTTTGTAAAAACTATAAAAAATTTATGGACAAGCCAAGTAGAAACTGAAAGCAACAGAAGATTAGAAAGTCAATAACTTCTTTAAATCCATATATGTATTTAGTAGCCATAATTGACTGTATTAACGATTTTAATGGATTATACTTTTTATCTAAAGTCTTGATTGAGATGAAAAAGCTCATGTCAGCAAGATCCGAACCCATGACCTTTGGCTCAATACGCTGTTGCTCTAACCTCTTGAGCTAACATGACTTGGAAACCACAAAGGGGGAAATTCGGTTTGTAGGATAAGATGAAGAGTTGATGTCAGAGTGGATCAAAGTCACGATAGCTCAAGTGGTTAGAGCAGCAATTTAATGAGCCAAAGATCGTGGGTTCAAATCCCGCTCATGACACTAGCTTTTTCACCTCAACCAAGTCCTTAGTTAAAAAGTATAATTAATTATATAGTTAAGAAGCATTTAGAAAATAGCTCAAAGTAAGTGCATTCCGTCGGATGGATATAAATTACCCTTTAGATCTTTTTAAATCACTGTGAACATATGGAGAGGGTAAAATTACCAGATAATATGGATATAACATTGTATATGGTTTAATTCTTATTTTTATGAAGAAAATTCTTAATATTGTAGGATTGATTTTTTTATTTTTATTTTAGATGCCTATACAAAAGCCCCTAATCTCAAACCTTATCCATCATGGGACTTCAATGAAAACACAAATAAAACTTTAAAAGGTAAAAAAATGGTATCTGTCATTAGTCTCTATGTTGACAAATGCAGTAGACTTTGGGCTCTTGATACTGGAATAGTGGAAGAGTTGAAAATCAAGAAATCAGAATCACCGCCATCACTGCATATATTTAATTTAAATGATGATAAAATAATACGGAGATATGTACTAAAAGAAGAGGACTACAAGTGGGATTCAAGATTCACAAATATAGTAGTTGAAAACAGCCATGGCAATTGCGAATACTCTTATGCATATCTGGCCGACTCTAAAAACGGCCTTGTAGTGTACAATTGGGATCGTAATAAATCGTACCAGATAAAGCACAATTATTTTTCATTTGAGCCGATCTGGGGCATTCTAAAGACTGGCTCAGGGAGAACAATTCAAGTTGACAACGGGATCCAAGGCATGGCGTTGTTCATGATGGACTTAGAGGGTTACAGGAAACTCTTTTTCAATCCGATGGCCGGCATCAATGAATTTTCGGTATCGACGAAAATTCTGCAGAACAAAACATGGGCAATGGATAGCATCGACGACTTCCACTTTGTGGGTGAGCGAGGGCTAAACTCTCAATCATCAGCTAGCATTTTTGACCAGGACACAGGTGTTTTATTCTACACTGCTTTCACTAAAAATTGCATTATGTGCTGGAATTCTTTTAGGTAAGCTTACTTTAATACTTGAAACTAATTACATGCATACATAACAAATTTACGAAATAGCAAAATCAAACAATATAACAAAGATAATTTTAAAAACTAAATTATACTTATGTACTAATAAATCTACATTCAAAATAAACAGCCATTCTTTGTCATTACAGTGCAATATTTTTTTCTTTGGTTTAATTTTGTTTTAATATTTGATATGACAATTCTATATGCCACTCAGTCTTTTGCCAAATATCTGTTACAATTAATATACTAACATTTTGAGGAATAAAAAAAATTCTAACAAGGAACTTCTAAAATTTGGAATGTGGAACCAATTTAATATAAACGATTTGTAAAAAATAATTTGAACAATAGAAAAAATTGCACAATTTTTTTAGGCCTTTTCCAATTGAGGAGGTTGATTGAACTATGTTGCCTGGTTGACTCTCAACTAACTGGCTGTATGTGAAAAGGTTCGGGGTTCCGAATCATTTGCTACTGGCTACACCCCTTGACACCCTTTTTACTCGATGTCTCTCCAGTAGTGTAGAACCTGATGCGCGGCATCTAGAAACTAGGCTATTCTCACAGTCTTCTAATGACTGTTTTAGAACAATATCTAACCTGTCTCTTTATCTTGTTCCATAAGTGTTCTATGGGATTCATTTCAAGAGAATGTGCCGGGAAATTCATTGTCGTAATCCCGACATCCTCCAACTAATGGGTGATAAGTCGAGTTACGTACGGTCTCACATTATCCTGCATTAACACCTTCTCCTAAGGTCCAATGGAGCGAGTAGGACCACAGCTTTCAGAAAAACTTCCTCAATGTACCTTAGAGCAATCAAAGGTCCATTCTATACGATAATCAGTTGGGTACGGGTATGGATGTTGATTCCATCCCATACCATAACTGTCTTTGAAACTGCAGGCATGAAATCTTCTCCACACACAGTTCTCCGGCACTCATCTGGGAAGAAAACAGCCTTGTGATGCTGATCTATAGTCGCCTTTCTACTTGATGCTTCTTTGTTAGTAGAGACCTAATGTGTCTATAGACTAGGCTACATTCACAAAGCCTTCCGATGACTGTTTTAAAGCTCATCCTTAAATTATGGACCGCTTGGAGTTGGCTACCTATCAAGGAAGCTGTTAAATGACTGTTCTGTAGTGCAGTAAGGGCAGTAAAATGTGATCGTCTCTAGTACAACGCGGTTGACCACTACTTTCTCTTTGATCGAGACTCCCAGTGGCCCTAAACCACTGAAAGACCATTGTGGATGGTAAAGCTCAGCAACCCAGGTCTTGGGCTATGTAGCGAATGCTACATGACACTATGCTGTTAAGAAAAACATTAATAATTAATTTTTTACTCAAATTTATTATTTTGTCAAAGAAAACATTAAAAAAATTAACTCACTCTACAAGTTGGCTCTGGATAGTATTAAACTGAATTGATTTTCTTTGTTTTTAATCTAAAGAGTGTAAAAGGATTAGTTACACTCTAATAAAGCTAAGCAACAAGTTATTAATCTGTGATGTTTTAACACAACTATTAATCTTCATATCTACTTATCATGGAAAATAAAAGTAAATATAAGAGTCTGATTTTTGTCTTTGAGCGTAGTATGAGAAAAATTAAGTGGCCTGATAGTTTGTCATGGAGTGTGTCATGCTGTTTACCTGTTAATCGGTGATTCATGACAGACAAAAAAAAGCTAATCAACTTGAAAAATTTGTTCCAATCGTTTCCTTACATCCACCATGTTTCAAAATTTACCGCATACCTGTATGTCTGTCCAGAGTATAAAACCAAGTTGAATATGTGCATTTTAAGGTATGTGTTATAAATCTACCATGTTGAATAATTTTAGAGGAGTTGAATTTTCTGCGGAACACCATGGAATCGTGGATCAGTTCCAGACCGTCCCAGGCTCATACCTAGCTGACATCAAACTAGATTCAAACGGAATGCTGTGGATCCTTACCAATGATCTGCTTGATTTCCTGTACGAAAAGAACTACAGTAAAATCCCATACAGGATATTTTCAGGGGTTTCGAGACAAGTCATAAAAGGCACACCTTGCGAGCCTCTTTGAAATTGTTCTAAATAAATTAGTTTTTGCATATCAGTACCAGTAAAAAAAAGTACTTTACTTACTTGAAATTATCTAAATTGTTAAATAATAAGAATTCTCTCAGCAAACTATTTGGGTTTTTGTTTAAATAAATGTTTAATAAAGCATTTTAAATTCTTGCTAAGTACATTGTTTGAAATCCTGAGTTATTTTTTTAAGGAATACACTAACACGGAGGTTACTAAGTTTGCAACCTACTAAAAACTATTAACAATTAAATGATAAACTTATACTTTAGTGCTTTAAGTAAATTATTGAAAATTGGGCAAAAAAGGATGAATTATTGGGATTATTATTGACATGATGAGGCGCGTTTTATTTACTTCCACGGCCGACCTGAAGTCACGGCTTCGCTGCTTCACGCTTCGCCGTGGCCCGCTACGGTGAAACTTCACGCTTCAGGGCCACGCGTTTTCAACCGGACCAACTGAAAATCCAAAGCATTTTCATGGCCGAGAAGACTTAAAAACAAACTAATTAAATACATAAATCTACCATTTTCCAGCTTCTCATGGTAGAGAAAATAAGTCATCATCACAACCTTTTTCTCTTTCAAGAAAGGAACCTTAAAAAGATAAATTAATTCATCTTCAAATTAGGGATGGTTCATTCCTAGCATCATTGCATCGTAGCACTTTACTAAAGTTTTACAAAGCTTTAATCTTCTCTCCTGTCTATTGTGGTGCGGTGCTACTGCCCTTGATTCAGCCCAAATATGTGTTCTGAAAATGCTCGACCATGTGCAACGTAGGGCTTTACTGGAGAGGGCTGAACTCAGAGGAGTGATAGGACTACTAACTGGTCACTGGCATCTGAGAAAACATTTACACAACATGGGCATATACAATGATAATCCTATCTGCAGATTATATAATGAGGAGGAGGAAACACCCACCCATATCATGTTAGAATGTAAAAGCAACATTTACAAGCTCAATGGAGATTTAACCTAGCATAGAAAAAACTTAGAGAACGAAATTGTAGCAGCAATAGTCAATGACCTGATACTTCTAAGGAGAAGGATTGAGTCTATTGCACTGAACTAAGGAACTAGGAAGATACAATAAGCCAAAAGGCTGCAATGCCTTGGAGCACAAACCCTGCTTCCTAGTACCCTTATCACCATACCATCATATGGCTTTTAGACTCTGTTCGGGCGCATTTAGATCTGACCCTATAATCAGTATACTCGCCGAAGCTGAGGAACCCGATCTAAATAGAAGGAGCCAGAAGGAAGTTGTGTCCTTTTATATAGGCATATACATTATGGGAAACCCAGAACACCTACTTAATCAAATAAAAACTGAACCTAACATTAAATTATTCAATGAAAACCACCCTAAACTGGCTACACCATTTGTACATGGGCAAATAAATATCTTTCACAATCGAATATAGATCCAGATCAAACCTGAAAAATAACACAGCCACCAACCCCTCCCTGGCTACGTCCAGAAATTAAATTTGATTTTTCTCTTACAAATACGCGAAAACAAGAAACAAACTCTATAGAGTTCAAACAAAAATTGCTTGAGCTAAACCAATGTAATGATGCTTTAATCATATACACTGATGTTTCCAAAAAATCAAATATGATAGGTTGTTCTTATGTAATCTTGTGGGTCACCCTTCTATTTTTGTTTACCCTCACTTTTCAGTTCGTATAATGCAGACTTATTTGGCATTTGAAATGCTTTAGATGGCCAATACTGAAATAGTAACGCCAAAAAAAAAAAAAAGCTTTAGATGATTCGTCTATCAGTCATATAAAATAAATTTTCTGATTCTTATAGTGCACTTCAAGCAATTCAGAACCTGTACTACAAAAATCCATTAGTTCAGAACATTTGGCAAAACTTAAAAAAAAAAAAATCTCTGCACAGCTCTTCTGTTTCCTTCATTTGGATACCAAGTCATGTCGGGATAAGGAATGCCATCTGTTGTCTTTTACAAGGCATTTGATTTAATCACCCTTTTCTGATAATCAAATTAGCTGTTTATGGTTTCCATGGCACTCTTTTAAGTTGTTTCTCTTCCTACCATTCCAATAGAAAACAATGTGTTAAATTAAAAGCCTATTACTATTTTCTTATTCTTGCATCCTCTGGAGTCCCCAAAGGATCACACTTAGGCCCCTTTCTATTTAACATCTTTATTAACGATATCGCATATGCTTTTAATGACACACGCTTTCTCCTATTCGCAGGCTACCTCAAAATATTCCACAGAATCTATTCTGAATCTGACTGCATTTATTTACAGCCCAAACCTGGAAAAGTGGTGCATCAACTATATGGCACAACATTATTGTTTAGCAGACATAAATCTATCTATATAATTATCCAAGATCTTGGTATTCACTTCGTCCAATCTCTCTCTCTCCTTTAATCACCATATCAACCTACTAACTAGTAGTGTAAATAAATTATTATTCTTTATCTGTCACTATTCCAAGGATTGTAATCCCACGCTTCTACCCTTCCACATCCCTTGTCTGTTCCCTATTAGAATGCTAGGGCTCCTTAATTTGATTGCCTCACTACAACACCTAAGTTAAATTATTAGAGCAAATTAAAACAGAAATTCCTTAGGTGGATAGGCTGCAGCAAAATGGGTACATCTTATGATGACATTCCAATCAATATCCTGCAGCAGCATTAAGATTAATTTCTACTACACTCAAGGCTCTATTCTTGTTAATGTTAATTTCTCAAAAATTTCAATTGTATTACATTTTATTTTTATGCTACTAGTTTAATATTTATTTCTGCTAGATTTTATGAATCTAGTTTTCTATCCAATGTATATTTTATATTATATTATTTTATATATAATGTATAGTATTATTATTATTGTTGTTGCTATGATTGTTACTTTGACAAAACTAATTTGATTGTCAATTTTTTATATTATTATATTATGTTTATTTTTATTGATTCTAGATTTCAGAAATGTTCTTTTCTGTGTTTTTCTATTTGTTGTTTCTACTATGTTATTTTATTGTAAATATTATTTGTCAAAAAAAAAGTGTGCCTGCATGTTAAATAAATAAATATAAATCACGAAGTTAAAAACAATTTCAGTAGCAGATAAACGAAATTGATAAAATAACAAGAACCACATCAACCAAGCATTAACAATAGTAATAATATAATAATTAAACTATCCCAAAAAGTTAACAAATATATGCCTTCTTTGCTGATTTCTCTGCAATGTTCGACACTTTTTTGATCGCCCCTCATTGATTTTTTAAACCCTATCCTTAGGAAATAATTAACATGGACAATTAGGTTATTAATACCTATTCTTAGGGTTTATCCTTAAAAATGGTAAAGGTCATTGAAGCTTTGTTGATGGGGATGACTGGCTCATAATGGCAAAAGAAGGGAATATCATGAGAGTTTCAGTATCAATATGGGAGTTAAACAAGGAGCATTCTTAGCCCTTTACTGATCACATTGTTTTTGAATGATTTAGAAGATGCCTTAGTCGGAGGGAGGAATTATGATAGAAAATGTCAAAATTAAAACTACTGGTGTATGCAGGTGATTTTGCTACTTCCAACCACACAAATATTGCAAAAAATGATCAAATCTGTAGAATTTCTGTAGAACACCAAGCCCATTTACTTTTTCAGCATTCGTTCTGTAAACACTATACATAGGATGGTTTTAAAACCATTAGGGACCCTTGAATTAGAAAAAAAAATGGTTTGTGGTATTGCTAAGCTTGCCCCAGTCAATGGTTTATAATTTTTGTTCATCAAAAAAACTAAATTGGAATAAAAGTTTATGTAATTTTTAATATGTTTAATATTACTAATTAGTTCATATGTAAATAACAGCTTTCAATTTTATAATACCTTTACCAAATCATTTTTGAAAAATATTAAATTCACTTGTACAATTAAAACCTACACAAAATTTTTAAAGACTAATTAAATTTCTCAATGAGTGTTCTTCATTTTTAATAAGAACATATGAGTTCATGTATGGCAGATACTTCTTAAAATCTCAAGTATTTATTAGTTTAGCGTTGTTACTGTATTTTTATACTTTTTATACAGTGTTATTTACAAAAGCGAAAATATTATTATGCACTAAATTTACACACCTCAGTAATTTATGTGGGTAAGAAGGTAAAAATTAACGAACACCAAAGTTCAATTTAAAAAAACAAAAGTAACTCAGACAGATTCTAATTTAAATTGTACACATTGGAAAACTTCTTTCACTTGTTGACTTCAATACATAAAGGAAAATGGGCGATGCATCCCTTGACAGTTCCGATAAGTATCTTCTCGCACAAAGGGGTTATACAATTCACCGTAGAATCGGTGAAGGCTCGTACTCGAAGGTATACTCTGTCTCATACCAGACAAAGGGCGATATGGAGGATGAGTTCCCAAAGAATCTCAAGGTTCAGCTTGCCTGCAAGCTGATAAAAGCAGATAAAATGCCAAAAGAATTTGTGACCAAGTTTCTTATAAGGGAGTTGAACATTCTCACAAAGCTCAGCCATCCTCATATAATACACGTCCACAGCACGTTACAAAGAGGAAATAAATACATGATATTTATGAGGTGAGTCAGGTTTTTTTTTCATCACATTACTTATGTAAAAGCCGAAATAGTTTTGTCTTCAGTTTTATGTTGCCAAATTTCACATATGTTTTTCTTTGCATAAGGTGATTGATTACCCTCGTTTCTGAACATCTGGAGAACTCATTGGGTTTATCCATTCATTTTTTAAATTTTAACTGGCGAAATGTTTGATTTATATGTTAAAATATATTGAAACAACTATTTTTTAAAAATTTGTCATTTTAAACCAAATATAATCTCTATTTATCCTTTAACACTTGTTTTGTGTCTAGATTCAAAGAATTTAAACACTTACTAAGAAAATCAATTAGAAATAATTACAATTATAAATTTCATAATTTTTTTTTTTTATATTGGTAAAAGAAAAAATAAGCCTTATTCAATTTTAGGCATGCTGAATATGGCAATTTATGCGATTTTCTCATCACTCATGGGGCCTTAAGAGAGAAAGTGGCAAGAATATGGTTGAGGCAGATAGCTGTTGCTCTGATATATCTCCATACGTTGGATATTGCCCACAGGGACATAAAATGTGAAAACATCCTTATCACAGCAAACCACAATGTCAAGCTGGCCGATTTTGGTTTCTCCAGATTTTCCGTGGACCACAAGGGAAAGCCGCTTTTCTGTTCTACCTACTGTGGTTCACTTCCGTATGCCTCTCCCGAGCTGTTGAAAGGGATTCCTTACAATCCAAAGCTGTCCGACATATGGTCACTGGGCGTCGTGCTTTTTATAATGCTCAACAGAATCATGCCGTTCAAATCGGACAACCTGACTGACCTGTGGCTCTCGCAAATGAACAAAAATTATAAATTCAAATCTCAGGTTCTCAAGACGACTTCTCCAGAAGCAGTGACCATCGTATCACTCATGCTCGAGCCAAACTGCCACGAACGAATTACACTGGAAGACATTATCAAATCAAAGTGGATGGCTGCAGAACCAAAACTGCTCGACTTGACAGATCTTGAGAAAAAAGCATTGGTTCAAGCTCAAGAAGTAAGGGAAGTCATCAGGCCTCACAAAATGGCAAAATCATCCAAAGAAATAAGTAAAGAACCGCAGAAAAAGGCCCTCCCTAAAAAACATACCCTAAGTTCTACTAGTGACAAGGTGTCCTCGATGAAGTTTGAACACGAAGAGAAAATAGAAGATTCTCTATTTAGTGATCAAATAATTAGAAGTGAAAGTGAAGACTTTACAAGTACCCTAATTCCCAAATCCGCATCATCAACAGGAGAGCATTTCTCTGCAGAAGAAGAACATTCACCAAGTGTATCAGAAGACACACTTATTTAATACACCTTTGAATGGTGAAGCAGAAATTATGAAATTTCATAATTACAGTGATTCGCCATTTCATGCAGTGAAAGATTTTTTATATAAAAAAAAAAAAAAATAAAAGTATAACAAGCACTTTTCTTAATTATATCTGTAAATTAAATTGGTTGATAAAGTGAATGAAAATACATCCGAAGAAAGAGGCATAATCATAATCTCACAGCCTAGATATTAGGATTAAGGATTTTAGATTAAATATAAGTAATCTTATTGTTTATTTTTGTAATGATTCAAATAAGTATTCAAAAGTATATTATCCATAAATGAAACACAACATATTATAAGTAAATTAAATAGAGAAAAATTAAACTTTCAAATATAAATAAAACCATAAGGTCTTATATTATTAAAAATGTTTTTTCCCCTTTTTTGAATTAGATTGTTTCTTGTTTTTACATAAAGAAATATGGACAGAAATACTCCGCTTGACAATTGCTTGCCTCAAAGTTCTGTTCATTCATTATTAATGATAAATACATTTTCTTATATAATATTGTATTTTATCTTATATCATATTATATAAACGTGAATTATGTAAATACATTTTTTGTACAACATTACACAAAAGTATTAATGCATAGATTGTGGAGAAAGAATAGACAAATTAGGCATGAAATGCTTAATAAAAAAATTAAAAACATGATAAAAAGTATAGTACTAGGATGATATTATTAATTAATAATTATTATAGATTACAACATACTTTTCATTAATGTTCATTGTTGATAAAAATTTAATCGTGTGAATTCAACAATGTTTATTCTAGGCTACATACAAGTTCATCACCTTTCAAAACCTCACCACGTTTCACAAATGAGTTATGTATTAAAAAGTTTAGTTGAAAATATTAAACGGCCAACATAAACAAAAATAAAATATACACCTTAAAACAATATTATAAAAAGCAATATTACATATGTATAAAACAAGAACCTTTTGTTCAGTTATTAATACAAAATCATAAAAGCAAGCACAAATTTGCTACTTTCTAATTTAAAAATAAAAAAATAAAAAATAATGATGTTTGTATCCCATCGCCTTGTAAGAAAGAATATTTATTTTTCTGAGTAAAGATGAAACTTTGTTTATACCAAATCAGTACATCTAGTTGGTTAGTCTAATTGTAAGGCAAATAGTGTATTTTTCAACAAATTTCATCAGCTTACAGTCAAAATAATTTAAAGAAAACTGTCTTAAATATTCTTGCTACAGTGTAAATTAATAGTTAAAAAACAAACTAGTTAGTCATATCTGAAAATATTGAATTTTAAGCCTAATTAACAATTTATACACCTTTATTGTGAAAGTCGATTACAATATATTTGTTTAAATACAAAAGTAATCATCGGCCAATTGGAGAAGTTATATCACAGAATAAAAAAGTTAGACATGGATATGTTGAGTTGGAAAATATACATCATTTATACAAAGAGGATAAATATAATCGTTGAAAGTCCTCGAATCAGGACTTTTGCGAATCGTTTGAAGGGAAGTTTTCAATCTTGGAAGTCTCACATTTTTCAGGCATTACAACCTCTGATGTTGGATGCATCAACGCTATCCTAGTTGACATCTCTTCAAGTTCTGGAAAGCAAATTATGGTTAAATTTCTAAGCATCCTTTGAGAGACTTTTTACTTTAGTGTCAAAAGAATTTAAAAAATTCTACAAACTGAAATCTTATTAAAGGTTATTTTAAATAACAAAGCTATCAAATTGATTAATGTTAAAAAGTAATTAAATTACAGGTGAGTTCAAAATACTCATACAAATGTTGAAGCTAATTATTAGACGAGATAGTTATAAGGATGTCCCAACTTCCAGACATGACCATCTCAACCCAGCCCTCTGACGGTAAAAATGTAATAGAGAACATGATTAAAAGAAAGTGGTTGTGTTGATAGCCTAGATTGGCAGAGAATCTCTCACGTATCAAAAGCACTGTCGATCAGACTGGTAGAAGTGGAATCAAGTCCACCCGGTTAAGAATAGGTCTTGCGAGTTCTGTCCAAATAAACAACTAACTTTTGAGCCGAAGCCCACGTACGTGTCTAGCAAATAGACAAAGGAAGCTCAATGTGACCCCCTTGACCCGATATGAGAATTGTGCGTAAGCAGGGGAGTGTGTATCTGGGACCTCTGTTCCGATTTTTGGAGAAAACAGGGTTGTTTTATTGCATATAGTGCTTAGTCCCCTAGAGAAGAAAGTGAATATATTCATTGGCATAAATGTCTAGTGTGAGAGGGTCATTGGCTTAATATTGAGTACCCCATTGACCCTCAGGCCGGGTTCACATAGGCGATGGAGGAGACAGATACGGTCATTCAAACGGAGAGACCGGCAGGTGACCGGTATGAGATACCGAGTTTTAATCGCTTGGGATGTTCAGTCGCTTGATATTTTTGCTATGAAGGCAGCTGACGGGACACTGTGCAGCATGGTGTCATTCACAAGTTCATACTGTATCGAGTAGATCGCTCCGCCCGACTTTTGTTTTCATATGCCTTCTTTGAAACTTTTCAAAAATAAATAGAAGTACATTTTTGACCACAAACAAATTTCATTAGTTCAAACATGCTTTGGAACAACAGTGACCATGATTATGCGGATAAAGTTAAAAAAGAAAATGCATGGCAAAATGTGGATGAACACTTTACTCTACTTTTACTTGTGTTTCGTTTAATTAAATGGCAAAGAGCTATAGCTTCTAACTCGTCCATTATAAAAATATAACATAATCAAACATCTAGGTTTTTAAACTGCTTGGGAAAGTATCAAGAAGAAATGAAGGGGAGGCAAATGAATCTAGTTGCCTGGATACTTTTTGTATCTCATACTGGAATCGCATAGGTGTCTATCATACCGAACACCTCCTTGCGAATCGGACCTAAGAATTAATTATATAATAGTTGCAACGGGTGATGGAGGAATATTGAGTATTCCACTGCCCTAATTGAGTGAATGGTTTTTAAATATGACAGAAAACATTTAAGAGTGAGTGAGAATGATAGGAGAGAGATTATGTTGGGGGCTAAAATGATCTAGCTGTTGATAGCTCCTGGAGCCCAACTTCGGTGGCTGGACGGATAAGACCAAGGTCTGACCCTAGATTCGAACACCCAGGGTGGGTGATTCTTGAGGACTGTTGATAATTTATTGTAAATTACAAAAGCTGGAATTGCCTGGGACTGCGAGATATGATTGCCTCAACTCTGTATATGTGCGTATAATATGTACATGCATTATATAAATCAGTAAATACATAATAGCAAAATAACTTAATGTGTATACCTGTGGTGTAATTTCTTTTAGTTCTTTTCCATTGGCGTGTGTTAATAATGCTGTACATTGCGACAACTATGAAGAAGACGAGGCACGCGAAAAGTGCCGAGCAGAGGGCTAAAGCTTGCCAGTCCCAAACGAACCTTTCAGCGGCAGTAAATGGCACAGAAATTACATCAGCTTCATTATCTTTTGGCATCGGAAGTACGCTGATTTTTGATTTTTCGTAGATCACGTTCCTCCCTACCTCCTCCTTGATCATTTCCCCAGGATTATTTAATCTTCCCATTAATTCTGAAATTGATGATGGTTCACTGAGAAACATATTGTGTGAAGATGAAGCGGATTTATATGAAAATGGCTCTCTTTTGTTTGATAAAAGAGTTGCTAAATCCATTTCTCTCTCGTCGGTTTTTATAAGGTCCTTGAATAATTGCTCGTCCACATCTGCAAAGTATTTGTGCTGCACTTCTTTATGAGAGTTAGAATGCTGCCAGTTATCAATTTTTCCTTTGTTATTATACAAGGGATAATTAAGTTTGACCTTTTTTTTTCTGTCTGCATAATCTTCTTTCGATGATGATGTACTGTCTTTATTTGAGAATGAACTTTCTTCACTGTCTATATCACTCTTTTCATCTTTAAGATTTTTTAAAAGATTTTTCTTCTTAAGTTTGAACTGTTTTTTCGACTGCATCAACCATTGTTTAAGAATATCTTCATCCTCTATTTTGGAATGATGACTACTTTTTTTATTGGCTTTTTCTTGAAGTTTTGAATCAAATCTAAACATACTGTGCTTTTTATGTGGCAATTCATCTGAAAAGTCGTCATCATCATCGTCTTTAGACGATGATAAAGGTTCCAAGATATGTTGACGTTTGTTTTCTAAAGGAAGGATTGAGTGCTTCCTGTGCTTCCTACTATTTACTTCTTCGACATCATCCCAGTCAAGGAATTTGTCATTAACCCTTTGGCCGAAGGTATAATGTTTTTTATTTTTGCGATGATCAAAGTCTTTCTGCCTCTTAGAATGCCCCAGTTTGTCAAGGTGCTTGCTAAATATGTCCTTATATATATCATCATCGTTGTCATCTATGTTATCAGTCTCAAAGTGAATCGTTGTCTTGTGATGCTTCCTCTTCACCCAAGGCAGGTCCAATTTCGACAAGTTGGACATCGGTTTGCAAACCGTGTCCTTGTGGCCCTGACACGGTCTCATTGTAAGCTGATGTGGTGGGCATTTTGTGCATGGCAAACAAATCTCTTCTTCGTTTGACCAGTACTCGTTCAAATTGCAAAGTCGGTGTTCAAGACTGACAAAACTGACTGACAGGAGACAGATAAAAATAGATATTTTCATCTGAAAAAAAAAAAAAAAAAAAAGTTTTCAGTTTTTGAAAATGGTTATACTTTATTAAATTATTTAAAGAGAAAAAAATGTTGTTTTTGGCCCCTAGCAAAAATTTCCAAATACAATTATATTTTAAAATAAAGCTAAAAGTTCAACTTTTTTAAACAAAATTTATTGAGAAAAACCAATACAGTCCAGCCAATAAAAACTTTTGTCATTTAAGATGAGACTTCTGTTCAGTAATGAGCCAGCTCTTCCAAATTTTACACTGCGCATGTTGTTTTGATTTTGTACATAAAATAGTTAAAAAACAAAAATAAGCCTCAAGTAGACTGGAAGTGGGGTGCTAAAATTATTCAAATCTTATCATAAGCTTATTAGAATGACCAATTTGACATAAAACGCTTGTTTTGTTGACAGAGAAATGGAAATTGCCGGATTTATTACTACAAAATACTCGTTCCTTTGGCCTCAAATTACCAGGCATCCTTTATATAACTCTGCAGCCTATTGATGATGAAATTTGATAAGTATAAAAATAAAGATATGAGAAAAAATATGTTATGTTCTATCATAAAAGAAACAGTTTGCTGATTTTAATCAATTTTTAGAACCATATATAAAAAAAAGAAACTTCAATGGTCTACAAATCAAAAGTTGATCAGTTTCTATTGACACATGTGAACAAAAACTGATTTAAGTTGCTTACAACTTTCGTTGTTCAACTTTAGCATGAGAATACGTCTTAAAACCCCTACAAATCTCTGCTTATTCGCATAGGAAAAATAAAACATCTTACAATAACAATTGTTGAAAATTGAAAATGGAAAAAAATAAATAAAAAATAAAATTATTGAAAATAATAATTTCAAATTTATTTTTAAAGTAAATCTGTAACACAGAGTTTCAACTGCTTTTTCTGAATTTAAACTTTATAACTCAGAACAAATATGACAGAATATACAAGGACTTGATGTAATAGTGAAATTTAAAAACTAGAAAAAATTTTACATCTGAAATACTGAATTCAAAATACATTTAAAACTATGCTTGCCATTTGACAAAGTAAAGAAACAAAATTTTGCAATATAAAACCAATAGAAAAATTTAGCAATGGATATTATAAGGTAAACAGATTTACATACTTCGAATGTCACAGATATAATTAGAATTGGTGGAATTTACTTTAATAATAATACTAAATTAATGTAGAAATTATTAGAAAAGTGTAAAATATCTTTCATACAAAACAAACATGCTCAAAACAAATCTAGCTTTTCATTATACCGTTATTTAAATTATTTATTCAAAAACACCCATTAAATCCAGTAAAATGCATAATTATTACTGCGACTATATGAAAAGATAAAAGTTAATACCACTTAAATTAAATAAATTGTTACCTATTCTACCAAGCACCCTATATGCAATTAAAGTATTAAAAAAAAGTTAAATCTAAATTATATTAAATTTGGGTTTTCAGAAAATTTAGTCAGTAAATCTGAAGTGTGTTGTGCAAAACATTTTAAATGTGAATCGATCTGAAGTAAGTCTGTTGTATTTTTGCCGAGCTTTCGGCTTATATTAAGCTTTCTACAGCTATAACAATTATATTATTGTAATAGCTGTAGTAATTATAATTAATTAAAACTACTTTGACGTTCAGCCATCTATCACATTTCAACTCTTCTGCTTAGCTTCAAATTCACTCAAGCCTTCTTCAGGATGATAAAAAAAATAATAGTTATATTAATTTAGCGGTCATAACTGACTATATTAATTATGTGTGGTGTTTAGTGACCATTAGTCAATGATCATTCGGAGATCGTGAGATGCGGTCTGGTGTGACGTAGATTTTAGAAAAACATTTTCTTTACCGTGCCAACGTTTCCATCTTTATTGAGACTTTTTCAGGGCCTGGGATTTATAAACATTGTTCGAATTTTGCAAATACATGTATGATGTGGGATGAATTTATACAATGCTAGAAAATTTTAGATTTAAAAAAATAATGAATTTATACAATGCTATCTAAAATTAATTAAATCTAAAATTTTCTAGCATTGTATAAATTCATAATTTTTTTCCACATCCTACAAGTATTTGTAAAATTCAAACATCACACCAGACCGCATCTCACGATCTCCAAATAATCACATTAATTATTTCAATTATTTAATCTTTTATCTAAGGTCTCGAGTTTCGGTGTTTTATAGTCTTACTGTCTGACAGTACCGTGCTTCCTTCATATTTTTTCTTTATTATTGCATGAACCTCAGCTTAACATTAAAATAAACACCTTTGGAAATTTCCTTAAATTTCATAGCCATTTGAAAATGTGTCAGTCCAAGGTCTCAGTTTAAATGTAAATTTAATCGCTGCTTCATTGCATGACTAAAAATCTAAAAAGTCATTTTGTTAGTTACGACTAAACTTATTAATCAACTTTATCTCAAGATAAAATATACGATGAATGAAACATTTGTCTTGAATGGATATTTAAAAAATATCCAAGGTCAATTACCCTAAAACTTTTAACAGTATTTTATTTAATTCCAACCTAGTTTGTATGTAGTTATTTTAATAAATTGCAAGGTTTGATTAATGGGTTTTAATAATGGACCCTTCTTTTAAGAAAGTAGATCGAGTAAAACCCAACGGATTTTTTTTTTAAATAAAAACACTCATAATCTAAATAGTATGTGTATTTTTTGTTTTTGAAGTTCGTGTATTTTTTATCATTTATACAATATTTAGTAAATTCTAGGGGAAACGTTAAGATATGCGTACGCGACTGCATTGTTGTTGTTGATTGTTATAGCATAAACAAAGCAGTTGTTTTTTTTATTGCGAAACGAGGAGCATACTTTTCTACTAGGTTTATGGCGTTAAAATTACTGGTATTGAGATTTTAATAGTAGCCATTGTTGAAAGTATGATAATAAAGAAACGGACTTTTAAAAAATTAATACAATGAGATAGACGTTTTACTCACCTTTTCTTTCAGTAGAGAATAAGTTAAATTTCAGAAAACAATTCTGCACTTATGCAACAGTGGGACGTTGACATTATTATTAGAATGGAATTGTCTTATCTTAATCCCAACATGCTGGCGCACAAAGGAATGAACAACAACACCGGAACTGAATAAAACTAAAAAAGGGATCGTTAAATGATTGCGAACAACGGGAAATAACGAAAATATAGATATAACCAAACTCGACGGCAGAGTTTTCTGTGTAGTTCCAATATGGCTAGGGCGAACGCGAACTCCTTCCCTTCCCTACTCCCCCCGAAACTAATCCCAACTTTGAAGTTGGGAGTGGAGAAGTGCTCAAGTACCGTCTGTAATGGCGAACTTAGTTCACTAGAAAGTTCAATTTCAGATGATTGATCGGCTAAATCACTGCTCAGAATGAAAATATATTTTATCCTATGTTCATATACATAAATATGAAATAAAATTTGTTACAATAATCGGATACATCCTTTCTACATTATAGAAGTTAAATCATACATAGTACAGAAAGACATTTTATTTATTATCATTATTTAACTTTATTTTTTACTTCTTTTACAATAAGTAATATTTTACATATAAATAAATATTATATTTAAAAAGAAAATCTATTACTCTTACAATAAAATAATTGCAAAAAATCCAACAAAACAAGAAAAATATATGAAAAGAAATTAAACATAAGCAATATAAAAGTAAATTGCTAAAATAAAAATAATATAATTTTTATTTTGTAACGGATTTTTAAAAAAAGGACCGTCTTTTTTAAGGTTTTATTTTAATCGTGGGATTTGTAAGACTAATTTGTCTTATTTAATGTTTTTGGTTTATGTTAGAAAATATTTCCGTTTTTTTTTTTTTTTTTTTTTTTTTTTTTTAAATAAAAACGTAAATACATCAATTGTAAATAAATGCAAAGTACAGAAAGACATTTCATTTATTTAACTTTATTTATTAACTTATTTATTAACTTTATTTATTTACATTTTTACAAGAAGTAATACTACACGTATAAATAAATATTACATTTAAAAACAAAAACCATTTTTCTTAGTATAAAACAATTGAAAAAAAAATCAACAAGACAAAATATTACATGAAAACATTAAACATAAGCAATATAAAAGTAAATTGCTAAAATGAAAATAATACAATTTTTATTATGTAACAGATTTTTTTTAAAGACGTATTTTTTAAGGTTTTATTTTAAACATGGAATTTTTAAGACTAATTTGTCTTATTTAATTTTTTTGGTTTATTTTAGAAAACAATTTCTTTTTTTTTAATAAAAAAGTAAATACATTAATTGAAATAAAGTGGTGTATTTGCATTCGTTTAACCATAGAAATGTTTTCTAAATAAAGCAATAAATTTTTTGTTAGTTTTACATTAAATTCTTTTAATGCTTCGGGAATTTATTTATGTATTATGACCATTTTGCACCTATAATTTAAATTTATTCAAATATAAATTTATAATGTTGTTCATAGTTTTAGTTGTTTCCTTCTTTTTCCATACAAAATTGTATAAATCTAAAGACTATCTTGGCAAAATTATTACTGTTATTTAATGTAAAGAGGTTAGAATATTCAAATAATAAAAATAAAGATTCTGACTGTCACAAATGCAAAAACTTACAACAATCCTTCTTCAAAATTCGAAAATGGCCCACTGGCTATATACAGCAGTAATAAGACTCAAAATAATCTATGGATCACTATCTGATGACCCCAAAGCTAATCAAAAACTAGCTTCCCAAACTCTAGGCAGCATACAAAGCATAGCAAACCTATTTGTCTCAGGGGCAATGAAAATAACCTCTACAAGTGCGCTAGAAACTGCTAAACCTACCTCCACTATAAACATTCATACAAGAAGAAGCTAAAAAAATCTCATTTAGGCTCCAAAAACTATTAAATTGGATGGGCGAACTAAACAATTCAGGCACACAACAACAATTAATAAAATCACCCCATTCCACAAAAAACGGAGTAACCGGATCAAGTGTTTTTTGTACAAGCCCAAAATATGAACAATAAAACTCACTAGGGAAGTACACTTTGTTCTTCCAAGCAGAAATACATGCCATTAATGCTTGTGCCCTAGAAAATCTTTAAAGAATCAGATAGCCAAGCTATTAAAGCATTAGCATGTAAAAAAAATCAGATCAAAACTCGGTTATGAATTCATCTAAAATCTTCAAAACCTGAGGAAACACAATAACCTGATGATATCTTGGGTGCCAGGACAAAAACATACACTGGTCAGAGGATGATCCCCAAGACCATATATATGCCCTGAACGAATACTTGGGCAACAAAAACAAATACAGAATCCTCAATCACAGAATGGATCCAAAGAGAAAACTCTAGGGGCGCTAGACACAGTAAACTTATGCTAAATCAACCCTTACTGGCAATCTCACTGCTGCAATGAGAGAGAGCCAGATTCAGAGGAGTGATAAAACTATTAACCAGACACTGGCATTTCCAAAAAATTGTCATATTCAACGATGATGCCAACTGCAGATTATGCAATGAGGAGGAAGAAACAACCACCCATATCACCTTCGAATGCGAAGCAATGGCTCAACAGAGACATAACCTAACATATCAAAAAATATTTGACCTAATATTTCTGAGAAGAATGATTGAGTATTAGAAGTAGTGACCACTTTTTCTCTTATGAACACTCTGGGTCAAGGTATGGTTTTGAAAAAGAAAGCAAATTCAGTAGCTATTGCCAAGCTTCGACCTATTTTAAGGTCATAATCAGGGCAAAACAACAATATTGACATACATAAGTTTTTATATGCGATCTCAAATTGTCTTGAAGACAAGGACTCCTAGGCAATGTTGGGACCGAGTCAGTCTTGACGTAAATTTAAGATAGCATGTAAAAACTTAAATATGCCTAACTGTAGACATATTTAAGGTTGTTTCCCTGATGATGACCTCAAAATAGGTCGAATGCTTGGCAATAGCAACTAGATTTGCTTTCTTTTTCAAGGCCAAATCTCGATCCAGAGTTATTGTAAGAATGATTGAGTCGATTGCACTAATGACTAAACTAGGTTTCTAGGAAGGTACAATAAGCCAAAAGGCTGAACTGCCGAACTCTGAAGTATAGGACAAAGTTTAGGGATGGTTAGTGATCATTATCATGTCAACTTGGCAAAACTTGGTCATAGGTTTTCTCGACCTGACCTCTGACCAGACCAGACCAGAACAAGACAATAAGTTAGAAATTAATACAACTATAAATAAATGTCAATCCAATGTTTAAAATTAAACGTCAATGATGGGTTAATCGATTAGAAATACGGTGTAGATCTATCGAATGTCATAACAGTTTTATACTTGTAAGTTGTATCCTTCCTTGGCGCTTTTTTTGCTATCAACTAACTGTGATATCATCTTGATTGAAATCAATCTAATTACATATCGTATTATTTAATAAAATGAGTGAAACTATTGTCCAACTACTCCGGGCGACTGGTTTTGATTTGATGCCTCATGTTGTAAACGATTTTGAATGGGTCGATGGCATACCGGGGATGTACGACTTCTACTCTTGGCTCAACACAATTTCAGAGGACAATTTCGTGACTGTAGAGGAATTGAGGATGTTAGTATCCTTTTTTTTACGTTTTACACATTAATTATTTTTAATTTGATATACATACCTTTACTACTTCTATTTACCATTGTAGATATGTTGTGGAATAGTATGCTGTATGGCTTTTTAATATGATTTGCCAAGGAGCATAACAGTTACAAATATTGCCAAGTAACAGTTTTAGTATGTGTCATGATTTGAAGCCCTAGACCAGGGGTGCTCAAACTTGAACTGCTGGCGATCTACCTCAATATTTTTAGACTACTTACGATCGACTCTGAGAGGCTGCAAGTGTGTGTGATGCAGGGTTGTCGTACATACACGATACACCCTACCTACCTAGGTAGGGTGTACCGTAGCATATATAGATATTAGCTCGAGATCTACTCAAAAAGCACTCGCGATCGACCGTTTGAGCACCCCTGCCCTAGACATTCATAGCAAATTACGAAGTTGTTCAATTCGACCAACTTTGATTATTCATAGCAAAGTTTCACAGCATCTATTCCAAAGTGTACTACGGTGTGGGATATGTACAGATAAAACAGTTTTAAAAATTTCAGAATATCGACATAAGGAAGATAATAAGAAAAAATCAGAAAATAAAGAAAAAAGAGTTATAGAGAAGAAAAAGAAAAGAGACTATGTAGGCGAGAATGGGCTATTGCTGGTCACAGGCTGAGATGGTCGAACCATTGTTTAACATTTTACAAATATAACATATACAGTGACTCACAGATTTGTTCACATCGGTAAACAATTTTCTATTATCTCCAGTTTGCAAATGCCACATTTTTTAATCCTAGACAACAGCAACAAGATTGAGTTCGTGGAACTGTTAGTAAATAAACATTCAACCTAATATTCTTTAATTTCACTAATTTCGTGGTCCGCTTGACCAATTAATACATTACAATTAATTAAGGTTTTTAGTTGAGATGAAAATGGCAAAAAGGAGGGAAAACTCATAAGGTGGGGTTAAGATAGGAAGTTGATGTCCGAGAGGATCGAGGTCACGATAGCTCAAGTGGTAGAGCAGCGGTGTATCTAGCCGAAGATCGTGGTTGCTCGTGCCATTAACTTTTTTTCATCTCAACTAAAAACCTTAATTAATTGTTATCTAATATTCTTTATTTATGTTCACATCTTTGAATTGAGCCAGTTTATTACGAGTCTTCGTGTGAACAGTTGTGTCACTCGGGTTACTTCATTTCAAATTTTGCAAAATTTGTCTCAAATTTGTTATCAGGTATCATCAATTTAGTTATTTTTCTTACATATAGAAAATATTCCCTTTCCTTAATAGTTATGGTTTATTAAGGTTTTAAGTATGAAGCCATTTTCATCATTTTTAAAAGATCAAATAATAAAATCTCTGCAAGGACTTCTTTATCATGAAATTTCAAAAAAATATAAATGCTCTATTGGGGGTAATAACAAAACTTAAAAGATCATTCGGAATTTCTGATAGTTGTTTTAAAAAGAACAGGAGTGGTCCTAAAAATAATATCCGAGGCCAAAAGGCGTTGTATCATACACCCCATTCGATCAGTAGAGGTTAACAACATTGTCCAAATCCAGTGTAGGCTGTGTGATAATGATAATATAGATGTCAGTGCTGAAACAATACAAAGATGTTTACATGAGGCCGGATTAAAAGCGACGGGAAAAGTGAAGAAACCATTGCTGACCAAACAGTGGCTTGCTGATCGTGGTTTTAATGTCATGGAATGGCTCCCACAGTCACCTGACCTTAATCCAATTGAGCACTTGTGGGGAACACTAAAAAGATCTTTAGCTGATTGTGCAGGGGACGCTTGAAACTTCGATCAACTTTGGGAAAAACACAAGTTGAATGGGACCTAATTGATCCAGAACAGTGTAGAAATCTCATGAGAAGTATGGCCAGAAGGATTGATGCAGTTTTGAAAGCCAAAGGACATACAAAATATTAAAGGATTTTCTATGACATAATCATGTTATCGTTTACACATAATAATTTATTTTACATTATTTTAATAATCATGATAAAGGTTCAATTTAATTTTTTGGTTGTTTTTTGTGTTAAGATAAATAAAATTATTTAAAACACTACGTTTATTTGATTTCCTACTATATATATAAGTATCCTAGTATATATAATAATACAATTTGTATACAGCTGTGAACGAATCTGTGAGTCACTGTACATATTACAAATATGTTTGAAAAAATAACTGATTTTAGCTACTGAAATTAGAATAATTTTCCTTCTGTTTCACAGAATTGTCAACTTTGTATTTTGACCATGAAACATGAAACAATATCTAGAAGTTAAGTGACTGGCAATACCCAAATAAAAATCAGAAATGAAGAGATTTTTGTTTGCTTTACTCATAAGAACACCACGAGCAGATATAGATCTAAACAGTCCACTCCATCAGAGCCCTGTATGATGGAGTAAGGCTTGATACGCTCTGAGGTCGCCCCGTATAAGTGAAGCTCTATAATGGCCTTTAATCTTGGCTGCCAATGATAAATTTGACACAGGTCCCATAACACCTTTGATTGTGTTGGATGCTGTTTTCTGTCTAGCCTCAGACTCTATCGGGAAGGCTGTTGGGATTTAGTATTGATAGGAGTCTCTTCAGTGAGGAATGGTTAAGGGTTTTGAATACTTCACTTTAAAGGTAGCCTCTTCAGCCTACTCATGTGCCATGACACCGACGGTCAGGAAGTGGGCCGTCCTGTCAGGCCCATCGACGAGTGTTTCCCAGGTCTCACTACTAGGGGTTGATTTTTAAACGCCAACGGGTCAAGATGAAGAAGAAAAAAATGAAAAAGTCTAATCGTTTTATTTGTTACAAATAAAGACGACCAAAATAGAAAAAAGGAACTGAAGATAAATGAAATTAAAATACTCCTGAGCCCTGAAAAAGAGAAGAAAAACAACACTTAGAGATTTCCTTGAACTCCTGAAAACCACATGGATGGTTGGTTTTGTATTCAACTAAAAAAAAATAAAAATAATTCGAATTGTAATATAAAAAAAAGAATACCTTTATTAACAATATTCCCTATTATTGCTCTTCTCCTAACCGTCAATGCTCCAAACCTTGTTCTATTAAAACTAAACCAACTCTCGTTCTTTGTTCGACCAATTTTGGTCCCTGGCTTTCTTCTTCTCTCTACAGGGTAATCACAGTACCTTTCAATGCTGGGGGTGGAACATAAACTTTTTTTTTTAACCCTTTCCACCACCCTGCCATACCTGAGGAAGATCCCATACCGGCAGACAAACGCTTTAGCTTAATCAAATTAGTATATCTAAGGGATTTCAAATAAATAGGATAAAAATACCTCCCATCGATCTTTCCTTCAGGCGAGACCGCTGGTCGGTTTTTGAAGGGACCATATTTTCATTTTAGAACCTAAAACAAAAGGTCTTCCCTTGCTGGTTTCCCCTTGCACATTTACTTTTCCTTGGTTTTATTTTCTATCTATTTATATTATCTAAAATTTTCATACTAAGAAGAGGAAAACAGCCCGGAACCCTAAACCTAAACCTATTTTTAATTATGCAATAAATAAATAAATAACAGTAATAAAACTCTAACAATAATAACCATATTTAGGACTTAATAATTAGAATAAATAGGGACTTGATCATTTAAGCGTATTTGAGGCAGTCTTTTAGTGCTCCAAAAGATTTGATATCACAGACTAGCTTTTGGAGATTAGGCGGCCATTCTGCTGAGATGATGGTCTTTCTGCCTTGAATTTGATACAGCTGAAGAGTTTATGTTCGGCATCTTCTTCTTCAGTGCTGCAAACGGAGCATAAACTCAAAACATTTTATTTTAATGGGGTAACAATATAATAACTAATCTAATAACAATCTAACAACCAATTTGTCCTGTGTGAATACAAGAAACATTAACTAGTTCGGTTGTGTATATTAAAATGAATCCGTTAGTTCCTGGTGAGGCAAAAAATTCAGACATATTAAACAAGATTTGAGAGATTACATTCTCTGTTCTGGGTATCAATTGTTCAGCCTTGTTACACCATGAAAATGCACTGCAGAAAGGCCAGGATAACTTACATATAATGAATCGAACCAGAATTCAAACTTTTTGTACAATTCCCATCTTATTTCTTCAGATATTCACTTGTCTCATCTAGAGCTCACTTTTTACAGGGACAAACATTCAAAATCAATTTTTTTTTTTTACTTCTAAAGACTCGCCATCATATTTGAGAATAATACTGACATGGGTGTATGGTTGAACTTTTTGAACATCAATCAATGACAGATCATGGCTCCTAAACTTGTTTGTGGTGGCGTCTTACCGTGGTCCTGGGTTTAAATCTCACCCTGAATTCAAATTCAACATATTTAAGAATAGTTTTTTTACCCCAAAAAACACCAAATCCATGGGGGTTAATATGCCCACATAGTTGTCAATTACTTGTTACCAAAAACTTGTTTGTTTAGTACAGAGATAGATTTTAGAGATAGATTAGATTCATAAGGAAGATGAATCTATGATCAATGGTCTGCCCATTCTCACTACTAGTTTGTGTCAAATATGAAAAACTATTTAGCTAGTTTTCCTAAAATAGTCATTAAATGTTGATTTAGTCGTGAGATCTATGGAGTTACAAATTTCTTGGTTATCTCTGACCATTTTGGTCTGCCTACTCTTGCTGTTTTGGTCTTCAGGATAATATAAACAAAAGATAGTACATTCATGTAAAGAAAATAAGAGTATGTAAACTGTGGTTTACAGGTCAGATCAAAATGATCGAAAATATTTATTTGTTTTTTAATGCCCGTTTGTTCTGTAGAGTATTGTAACATATATTTCATTTATTGGGAGGAAGGGGAGGATAAAAAAAATAAGGCCAGAGGCGATGATGGGTACTGAACCCTCGACTGCGGGGTCTATGAACTGAGAGTAACACACTGACCAGTTAGCTACCACAGTCTCCCATTTACTGGAGTTAGAATAATCTAATTTGGCATTTTCTTTCAATTTTAGGTATGAATATTTAAAGGTGAATAAAAAATTAGCTCCAGAACGTACCGTAGATGATCAGCTGAAAGCTTTCATGTCCGATGATGTCGAACTGGACTGTTTCAAGAGTGACATAGCTTTCCTCAAGGAAGAAATTGCCCAGAAAGAAAAGTTGTTATTGCACCTGACTTCGGCGAAGGCAGTTATCAGGTAAAAGGTTTTTAATTCATTATCTAATACAAATGTTCATTGTTTTCCAAATTCAATCTAATCGCTGTTGTTTTGTACCAGTGAACAGTTGAACCAACTAGTTGAATGTGAGAAAGAAAATAAAACCGAGTGTTTGTTGAAGAATGAGATTGACAGGTATAATGCCAATTGTCAACTGTACAATCAGGAGCTGTCAAACCTACAAAACAATCTCACTTCTCTGAACGACATCATTATGTCAGTAAATCATGTTAGTAAAAAAATATGTATCTTATATTTTTATTCAATTTAAATGTTACTTTTTATTATATTGGTTTCTTTTGTTTTAGAGTAACAACCAACATTTTGTTATTTGCCAAAGCATGCTGGTTGGAGAATTTCTACAATATTTGCAAGCGTTATTTAATTATATGAAAAACATCAAGGACTTGCAGTATTTAAAAGAAGTACGCACCTTTTTCTTTTACTTTTTTTAGTAAAAAAAAAAAATTATGTTTTCAATCTATTTTTTTATACTTAAGTCTAGTTTCCTAAACGATAACTCGTGATGAGTGTTATGGATGCACACTAATTTTCTGTAATCTTGGCTTTTCATTTATCATTGTTCATTTGCGTATATAACAGTAGAAGTGAATTGATAGTTCATTTATTAATTTAAATAAAATCAAGATTTGTTAAATGCTGTGATGTCTACGAAGTGATAGCTTGGTTGTCCCTGACTTAAAAACTTATGAAAAAGCCCAATTAACAAAATAACGTACAGACCAGACACAGAAGATTGCAAAATGCTGAAATAACAAAAAAAAAAAAAGATGATCAAGCTACAAATCCAAAATATTTTATAAGGATCCAAATAATCCAAAGGTTTAATTTAATTACTGAAAGTAAGTAAATTTAAAAAGTAAAAAGTAAAGTTTTAATAATTTTTATATTGTAGCTTGTATGGAATTTTATACAATAATATTAAATCAGTATCAATAATTATATTGTTATTTTTTAGGAAAATGTGATCGATAATGTTGATACTTTCTTCACAAGCTCAGAATACATAAATGAAAGGCAGTTTATTGTTCTTACAGGGTTAGTTATAAATTTATGTTTTTAAACAACAACTACGTAACTGTCATTTCATTTTGTTCTGCATTATAGAATGGCTAAGACTGAAAGGGATATAATGTTATTACAGGCCGACATTTCTGGTATGGATAGTGCTATTGATTATATAGATAAATGTAATCAGAAGGATGATAATTGGTTTAACAAAGTCGATAAAGAGTAAGACATTTAAACGTAATTTTTATATAAAACAATCTACTGCAAACCTGTTTTGTCTAATTTAGGTCTAATGAGAAACAAAACATGCTGGAATGTCATCAGCACGAAATCGATGATCTTTGCGAGAAGCATGTTAAAAGGATTTTTAAGAAAAAGCAACTCGATGCTGTCCAAGACAGGAAGTCAAAGTTAGAGAGTGTCATTAAAAAAATTGAAGAATTTGAATCGATCGTCAAGCCGATGAAACTGTACTCGGACTGTTTTTTATATATATTGAAATGTGATTGGCGATGGTTGAAATTGATAATGGTTTTTCTGAAAGACACATTTCAATGTCTTCAGGATGTTGTCGACCATTGCAAAAGAACAAAGGTAAATTAAAATTGTCTTTTTTTTTTAATGTATTTTCTCATAAGTGAAATTTGCGTTGACAGGAACAATTGCACAGACTCATTGTACAGCAGGAGCTGTCAGTTGGCACATGCGACACACTTCTGTCCTTAACCCTCGGAGAACTTTTTTGTACAACACAATATAACCAGATAGAAAAATTAAATTTACAAGTCAAGAATGTAAACCTCAGTTTAGCTTCAAAAGAAGAAAACGTCTTTAAACACGTGAACGATTTAATATCTTCAACAAACGATATGTATATTTAACACATTTTCTTTTCAAGTTTTAGTGTTTCTTTACTTATTTACAATTTCAATATTTTCTTGTAGATTGAATTATACCAAAAGTGTTGATAACTACTTGCACAAAGGTGCTACAAGGTTACCTCTTGTGTCGCCATTTTTAATGCCAGTATTGCACAAATTGAAAGATAACATCAAAAATTTTGGAGCCAGTGTTCAAAGTTTAACAAAGAAATATGAAAGTTTCAAAGTACGTTAGACAACTAATATTTTGGTTTAGCGTTACTTAAAATATTTATAATATGCTTGTGCTGCCTGTGCATAAGTATTAATGCGTTTACATTTACAGATGGAATTGGAAGAAGACAGTTCGAAAAAAAAGTTATTCCATCTTTGGTCAGATTATCTCAACAATCAATTCTCTGTTGTGGAAGAGTTAGTCAAATTGGAACACGCAGTATCTAAAATAATGCAGTGAATTGGCTACATAATTACGGATTTTTACATATTATTATTTATTTGAAAAATGTTAAAAAATATATTGTATGTATTATAAAAATTATGAATGAAATGTAATTTGGATTTAAAAAAAATCACAAATGGTAGAAATAAAAAGAAAAATTAAAGATAGGTTCAATTATAAAATGGTATTTATAAAAAGTAATAACAAATATATCAATTTCCATATATCTTACAAATGTCTAGATGGATTCTTAAACTTTTTATACATTTTACTTTATTTTTTAAAGAAAATTTTGGTTTTAAGACTCTTCGTTCGTTTTGGATTTTTGATAGACAACAATCATTTCAATTGACCAAAGCAGTACAGTTGTAAATGAAAGACAGTTGATGAAATGTATGACAACATTGTAATTTCCAAAATAATCCTTTGCAAGACCTGGAAAACACAATGTTATAAAACTGTATAATAGTAAAAAACAAAAAAACAAAAAAAAATAGTTGATTCAATCAGACTAACCAACAATTGGACCAAAAGTTAGAAGCAGGATACCGTTCAACACTGTCTGAAGACCGGATGCTGAAGGAAGTTTCTCTAAAGGGACATGATTTGGTATCACCAAAGACATATAAACAGTCCTGAATCCTTTCGCTATGCCTAGAGCCAACCCTACGATTAATACGTCCCAATATGAATAGACAAATGTCAAAGCTGAAAAAAAGAACAGTAATAAGTATCGTTTTATTCTCAGATAAACTTAAGCTTACAATTTTACCAAATCTAGAAATAATAAGCATCATCAAGCTCATCATGTACATCTGCCTTGCCGGGAGTTTTAACCAGTTACCGACAAACGGTGAGATGAACCTGAATATGATGTCAGAGCTGGCAATAACTGACATTATTCTCGCTGTTTCTTCTATGCTGAAATTCCTCTCACCAAGGATCACTGGGGTCATGAGGGAAAAGTTGATCTCTCCTGTGAATGCAATCGACATTCCTATCCAGATGTTTGTGTAGATCGGGTCCTTCAGCAGATCCAAGTCGAAGAATTTGATTACTTTATGGTACCATTTGCTTTTACTCTTGCTCGGCTGGACAATGTGAACATTTGTCTCTTGACTGCTGAAACATGGATAGGATTTAAGGGAAAGACTATCTTGGCAAAATTATTACTGTTATTTAATGTAAAGAGGTTAGAATATTCGAATAATAAAAATAAAGATTCTGACTGTCACAAATGCGAAAACTCACAACAATCCTTCTTCAAAATTAGATGACTTTTTCCACCACGTAGATTCAGGTTCAACTTTGTCTTTCTCGTAAAGGGAGAGTCTAGAGTGTGAAATACTGCGCCTCGCTTTCTGTCACATATGAAATTGTTGATTGTAAACTGAAATAGAATTGTGACTAAGCAGATGTAATTTTAAAACAGACCAGTTGAATCAGAAACTCTTTTTGGGACCATCACATCCTCGATACTGTGTCCTATCTGTGAATCAAATTGTTCTATTTCTTCTTTTTGTGCCGCTTCTTCATGATCCTTAACTTTATTGCACTCTCCATCAGATTCTTTGGTGATCAATGGTGTGTTTAATAGTTGCATTTCTTTGCTTACAATGTTCTCTTCTAAATTCAAAACAAATATTTTTTAAATATATTTTAATAAAATTTTTGAAATAATTATTTACCAGTTACACCTTTTTGCTTCTGAATACACTTCATTACTTATTTTGATGGCATGATTTTAAAGAATTCTGCCTATACATGTCTTTTTCTGCCTTCTATGTTAGGCATTTTGCCAACTTAGGGGATAAGTCTGTACACATTTTTTAAAATTTGTATGAAACATTTTATGAGGGGATGTGAGGCAACATATATATCTTTCTTCAAAAAATATATTATAAACATAGGGATAGGGATAAAAGAGGCGGCCACAAGGCCTACTGCACCTCGACCTGAATAGATCTATTGTGCTTCTCTTTTTTTTATAACACACTGGCCAGCTTCAGGTTGTTAATCAGCCTCCATAGCTTTGCCATCAGCTCCTTAGTGTAGGATCTTATTTACGGTTTTTCATGTCCTAGTTGCAGAACCTGCACCTACATAGACCTTCACAGAAACATAAAATATGTTCTGCAGTGTCCTCCTCTTCCTGGCAGTATCTGCACAGTGTTTCTTCTGTCTACTCCTATCCGATAAGTGGCAGTGTCCTATCAGGAGTCCAACCAGAATCCTGATTCGATTGTGGTTGTTGTCCAGTAATTTGTTTGTAAGTTTTGCGGGTGGCCCTTCTGTGAATTTCTTTGCATCCATCATGCCTGTGGATGGACACCAAGTTCCACCAAGTTTTGGACTAATTAAGGATCCATTTTAAGATGTATCCTCTTTTGAGACAGGCTGCTAAGCCACAGTAGGGTTCAGGACCTTGAGAGCCATTGTTGGTCCTCTCTTTGGCCAACATGTCAACCTTTTCATTGCCTCTATGCTCCGAGTGCCCCATGCCAGGGTCAGGTCATAAGTATCACTGACTTCCATCATGGCATCCATGTAGTTCCAAACACTCTTTGCCTTCACCTCGCATGAGGATTATAAACATAAAAACTATATTTTTTTAATTTGATAGTTTTTTTCCGATGGTGGAATTTTGAGTATTCCACCACCCTAACTGAGATAATGGTTTGTATTTAAGAGTGAGTGAGAGAGTGAATGGGTTTGATTTTTAGGAGTTGATAGCGTTGGAGGCTGAAATAACCTAGCTGGATAGCTGGAGCCCAACCTCAGCAGGAGGACAGATAAGACTGAGTTCTGACCCCGGACTGCCAACACATAGGGTGGGTGATTCTTTAGGCCTGCTGGTAATTTATTTTATTTACTTATTTTACAAGGGTATTTCAACTATGGGTTATATGGTACCCTCGGGGTTGAAAAAAAAGCCCATTTGTACGTGCTTCGGATTAAAATGCTGGGCCACTGGATTCGAAACCAGGAACTTTACCTTACAGTGATGAGGGCCATGTTAACGCCTAAATCATTGTAGCCATTGACCGGGGCGACCAGAGACAACTAAAAATTTGGTTGTCTCCATCTGTGGAATAGAGTTGGTCGATAAAAAATGCTATAAACATTTTCAATCCCCCATTTTTTTTATTTTTTATTATTGGCTGATTAAAAGTGATTGATAATTTTGTATTGCTTCATGATATTATCTGTTCAATTTGGAACTGTTGTGTTTGTAGTGCGCTTGCCGAGGTGGTGAACCTGTAACTTGGTAGTCCCCGACATATCACAAACTTATAAACAATGCAAAATTGAAAAAAGGCCCAGACAAACCGATAAAGTTAGTGAAATGCTCAAACGTGTGAGTTAAAGAGCATGTAGAGGGGGGGCGTCGGTGGCCGCAAGGTTTAGTCTTTGACATGGCGCTCATCACTGTAAGGTAAAGGTCCTGGGTTCGAATCCGGCGGCCCTGCATTCGAACCCGACATACTTACAAATGGGCTTTTTTCCTTCAAAACTTCACCTCTTAATTAAAATTCTTGAAGTACACAAAGTATACTGTATAATAATAAATATTTGTGAAACTTACCAGATACATACTTGTAATGCCATTTTATTGGTTGGAGAAGTAAGGCAGATGCAAAACAGTTCAAAAGTAAACCAGATAGTATCAGTGCTGTACCTCTTGCTCCAAATATATCCACAAATCTACTGATGAGCTGAAAAAATATGTGATATCAGTATCCTTAAATACTTATTAAAATACATAAATAAAGAAGTTATACTAATGGCATCACAACTGGTCCTAATCCAGTGAGGGTTGAGGTAATTCCGGCAGCCATAGCCCTTTTTTCTTTAAAATATGTATTCATTGCTAAACTGAACGCTGCCATTGACATGCTAAATCCGACAGCTGAAAATGATATGTGGTTCAGTTTATAGCCATATTTTAATTGTATGTGCAATTACAATTGATTGCTCCATAAAATAAAAGAAACTCGTAGAACGATGTAGCTTGTGATGTACAGATAAAACCGACAAACATAATTAAGGAGCCAATAATGGCATGCCACCTAAAGCCATAGGCTTTTAAAAGGGGTCCATTCATTAAACCTGAAATATGAATCAAATTAGAATTTGTGAAAAGAAAAAATAATATATTTGGTCATTTCATACCTAAAAGCATGCCAAATCCTGAATTGACATTTATAATTGTACTAATGTCTATTGCTGATAAATTTAAATCAATAAATACATTTCTAAAAAGGAGAGCGAACCCCTGTAATACTGGAATCGAAATGACCTGAAATAAAGTTTTACTATTTTTATTTATAACATCCTATGTAATGTATCAAACTTACGTTGGAAACTGCAAAACCTATAACTACGACCCAACCCCAACCTCCATCAGGTGCGATGGCTTTCTTTTTGCTTTCAACCATATCTGAAATGAAATTTAAAAAATGTTAATTAATTTTTTACTCTAAATTACTTTACCATATGAAGCATTTATTATTAGTATGATACAATATCACTAGAGTGCTACAAAAAACTTATTTCTGCTGTAAATTTTGTATTTAAACATTATAAGAATAGACAAGTAATCCATTGCAATGTAATCCATCCAATTACACTACTGTTACATCACTATTTGTTCTCTTCACTAGGGAGGAAATTGTAAGGCCATTGGTGTTTTTGGCATCTTAAAAGATTTGTTGGGAAGGGTATGGAATGAAAGGTGTTGGACTAGGGGAATGGGATACGGTTTTATGGAGGAGTGAGTGGCAATTTCAATGGGATTGGAGGTCTCTGTGGACATTAAGGTTGGATATGAGGATTGTGGATAAGGTTTGAAGCATTTTGGACTGGATTCTTTTGATTTTGTAAAGCTTGGTTGAACCCCACAGTTCGATTTCAAAAGTCCAGATTGGGTAATAATGATGTGTAGATGTGGATTTTGGTTTATAATGAAAGTTTCAGTCTGTTGTCGAGAAGTCTTATGAGTCAAATGTGGAAGTTCCGAGTAAGTCTATTGTCAGTGAAAAGTCCAAAATAGCAGATGTTTGATTGCTGGGAGAGGAACAAATTTGTAGTAGATTGGAGGAGACATGATACGGTGAAGTTGAAGGTTATTTACTGGAATTTAGTTTCATTGAGTCTGATCCTCCATTTCGTGACCCATTCTTCCAAACAGAAAAGATGGTCCTGGAGGTTTCTGAAGGCCGTTACTGGGTCAGGGTTTGCTGAAAGGATGATGGTATCATCTGCATATGTGAGGAGTACTGTATCGGGAGTGATAGGAATGTCTGGAGTGTAATCTGACTAGAAGAGTGGGACCAAAGATGCTTCCTTGTGGAACACCCTCTTCTGCATAGTGGAAGGATGTTCCAATTTGTACTTGTAAGTACCTATCTGACTGATAAGATTTTAGGATGAGGTAATAAGTGAACAGAAGGGTGCCCTTGAGTATCCAGAGCTGGGGAATGAATGAACGATGCTTCACATCTAGGAAAGTACCCAAGCAGCATTCCTTCCATTGAGGATGCAATAATGTTTACTGCCCTGGGTCACTGATGAAGTGATGTTGCCAGAACCTGAATTGATGGGATGAAATTACATTGGAGCTTTCAAAACTGGGATATAGGTGTTTATAGGAAAAGTTTTTTTCAAGGATTTTGCCAAATAATGGCAGCAAACTGTTTAGGGGAATATTAAATAGGGAGATGATGTTTTTGAGGTTTTTTAATAGGTTTTATGATTTAAAATTTCCATTGGATTAAGAAGTACCTAGCTCTAAGGACTAAATGGTGGTAGAGAAAATTATTCCTTTTTTTGGGGGATTTTTGTGGTGTAAGGTCAAGGGATTTTTTTTTGCGAGGTGACTGATTTTTTTATTATTTATTTATTGTTTTAAATCAGAGGTAATTAAAGTTTATTAATATAAAGGAAAATTTGCTTATAATTATGCAATAACTGGGTTGTTGCACAATGAAACGTTTTATTTGTGCTTATACACTTTTATCAAATATATATTATACTTTAATCAAGCCTAAAGTTTTTAAGTACTATTTAAACATTACGTTTTACAAAAATCATCACCTAAATACATGATAGATTTACGTTGTTTAAGTAGGCTGAAAATTCCATTTTTTCATTGTCCAAATGTTTTATTTGAATGTTTAAATATAATTTAAAACGTGTAAAAATTATATAGCATGCATAAATCATGTCTAAAGTAATTAAGTAATAACTGTAGATGGTGTTAAAATCTCAATTATCTCGCCAATTATATTTTATGGAGTTCATCCAGCCAAAGATGTAAAAATAATAATGAAACAACTTACATTTGTCGCAGAATTTATTTATTAAATTTCAATTAAATTGTTATTTTTACCACTTTGGCTGGATAAACTCCATAAAATATTGAAACCTGAGATAATTTTAATTAAACGTGTGACTTGTTTATTAAACTAGTGGTAAATAAAAAGTGTATTTTGTATTGTTCAATTTGATTGGAAATTCATTTTTTCCTTTTTCAAATACATTTTGGAACTTGTAACTAAAACCTTTATTAAAACAAATGTTTTTATTATCACTTGAAGCTTATCATGAATATTTAAAGCTTTTCTTTTCTTTTTTTTTTTAATTTTCAAGGAATTAAGTTTATTGTACAGGTATTATCGCAGTTATGTAATTTAAACTATAACCGCATTGATACAGTTTTTTAAAAGCACAATTTACTGTATGAAAAACATGCTGAACAACGGACATAAGCTTTTTTGTTATTTACAGAGGAAAAAACATACTAAAAACTGAATTTCTGTTATGGATACAACATTTTCAATATGGTCAAGCCGAACATATGCAACATGTTCCTGCCCTTGCTGGCATCTCACTCACTCTATAATAGTGGTTATTTTGGGATCAAGACGCTGGGATATATAAATATTTAGGCTAAAAAAAGTTATGTAAAATCTTTTTTTAATGTTCTACCAACAGGAATAGAATTTTTAGAGTATTTTTTGGACAAAGTTGATTAGGTTTTTTTTTTTTTTTTTGAGAAGTGATCGACCTTTTATTAATAGCAATATGACATTGAAAACTTTTTAAAACGTTATTCCACCATATGGATAATAAACACGAACTAATTATTTTACTTTAAATAAGAAAATAAAGAGAAAAATATCACAATTACGCCCTTGAATAAAATTATACTTTTTATCTGTTGGTTTGATTGATAAATGGCGGGCTTGTTAAATAATGATGGGTATTGGATGCAGTTATTTAATTGTGAAAGTAGGGTTTTTATGCAGGTCGCAAGTTGACCCTATTTGTGGGTCGTCACCGCTCACTCAATAGCCAGGTGACATCTAACCGGTTATTTTAACATTTGAAATTATTTGATATTTGATTTTTTTGTAAAAAAATTATAATGGACTTACCGAGTTTCAGATCTTGAGAAAAACCAGGGATTCAGACACGATTGACCACTGATTTTTGTTACACGGCAGATAATTTTTTTTTACACGGATTTTTGAACTTGTATCGTTGCCAAGCTATGGTGCAAAATTAAACGGAGATCCTGTTTTCTCTCTTATCGACCGCGTGACGGAGATAAGGTAGAGCGATCGCCCCTTGATTTCAAGTAGACTGCACCTCGTCTAGTCGATATTCCGAACTTGAAACGATCAAGAGATTATATCGTGAAATTTGTCCCGTCCGGTTGGAGAGGTGGCGAGTAGGATGAGGACGGGAAGCGACTGAAGTCCGAAGCACTGGGTTAGCCCTGGCCTCTGAGAAGCCGCAAGGACATCGCATCTGGGTAGCGGACAGTCCCCCCGGGATGACTAGCAACTGTCTTTGCTATATCATTGAGCAGACTCTGTTGGGGGGTAATAATTAGTAATATTACTGAGTGGAATACGCACAGTCATCGTCGTGTGGTTTTTCTCCACTTCTTGCGTAACTGCTTGTTTAAATAAAAATGGTTACGCAATGTTGATATGAGTTTGTACTACTTTTTGGAATAAAAGCGTGCAAATAACGGCACAAATTTCCCTAACAATAGGAATATTAGCATATCAGACGACAAAAAAATACGCTATTCAATCTATTTAGTATTCATCTGACTCCAGTGCTGTGTGTCTATCTGTTCCTATCGCCGATTCATGTTTGTTCCTATTTATCTTTAGAATTGTAATTCGTAGCAATTATGGGCAACACCGTTCTTTTATTTTTATTGCTTAACACTTCGCCATTTTCTGAATGAGGATTAAAACATTTGGACCATGTGTGTTCACACAGGAAAGGTGAATGAAAGGAAGGTAGAGTACTCAGAAGAATAGAAAAAAAAGTTCCAGAGTACTCATTGCTGATTCAGAAATGGGCCAAGTGTTAAGCAATAAAAATGAATGACCAGTGTCGCTCATAAAAGTAAGAGTGGAGTGAGGTTGGCCACAACATAGGCATAATACTTTGATAGGGTGACGTTTTTAGAAGGGTGTGGAACTTTTATCTTTTCTTTCAAGTCTCTCAGGTTATGGGCTAAAAAACCTCTCTCTCTCTCTCTTTCTCTCTCACTTTCTCTCTCTCTCTCTCTTTGTTTATTTTTTCTCTCTCTCTCTCTCTCACCTCACTTTCTCTCTCTCTCTTTGTTTCTCTCTCTCTCTCTCTCTCTCTCTCTCTCTCTCACCTCACTTTCTCTCTCTCTCTCTTTTTCTTTCTCTCTCTCTCTCTCTCTCTCTCTCATCTCTCTCTCTCTCTCTCTCTCTCTCTCTCTCTCTCTCTCACCTCACTTTCTCTCTCTCTCTCTCTCTCTCTGGATGTATGTATGTGTTGTTTGTTTATTTAGGTGAAAATATTTTAGTCGAATTATCAGACTTGTCGCCAATTTTTGCTTTCCGACTCACAATAGTTTTCTTCGTTACTGAATTTTGATTTTGTTTATTCTCCATATAACCAATTTTATGGGATATACGGGATATTTATGATTTTATGAGGTTGTTAATAGAGTTCGGCTTTTCTTTCCTTTTCGATGTTCTTTTCCCCTTTGATAATTTCGAACTGCTTTTACTTTTATCAAGTTTTTGTTTATGATGTTAGTTATTTATTCTAATTGTACAAACAGTAATAATAGCAAAAATAAAATAATGACAGCAGTAATAATAAAACATATAATAAAATATACAAAACAATAATGAAAATAATATATTTTTTAAATATTAATGATTTATAATCGAATGATGAAACTACATTATGAATGAAAAGCAGAAAGAGAAAAAAAGGAAACGGGAAAAAGAAAAGGAAGAGGGAAAAGGAGATGGTCCATGTGCTTTTAAAAACTCATATGCCATGGACTTGAAACAAACCAGCGAGGAAAATTTATAAATAATTTAAATTAAAAAAAATTAAAAAAAAAAATTTATCGTTGGCCAAAAGGAGGGCAAGGCATTCTAGGTTTCAAACGATCACTAACTGTATTAATTGATTTTGCCTTGGTAGAATTGATATGTTTATGTTGATGTTTTGCTTTGTTTTTGTGCTGTCCTTTCATAAAATTTCGTTGAATATTTAATCTATCGTCTGTTTTTATCGTATGTCCTTCTTTTAACAGGGAGGCGTTTACGAGCCTTGAAAATGCGTCCGTATTAGTCAGAAATTTACAACTGTTTTAATTAATTGTTGCTCTGCTGAACAATTAAAAATGTTTTGTAGGCGTCGGTTTGGCGTTGCTTTTTAATGGAATAGTGTGCCTAAATCATCTCTGTCCGCCTATCCTCGCTGTTTTTGATGTGTCACTGCAATTTCGGGTTTAGCGAACTCCAGTGGAGTAATTAATTTTAACTATAATAACTTTGTTTTAATTATTATTAGTGTATATTAATATTAATTAGTATTGTAAAAAAATTAAGAAAAAATAAAATATTAATATACTGAATTCCAACAATACGACTTGGATTAATCCGTCAGCCGGAAGTTGAGGTGTAATTTTACAAAAATATTAAACTTTTTGTTATTTATAAATATATTATAAATACAAATATTGTAATAAGTAAATGTTTTCTATATAGTACTCCGAATATATCGTTTGAGTCACTTGTAGGAGTAGTTGTCCAGTGATAACACTTCTTTAAAAAATCGCATCAAAAATAAGATAAAAATGAAATAAAACTTAAAAATAGAGGTTACAATAACAGAGCACAAAATGAAAACAAAAGTAAACTATGTAGAAAAGGTGTGTAAATAGTATGAACGGAAAAAAGTAAGCGTAATTACACCGTTAAATGCATGACGACATGTAAGTGTAAACTAAATGTTGAATTAGAAATATTTTCAAATTAATCCTTTTTTTGCACAAATTTAACCTTTCTTCATTTCAAATTAACATTTTTTAACTATAAATTAACATTTTGTAATATCAAATTAACTATTTTTAACTTCAAATTAACTTTTTTTAAATTTCCAATTCCCCTTTCTTTAAAGGATTAAAAACTTACGAGACTGTACGAAATATAAGCATGTAAAGTGCAATCCCTGTATATTTGAAAATTAATTACAATTTATATCAAAAATGATATAAAATTAAATATAAAAACAAATGACGGTTATTTTAATTTGAGATGTTTTATTAAAGTATGAAACAATTGATTTCTTAAACACCATACGTAAATTAATTATAATTAAACTTTAAAATTATATAAAATAAATATGAAAACAAGATTTTAGTTTTTGATATAAAATAATCGGCCTCTTATACAAACATTTCATGTCATATATCACAAAAATTATGATAAATTGCGAAATTTCAATTTTTTTTCAGTAAATTCAATTAATTAATCATTTTATGAAAGGTTTTGGTTGAAATGAAAAAGCTAGTGCCACGAGTAGGATTCGAACCCACGACCTTCGGCTAAATACGCCGCTGCTCGACCAGTTGAGCTATCGTGACTTCGATCGGATTTTTCATTTCAACCAAAACCGTACATAAAGGGATTAATAAATTGAAAGAAGTAATTTGGTCAATAGACCACTAAATATAATGGATTTTTTCAGTAAGTTCCATAATATACAATATTAGTAATTATATACGTTTCATTGTGGAATTTCTCCTTGTGGTCTGCGAGGTGATGGACCTGTAACTTCTTCGGTAAATCATTTTGGTCCGCTTTTCCTCGCTGTTTTATGTTCAAATCAATAGAAACTGCTATTATGTAACAGAGAAACGTTAAATTTTTTATCGTGTTACTACCATACAATTGAAATATTCGGAAAAAAATCTGTTTATTTTGAAATGTTAAAGAACGTGGGCATTTTTAAAGATTGACGAAAAACCTGTTAGACCATTTGAACATTAAAAGCTGTGCTTAAGTCGGATAATGACATAGCCTTCTTTTGAGAGTCTATCATTTGGCTCGTTCATGCCATGTATTACAAAAAAGTGAGATTTCTATATTTCATTTTTTTAGTAAGTTCCAAAATTGGTCGTTACCTATTACTGCGGTCCGCCTATCCTCGCTGTTTTGTGTTCGTATCAAAAGAAATTGAAATTATTTAACAGAGGACCATTAAATTTTTTCATGCTACCGTAATTTATACTGACATGTGTTAACAATTGAAAAATAAAATGTATTTCCCCGACACTGTAGGGGCGGATAGGCAATCTGCTATGTAATTTGAGACGCTAGACAACGTAAGCACTTTGAATAAAAAGCCTAACCGATTCCTTTGGAAAAAGCTGTACAAACATTTCAGTAAACATTCAAAAGGATTTTTTATTTTGTTTGATTCATGAGGAGCAGAAAATGATGAGGTAGTTTAGAAAAATATGTGTTTATTTAAACTACCTCATTCTTGACCGCTCCTCAGTATCCAACAAATTATTAAACAACCGGTCACTAAAAAACACGTACAAAAAGTTCTTGCGCACAGTTTCAAACTAAACTGTGAAGTGTGAGTGAAATTCAACTTTTTAAAAGAGTTTTGGTTGAGAGAAAAAAAGTCAGTGTCACGCGCGGGATTCTATCCCACGACCTTCGGCTAAATACGCCGCTGTTCTACCAAGACCTTACAGAAAAATAATAATTAATTGAAAGAAGTAACTTGGTCAATTGACCCCAAAACATAAATGGAATAATGTTTAGTAAGTAAAAAAAGTAGTACTTCACTAACAGCTCCCCGTGGCCACTTCATAAGTCGCTCAGAATCGAATCCTGATGACACGACATTTGAAAATGGCAAAAACAGGGAAAATTCGAAAGGTTGTAGGTTGAGATAGGAAGTTGGTGTCCGAGTGGATCGAAGTCACGATAGCTCAAGTGAGTAGCGGCGTATTTAGCCGAAGGTCGTGGGTTCGAATCCCGCTCGAGACATTGACTTTTTTATCAACCAAGATCTTACATACAAAGAATAATCAATTGAAAGAAGTAACTTGGTCAATTACCACGAAAACATAAATGGATTTTCAAAAGAGATTAAACGATATACTCACACCACTTTTAACATTTCTATTCAAAAGCGATGCTTAAGACGAATTTAAGGCACGTCTTTTTTATTGTTCATTTAATTATTAATGATGTATACATCATCATTTTCACCTTTAATTTTATTCGATAACTGAAACCTTCTTGAGACAAAAACTAGACAATTCAACAATACGTTTCATCTAATTATTTGTTAAAAAAATTAATAGGTGTTACATTAAAATGACAAAAAATGATATATTTTAACGACAACATATTATTCATATCTTCCAAAATAAATTTACAATTTTTCAAAATTTTTAAACTTTTGTATGTGATGATTCTACTGTTCTGTATGTCTATTGAGGTCTGATCCTTGTTTTTTTTTTTTAATTTCTTATAAGCTCTCACTTCTTGGGAGCATTTAAATTTTTGGATTTTTCCCTCCGTGACCTATAA